ACCATGAAAGAAAGAAAAGAATATGCAGGCATTAAAAATAAAAAGAACAAAAATAATAAAGTATAAAAATAATATAGGAAATAGATTAAACAAATATGAATGAAATTAAATATAAACTATAATGCATCTTTATAGCAAATACAGTATATATAGTTTTAGAATGATTTTATTTTTGCAGTTTTGGTTCTGTTGATTGAATGTGTTGAAACCATACCTCCTGAGGTCAGCGTGCACGGCCAGTCTCTTCCCTTTCATCGACACTTTGGCGTTGAATTTGTTCTCCTGAAGACGGCAAGGCAAGTTTATTTGTATTTCCTATAGTTCTTACACAAGGTAATTCAAAGTGCTGAACAAAACAATACCAAAATCACACACGGCCTTAAAATAGATTAAATAAATAAAATAATTTAATTTAATTACATTAAAAAGGGTGAAGATACAACCCTTCAGTTGTATGTATGCACAGTGAGACAGAAATATTAATAATCCTACTTTGAACATTGTCAGAGTAGAAGTCTATCTCACATTTTCAGGAAGACTGCTCCAGATTTTAGCTGCAAAATCTGAAATCCCTATGTTTAGTTCTGACCTCTAAAGGCACCAGTAGAAGTCCCATTGCTCCTCGGAGTCTAAGGCAAGGCAAGGCAAGTTTATTTAAATTAAAATCATAAATAATCACAGAACATTAAAAAGAAAGATAAAAGTATAAAATCCCTCAGTTGTAGCACAGCTAAACAGAACTGTCTTTAACCTGGTTTTAAACATTGTCAGAGAGGAGGCCTGTCTCAGGCCAGTCCTGTCTCTAAGTTGGCTCATATGACACTAACATATTAGTTAGTGTCATATCAATTATAATAATAATACATTGTGCTCATATAGTACTTTTTGGACACTCAAAAACGCTTTACAGAAGAAAAATATGATCCCAAAATAAAAAAGCTAAAAATAACAGGCATTTTTGAACCGGTGGGGTTTGAGCAGTGATCTGAAGGTCTGAAGTGAGAGTAGTTCATAATGTGTTGTGGGAGTGAGTTCCAGAGAGTGGGCTGTTGCAGTGATGGAGTCTGGAGGTGATGAAGGTGATGAAGGTGTGATGAGGATTCCTCCGGTGGCTTGTGTGAGGGAGAAGACTGGCACAAAAAGGATGTTTTGGTGAAATAGTTAATGTGGGGTTTATAATGAGAGGGTGGAGTCCAGTATAACGCCAAGGTTCTGTAAGAGGGAGAGGAAGGGACATTTTCCTCACCATTGATGATGAGGGAGATGTTCTGGACCGAGGGGAGGAGGGATTTGGGACTTTATGCATCTGGGGCCTGCTGGGGACAAAGCCACACCAACACGGCCAAAGAAACCGCTTTATTGCCTGGACCCTAAAATCCTTTTCTTAAAGCTCGCACCCTTAAGTTTTTAGTTCCCAGCCTCTCCCCTCTCTGATTTTAACCTGAATTGCTTTTATCCCCCCTGATTTTAACTATACATTTTAAAGACTCTTTTTGTAATAAATCATTTAAAACTTTTAACTGTCGTGGTCTCCTTGTACCCTGTGATCAGAACCCGGAGGTTGACGGCGTTGCACTAAAGCTCCAGTTGTCCTGGGGCTGACGTCAGTGGGACTAACAGAAACTTGTAATAGGCAATGACGGAAGTGTCTTGCCAATGGATACAACAGGTTGGTCCCAGAGGTCTCCCATCACAGTACTCACCAGGCCCTGCCACGCTTAGGTCTGACAGGATCAGACTTTCACATGGAGGAATACAATGATTTTAAGAATTCCCTGCTGCAAATGGAAACTGATTGCATTACATTGGCTCACTGTGTCCCCCTCAGGACCAGTGGCAGAGGCTTCCCAGGCAGAGCCCCTCCTTTAGGCTCACAAGGCAAGTTAGGGCTTACCAGGTGGGACAGAGCTCACCGTGCGGGACAGGGCTTACCAGGTGGGACAGAGCTCACCGTGCGGGACAGGGCTTACCAGGTGGGACAGAGCTCACCGTGTGGGACAGGGCTTACCAGGTGGGACAGAGCTCACCGTGCGGGACAGGGCTTACCAGGTGGGACAGAGCTCACCGTGTGGGACAGGGCTTATCAGGTGGGACAGAGCTCACCGTGTGGGACAGGGCTCACCATGGTCATACTGCTGAGCTGGATGGGCTCCTTCCCGGCAGGCAGCAGCATCACGCGGACGTTGGCAGTCACAGACACGGTGGCCCCTGAGGTCCGGATGGAGGTTTTGGGAGGCGCTGTCACAGTGAGGTACAGGGCGATGGGAGCGTCCATATATGCTGCGTTCTGTTGAACACAAAGAGAACTCTGTGAGACGACCCGGAACTTCTGCCCTAAGTTCCTTCACATGGCCAAAATGTACTGTATATGTTCAGGCTGTCATCTCCCTTTCTCTGTTTCTGAAGAAATAAAATCAGCCATTCTTTAAGAGACACATTTTGTCCTCAAAAGCTGTGTTTACGGCAGTCCTTCTCAAACAGTGGGACGTGCCCCCCCAGTGACCGAGAGCTCCAGCGGCCTGTGAAGGCCTCGTGTGTCTTTGCACAACCTGTGCACACGATAAACACGCTGCTGCAAGAATCAGCTGGGTGATGGGAGCCTCAGGAAGTGTCTCCTCCTGAAGCACAACTAAAACTTACTAAATTAAAGCTCAGGTACCTACATTTTCCCTTGCATCAATAATGCATGTTGTTTGTGCACAAAATTGACCAACACAGACTATCATGTATTTTGCATATTTAAGAAAGAGCACTGTCTTTGGACCTAATGGTCGTAGGTTCGAGTCCACCACGACCCCTGTCACCTGCTCCCACTGGTGTGTGCTGTTGTTGTGTCCTTGGGCAAGACACTCAACCCCTCTTTGCCTGAAGCCCCCGCTAAGAGATCTCAGCTCCTGTGGACTCCCCACCTGCAGTAGGATCAGAAGGACTGGTGCCATGGGACTTGGGCAGCCCTCCCAGAAATGGATCAATAAAGGGGAAGAGAATGACACATGACACTGTTTAAAGCATTATTTGACTTTTTGGTCTGAGAGTGTATTTTCTGAGCCAATCTAAAGATTCAAGGCGGAACACATGAGGGAATTAAGCATTACTATTTTTCTGCACTTTTCTGCACAAAATTAACTTTTTACAATTATATAAGGCGGGTGCACGAATGTTCTCTGCTTTCTGAGGGGGGCACGGCAGAAAAGAATTGAGAAGCGGTTGTGTATTTTGGTTTTGGGTAAGGGTTTAAGTTATCTTACAGCATTTGATACTCAAATAACAGCAGAGTGGAGTGCACTTTGAACACAGCCCTAAAAGAAGGCTTTAAACCAACAACAGATCAATATTGAACCAAACAGTTAGAACACAGCAAACGCAATAATAAAACTAGCACATATGGTCCATAGGGAGAGGGGTGATCACTGTCTCTAAATGTGCACAAATGTCCCACATTGTCATTGTCCTTAGACCCTGCATTGGCACGACTCAAAACACCCAGTGGGAACAAAAAGAGACCCCTAAGGCAGACAGGCTGTAGATCCAAGACGGCTGAAAGAACCAGGCTGTAGATCCAGGACTGAAAAGGCTCCCAGACGGGGAGGGGGAGCTGCCCATGAGCGCAGGTTGAAGATATTAAGACAAATTATATAACTTTTGGAATTTACAGTACTTTCTTGTGCATTGTAACTTAATTAAATAGACAAATTAAATACATAATGTTTTGATGATTTAATTATTATTTATCACGCTACACAGTTTTGAAAAGGTATGAAAAGCTTGATTTCCCTGTGGCAATCTATGGTTCTGATTAAGTTTAGTTTCAGCATTGATCACTTTGGCCTGTCAGAAAGTGAGAGGCACACATAAGACTCTCATTGTTCCCTGTTCTGCCAATGGATGTAAATACGTCAAACAAATGCTGAAGCTTTGGCATCACCCACGTTGGCTTTTTGTCATGAAGAAGTCAGGATCATGTCAAAATAAAAGGCTCAAAACAGACTTCCAAAATAAGTCTAAAGTGGGGAACTTGCGTGACTTTAGGATAATGGACTATGATCCATGAGAGCAGTGCAGTGTGAGGGGGACACAGGACATGGCACAGTGCTGCTCTTACCATCATGACTATGGCTCCTAAGTATGTGGTCCTGAGCAGCATCTCCAGGTCTTTGGGCATCTGCAACACAGTGAGGCCCTCATTAAAGTCAAATTCTTTATTATTATTCTTGAAACTGCAGAGTAAACAGGGCTTTCGTGTGGAGACAGAAAACAGCTCCCAATGTGTTTTGTCAAAGAGTAACATTCTGTCATACAGAGGTCGCACATCCAAGTCTAAAGAAGTGTGCAGAACCATAGAAATACAGAAAAACGTGTGATAAAGGATCACACAAAGTAAACACTATCGGTGGGAGCTTCTGAGTCGTGCTAATCTTATTCACATGTTAGATATTCATCACAGCATCTAACCTGGGAGTATTTAAACAGAATTGGACAAGGGTGTGAGGAAGTCCCTGATATTAGTGTGCCCTGTTGAAGTCAATGTATCCAGATCAGAGGTTTTTGTCATTTTGACCTTTGTTTTCCTTAAGACTTGTGGCAGTCTCTGATTCTGCTCCTTGCGCTTTATTATTCACAACGGCAAAGGTCTTAATGATGAATTGAATCTGAAAACTTAATACTTTTGGTGGTACCACATAAGTTCACATATGGTTTTGATAAGTCTAGACCAGTGGGGGCGGGTCCCGGCTCAAAAGTGGCCAAAATGACGTGCGCTGACATGCTGCAATACCACCCCGGGCCTGTGGGGGTGGACCTGGAATAAGAATTAGCCAATGCTAACATATAGCATCTTCTTACCTCTCACAAACGTCTTTACAGGATGGTCCAAAAGTGTCTCTTGGCCCAAAGCTCCGTTCCACATGTGTGTCAATGCTGAGTGTTCTGGACCAGTCTAGTTTAGTCGATGTGGACTTTAGAAGTCTCTCGTTTAAATGAATGGAGCTCGTGCAGCTGACGCATGCACAGATGCGTTTTTTCACATTTTCCAGCCCCCACAGCCATTTTGAATCACTCCATGAAAGCCCATTTTTTTACCCATTAGTTAGAACGGCGGAGATAGGCGTGACTACGGCCGTTAATATACAGTCTGGTCTAGACTCTAAACTGCAGCTTTAAACAATTCTCCTGGATGTTTATCATAGAGGATTACTCCTTATCCTCTGTGTTGAATATGATTTTGATCGTGTGTTTGTGTGTGATGTGTGTGCGTGTGGTTCATGTGTGTGATGTGTAATGTGTGTGTGTGTGGGGTTCATGTGTGTGATGTGTGTGTGCGTGTGGTTCATGTGTGTGTGCGTGTGCTTCATGTGTATGTGCGTGTGGTTCATGTGTGTGTGCGCGTGCTTCATGTGTGTGTGCGCGTGCTTCATGTGTGTGTGCGTGTGGTTCATTTGTGTGTACGTGTGCTTCATGTGTGTGTGTGTGTGCGCTTCATGTGTGTGTGCGTGTGCTTCATGTGTGTGTGCGTGTGGTTCATGTGTGTGTGGTTGATGCTCTATGTGGTTCATCAGTACACACACAGTAGGGCGGCATGGTGGCTGAGTGGATAGCACTCTCGCCTCTCAGCAAGAAGGTCCTGGGTTTGAATCCCGGCCGGACCAGGGCCTTTCTGAGTGGAGTTTGCATGTTCTCCCCGTGTCTGCGTAGGTTTCCTCCGGGTACTCCGGTTTCCCCTACCACTAAAAATATGTACAATAGGTCTGGCATGCGCTTCCTGTACTGGCCCCGCTCCCATCTCTGTGTGGAGTGAGAGACAAATGCCCAAAAAATAACAATTGTAAACCGCTTTGAGACTCTGGTCTGTGAAAGGCGGTATATAAATAAAGCTTACTTACTACTACTACTTACTATGTGTGTGTGCGTGTGGTTCATGTGTGTGAAGTGCGTGTGGTTCATGTGTGTGTGCGTGTGGTTCATGTGTGTGTGGTTGATGCATGTGGTTCATGTGTGTGCGTGTGGTGCATGTTTGTGATGTGTGTGTGCGTGCGTGTGCTTCATGTGTGTGTGCGTGTGGTTCATGTGTATGTGTGCGTGTGGTTCATGTGTGTGTGGTTGATGCTCTATGTGGTTCATGTGTGTGTGCGTGTGGTTCATGTGTGTGAAGTGCGTGTGGTTCATGTGTGTGTGCGTGTGGTTCATGTGTGTGTGGTTGATTGCATGTGGTTCATGTGTGTGCGTGTGGTGCATGTTTGTGATGTGTGTGTGCGTGTGCTTCATGTGTGTGTGCGTGTGGTTCATGTGTATGTGTGCGTGTGGTTCATGTGTGTGGGGTTGACGCTCTATGTGGTTCATGTGTGTGTGCGTGTGGTTCATGTGTGTGAAGTGCGTGTGGTTCATGTGTGTGTGGTTGATGCATGTGGTTCATGTGTGTGCGTGTGGTGCATGTTTGTGATGTGTGTGTGCGTGTGCTTCATGTGTGTGTGCGTGTGGTTCATGTGTGTGTGGTTGCTCTATGTGGTTCATGTGTGGGTGGTTGCTCTATGTGGTTCATGTGTGTGTGCGTGTGCTTCATGTGTGTGTGCGTGTGGTGCATGTGTGCTTCATGTGTGTGTGCGTGTGGTTCATGTGTATGTGTGCGTGTGGTTCATGTGTGTGTGGTTGCTCTATGTGGTTCATGTGTGGGTGGTTGCTCTATGTGGTTCATGTGTGTGTGCGTGTGCTTCATGTGTGTGTGCGTGTGGTTCATGTGTGTGTGGTTGATGCATGTGGTTCATGTGTGTGTGGTTGATGCATGTGGTTCATGTGTGTGTGCGTGTGCTTCATGTGTGTGTGCGTGTGGTTCATGTGTGTGTGGTTGATGCATGTGGTTCATGTGTGTGTGCGTGTGCTTCATGTGTGTGTGCGTGTGGTTCATGTGTATGTGTGCGTGTGGTTCATGTGTGTGTGGTTGCTCTATGTGGTTCATGTGTGGGTGGTTGCTCTATGTGGTTCATGTGTGTGTGTGCATGTGCTTCATGTGTGTGTGCGTGTGGTTCATGTGTGTGTGGTTGATGCATGTGGTTCATGTGTGTGTGGTTGATGCATGTGGTTCATGTGTGTGTGCGTGTGGTTCATGTGTGTGTGCGTGTGGTTCATGTGTGTGTGGTTGATGCATGTGGTTCATGTGTGTGTGCGTGTGCTTCATGTGTGTGTGCGTGTGGTTCATGTGTATGTGTGCGTGTGGTTCATGTGTGTGTGGTTGCTCTATGTGGTTCATGTGTGGGTGGTTGCTCTATGTGGTTCATGTGTGTGTGCATGTGCTTCATGTGTGTGTGCGTGTGGTGCATGTGTGCTTCATGTGTGTGTGGTTGATGCATGTGGTTCATGTGTGTGTGGTTGATGCATGTGGTTCATGTGTGTGTGGTTGATGCATGTGGTTCATGTGTGTGTGCGTGTGGTTCATGTGTGTGTGCGTGTGGTTCATGTGTGTGTGGTTGATGCATGTGGTTCACCCTCTCATTGGAGACGTCCATGTTGAACACCCCGGCCTTGTAGTAGGAGTACATGCCGCTGTCGAAGAAGTACTCAGACAGGCCCAGGTAAACCATGCGCTCGTACTCCTGGAACAGCGGCTCCACGGCCAGGTTGGGCAGCAGCTCCTGCTCGTGGGCCAGGCTGAAGAACATGCCCTGGGGACACACAGGACACACTTAGATCATCATTTGTCTTTGATAGGGATACGTTTCAGTGTGCACAAAGTAAACCACTCAAGGACTTTAAAAGATTACTTTCAAAGTCTTGTAAAAGTCTTCTGAAGAAATAACATCAACCATTCTTTAAGAGACTAATTTTGACCTCAAAAGCTGTGTTTACGGCAGAATGTGACCAGCACGGACAGGACCATTCCCTGGAGCTTGTTGCTTGTGTAAAAGCTGTAAGAGCTGTGAGACATTGGCTGAATGAGGATGTACTTTTTCTTAATCACTTTTCTGTCTGAAAAAAACGGATCTGTGTGTGGTTGATGTGACTGAGGTCTACTGTGCAGTTTACTATGTTTGTGAAAAAGCACATTTACTCAAAAATTAAATGTGTATTGTAATATTCATTGTCACAGCTCTAGAAGCATCAACTGATGAGCACTAATTTGACAAATTAGTGCTGCTTTTGAGCCAGGAAATACTGACATAGGAAGAAGATGGATGGATAACATGCTTTTGCCTATGATAAATATTCAGTAACGTTTAAAAATGATCTTTTTTTATTTTGTTATTGTTACTAAAAGTGGTATCAAAACTAGATACTTGTGTGAGTAGGTATCAATAAAAACATGCACAAAACAACACAAAATGAACATTTCCTGAGTGTATGTATACAGAATCTATTCATATCAACATTGATTTTAGTACTAATAATTGGTACAATGTGGGGTTAGGTGTCTCGCCCCAGGACACAACGGAAGCAGATGTGAGTGGGAGCAGTTGAAGTTGGACTCGAACCCACATCCTTCAGGCCCAAAGACCAACGCTCTACCAACTGAGCCACAATCGCCCTTTTAAACTTTCGGCCCTGAGCTGAGGAGAGGTCAGAGGTCAGAGGTCAGAGGTCAGAGGTCAGAGATCAGAGGTCAGTAGGCAGAGCAAGGTCAGTGCAGTGTGGGCCTTACTCTGAAGTCCATGTCCAGGCTGCGCTGGGACACACGCGGGTCACTCAGCAGAGAGTAGTCTATGCCGATGTAGCTGTCCACCTCAGAGCGCACTGGGATGGTGTCCAGCATGGAGTTGACATGGACCAGCGCTGCATGGTCCAGCACTGGGCAGAGCTGCAGAGTGACAGGGTCGGGCAGGTCAGAGAGCAAAAGAAAAATAACATCAATAATACAGACAGTCCAATGTATTGGATTTAAAACATAAATCCACATTCAATTTTTGAGCAGGAAATATAATATGTATCTGTGAACAGGGCAATAAAGCAAACATATTCAACGCAACTGATCAAATTCCAGGACAAATAAAACTGAAATCTTGTCTGTGCAGTAAAAGACTGTTCTGAGAGTCCCTACGCTGCAATGTGCACGCAACACATGTTCACTTGTGATATTTAGTGACATACTGTATACTCACACTATCACACACCGATACAGTGGGACATTTAGAGAAGGACATGCGGGCTTTGGCAGTGCGACTCGGAGGCAGTTTGAGTGGATAGTAAAACCGTGCTTCTTTGAAAAAAAAAATCTACAAAAAGTGTGTGTGTGTGTGTGTGTGTGTGGAGCCTGCAGCTCTAGTGTGTGTTGTGGGGTCATGTTCTAGGGTTTTCATTTATTTGAACAGTATTAATACTGCACAAAAGGAGTGGGCTGAAGCAAAAAGCTTATTAGCACTCAAGGGTCACACTCGCCTTCTGGTTCAAGAGGAAACGCATTCCGGTGGTCAGGAAGCTGGCCAGGAAGTCATACACTTTACTGGAACACACACACATGTACATACACACACACACACACACACACACGCAATGACCATTAGACAATACACAATAATATCCTTTCTCCATAACTCTAAATTACCATCAAAAATATAATTTTTCCTAGTATCAGTATTGGAAATGTTTTAACAACACTACTAGAAACAATCCAATAAACCTGAAATAAATAAATACATGTTCTAAACATTTATCCATATGTGACCCCGAAAAACTGCCCGATAGTGAAACCTGTGTGTGCCTCTTTGGGTGAGGTTCCATAAAGATGAGGCTACTGATTCCCCCTCGGAGCCTGTTGGAGTAAGCTCTGGTTGTTTTGGCCACGAATATAGTATGATTCTTGAGCGTTTGAAGTGTTGAAATAGCACCACACGGAGACAGCGAGGATCAGAACAGAAGGGAGTTATCGCCCGTACGGGAACGCATCGGCCCTGAAGCGACGAGTGACAAGCGACAATGCCAAAGTTTGTGACTGCGCTCACAGCGGGCGCAGCAGGAAGCAGAATGTGACACCAGATATCACGCCCCCGCTCCCCACCACCCACCACATCGACCCCCCCTCATCTGGGCTTTACAACCGTGCTCAGGCCCACCTCTCTAAACCGTGCCCAAGCATGGTTACTGCAGCCTCCCCCAAGCCCATTTGCCGCGGTCACTCCGCACCTGAAACCCGGATCTAATTGCGACCTGGTAGACCCCTTTAACTGGGCTTTAGGTTGTGCTTGTGAACGCAGCCCTAGCTGACTGACCCAAGTGTCCCGCTGAACTCCGCCCTCATGCGGCTGATCCGGGCGTCACAGGTAATGTTGCCAATCTTCAGTCGTCCGTCCAGATCCCGGATCAGCGTCAGGGCCGTGTGGATGTTCACGCCCTCAGCAGAGGCGTTTATCAGCCCTGTGTCATAGCTAGGAACAGAACAGAAGAACGTGTCATACTGAGCAGATCAGATTCAGATTCATTTTATTTGCCATTTGCAGTAAAACCACTATATTACAGTATATATGTGCAAAAGTACCCCAGTGTGCAAAACACAATTATATGAAATAAAACAAACTAGAAACTACAAGAAACAATTGTCAATCAATCAACAAAAACAGAGCACAAATCCAGAGGCCGGGATGATCATGGGTGAGTCGCTCTGATCTAACTAATCCACTCTAATCACATCTCAGACTATTTTTGAGCAGTCAGTGATTAGACAGACCAAGAACATCCTCAGAGACTCATTTTCTCTACTCACAATTCGAACTGCTGCATTCTGGGAGGAGGTTGTTGGAATAATTGTACAATGATTATGTTTTATCATTGCTTTGTTTTTAACCATTTGTGCTGCACAAGTATAACCTCAGGTGCGAGTGTTTTATATAAACCATGTTTATATTCTTACAGTCCTTGTTACAGTGATATAGATGTGCACTGTTCTGGGAAGGTCACTCTTTTCCAGAAGCAGGTGGCTACAAAGTAAGTAGCTTGTCGTGGGAAGATTGCACTTTCTGAGAAATGGTGACTCATCAACTGCATCTCCATCTTGTTTGTAATAAATGTAACATTCAGTGTTTTTCCAAAGTCAGCCGTTTCCCACCTTTAGGGCTGACCTTGTGCCTGTAACTAGGGGCGTGGAACTTAATAAAAAGAGTGTGAAGCCACAGAGATCCCAGAATCACACTGATACAGACTAGATTGTACCTGGGGGTTGATCTCTGTGATGGCTTCTCACGTGCAAGTAAATAAGATCACGCGCTTTGTCTTTTCTTCCTCTTATGCAGAATTGTTTTTTGAAACCAGCCCCAACAGAGGTGCAGGATCTGACTATGCAAAAGCAACTAGTTTAAGAACGCTCACACATTCACATTCAAGATTATTCAATTGCTTTGTTTAAACTGATAACAAGAAGCTGTTAGCCAAACGAGATGTCCTGCATCTCAGCGAACTAATCTTCTACCAGAAGGAAGAAGCTGGAACATGGCTTTTCCAGGCTGGCCAGAAGAGTCATTGATTATTTTAAGAACTCGCTTTAAGAGTCTGGAATCACAAAGATCCTCCAGAACAGGCAGCTCACGGTGAAGCCCTCTTTGCAGAGCGGAGCACCTGGTTTAGAGCTCTCCTTTCTTTGGCCGTGATGTTACCGAAACACACAGTCACAGAACCAACAATCACATTTGTTGGTTGTCAATGGTGCAGCGATCAAAGTTAAGCAGAATCTTAGCGTTTGTAATGAATTCTCTAAGTTTCAGAAGAAAGAAGAGACGCTGATGAGCTTTCTTGACAACATGTTTAGTGTTTTTGTCCTATTTCAGGCACATTTCAGAACAGAAGCAGCAGTCAGAACGTGGGCTATCAGACTATTGACAGTAAAAATGAATTAACCAATGTTTTTATCTTTTGTGTTGAATTTTAAAGTTTGTAGACTTACAAGAACCAGTAGAGGATGCGGCGATGGAAGCTCAGGGTGATGGAGGAGTTCTGCACCTGAAACAGGAGTCCCACTGACGGGATGAAGGCCAGGTCCACGCTGGTCAGGTCCAGAGCAATGATCTTTATGCTGACCACAAACACAGTCAGCTCCAGCAATACTCCACCTACTCTGTGAAGTACTTTATACTGAGCGTGTGTACTCTGTGAAGTATACTGAGTGTGTGTACTCTGTGAAGTATACTGACTGTGTGTACTCTGTGAAATATACTGTGTGTGTGTGTGTACTCTGTGAAGTATACTGAGTGTGTCTACTCTGTGAAGTATACTGACTGTGTGTTCTCTGTGAAGTATACTGACTGTGTGTACTCTGTGAAGTATACTGACTGTGTGTTCTCTGTGAAGTATACTGACTGTGTGTACTCTGTGAAGTATACTGACTGTGTGTACTCTGTGACGTATACTGAGTGTGTGTACTCTGTGAAATATACTGTGTGTGTGTGTGTACTCTGTGAAGTATACTGAGTGTGTGTACTCTGTGAAGTATACTGAGTGTGTGTACTCTGTGAAGTATACTGACTGTGTGTACTCTGTGAAGTATACTGAGTGTGTGTACTCTGTGAAGTATACTGTGTGTGTGTGTGTACTCTGTGAAGTATACTGAGTGTGTGTACTCTGTGAAGTATACTGACTGTGTGTACTCTGTGAAGTATACTGAGTGTGTGTACTCTGTGAAGTATACTGAGTGTGTGTACTCTGCGAAATATACTGAGTGTGTGTACTCTGCGAAGTATACTGAGTGTGTGTACTCTGTGAAGTATACTGAGTGTGTGTACTCTGTGATGGTGTACTCTGTGATAGTACTCACTCTGTGATAGTACTCACTCTGTGGTAGTACTCACTCTGTGGTAGTACTCACTCTGTGATAGTACTCTGGTAGTACTCACTCTGTGATAGTACTCACTCTGTGATAGTACTCACTCTGTGGTAGTACTCACTCTGTGATAGTACTCTGGTAGTACTCACTCTGTGATAGTACTCACTCTGTGATAGTACTCTGTGGTAGTACTCACTCTGTGATAGTACTCACTCTGTGATAGTACTCTGTGGTAGTACTCACTCTGTGATAGTACTCACTCTGTGATAGTACTCTGTGGTAGTACTCACTCTGTGGTAGTACTCACTCTGTGGTAGTACTCACTCTGTGATAGTACTCTGTGATAGTACTCACTCTGTGGTAGTACTCACTCTGTGATAGTACTCTGGTAGTACTCACTCTGTGATAGTACTCTGTGGTAGTACTCACTCTGTGATAGTACTCTGTGGTAGTACTCACTCTGTGGTAGTACTCACTCTGTGATAGTACTCTGTGATAGTACTCTGTGGTAGTACTCACTCTGTGATAGTACTGATAGTACTCTGTGATAGTACTCTGTGGTAGTACTCACTCTGTGATAGTACTCTGTGATAGTACTCTGTGATAGTACTCTGTGATAGTACTCTGTGGTAGTACTCACTCTGTGGTAGTACTCACTCTGTGGTAGTACTCACTCTGTGATAGTACTCTGTGATAGTACTCTGTGATAGTACTCTGTGGTAGTACTCACTCTGTGATAGTACTCTGTGATAGTACTCTGTGGTAGTACTCACTCTGTGATAGTACTCTGTGATAGTACTCTGTGATAGTACTCTGTGATAGTACTCTGTGGTAGTACTCACTCTGTGATAGTACTCTGTGATAGTACTCTGTGATAGTACTCTGTGGTAGTACTCACTCTGTGATAGTGTACTGGAAGCGGCCTTCTTTGCCCATCATCTCTGGCATCACGATGTCACTGATCTCCTGCTCCACAAAGCGCTGCGTCTCGGCCTTCACTGTGGACCAGAGCATTTTACTGTTCAATCCAAGAAGAACATTCAACATAATCTATCTACAGGTGTTGTAGTGTTAGCTCCTTAAGGCTACGATACACTTTTAAAAGTGTCTTTTTCACTTCAAATCTGTCCCATATTTAGGTTTAAAGCCACACTGGTTTTCTCTGGAGCTGATATGATCTTGTAGTCAAGACAACAGTATTCTCCATCAGGTACTCGCCGTGAATATGTTGTTGATAATATTTTAGCCAACTTATGAATTAGAATATCTTGTCTAGGCTTTTCTTATGGTCTTTGATGCTGTCCCTCAGTTTGGGGACAACCTCTACAGCTCTATATATTGTACTGGGGTTAATATCTGTTCTTGTTGCACTTTCCTTCTGTATTTTTAGTTTGATTTGTTATTTGGAACACTGCAATGAATTGTAGCCTGTTTGAGTTAGCTCTAATCCTCATGGAGGCTGTTTGAGTTAGCTCTAATCCTCATGGAGCCTGTTTGAGTTAGCTCTAATCCTCATGGAGCCTGTTTGAGTTAGCTCTAATCCTCATGGAGGCTGTTTGAGTTAGCTCTAATCCTCATGGAGCCTGTTTGAGTTAGCTCTAATCCTCATGGAGCATGTTTGAGTTAGCTCTAATCCTCATGGAGCCTGTTTGAGTAAACTCTAATCCTCATGGAGCCTGTTTGAGTTAGCTCTAATCCTCATGGAGCCTGTTTGAGTTAACTCTAATCCTCATGGAGCCTGTTTGAGTTAGCTCTAATGAGTTAGCTCTAATCCTCATGGAGCCTGTTTGAGTTAACTCTAATCCTCATGGAGCCTGTTTGAGTTAACTCTAATCCTCATGGAGCCTGTTTGAGTTAGCTCTAATCCTCATGGAGCCTGTTTGAGTTAACTCTAATCCTCATGGAGCCTGTTTGAGTTAGCTCTAATGAGTTAGCTCTAATCCTCATGGAGCCTGTTTGAGTTAACTCTAATCCTCATGGAGCCTGTTTGAGTTAACTCTAATCCTCATGGAGCCTGTTTGAGTTAGCTCTAATCCTCATGGAGCCTGTTTGAGTTAACTCTAATCCTCATGGAGCCTGTTTGAGTTAGCTCTAATGAGTTAGCTCTAATCCTCATGGAGCCTGTTTGAGTTAGCTCTAATCCTCATGGAGCCTGTTTGAGTAAGCTCTAATCCTCATGGAGCCTGTTTGAGTTAGCTCTAATCCTCATGGAGCCTGTTTGAGTTAACTCTAATCCTCATGGAGCCTGTTTGAGTTAGCTCTAATGAGTTAGCTCTAATCCTCATGGAGCCTGTTTGAGTCCCCCGGGCACTGTACTATGGCGACCACTGCTCCTGACAGTCCTTACACATGTTGAGGCCTCGGTCTGTGATCCGGATTTTGACCCCGGGTGGATCAGATGAGAGGACGCAAGATGCAGACAGGAAGGGGAGGAGCCACGACCATGATGGTTTCATCTTACAAGCTGCACCAGATGTTGTCCTGTTGAAAAAAATCAAGTTCATCTTTAGGTGTGAAATAAATATGTGTCAGGACTACTTCTGCCTCAGGGGTCCTATACGTATCCTATACGTATCCTATACGTGTCCTATACGTATCCTATACGTGTCCTATACGTATCCTATACGTGTCCTATACGTATCCTATACGTGTCCTATACGTGTCCTATACGTGTCCTATACGTATCCTATACGTGTCCTATACGTATCCTATACGGGTCCTATACGGGTCCTATACGTGTCCTATACGTATCCTATACGTGTCCTATACGTATCCTATACGGGTCCTATACGGGTCCTATACGTGTCCTATACGTATCCTATACGTGTCCTATACGTATCCTATACGGGTCCTATACGTATCCTATACGTGTCCTATACGTATCCTATACGTGTCCTATACGTGTCCTATACGTGTCCTATACGGGTCCTATACAGGTCCTATACGTGTCCTATACGTGTCCTATACGGGTCCTGTACGGGTCCTATACGTGTCCTATACGGGTCCTATACGGGTCCTATACGGGTCCTATACGGGTCCTATACGTGTCCTATACGTGTCCTATACGTGTCCTATACGTGTCCTATACGGGTCCTATACGTGTCCTATACGTGTCCTATACGGGTCCTATACGGGTCCTATACGTGTTCAGTCCAAGCAGCTGCTATGATAAAATCTATAATCAAAGTCAATAAAAGTAATTATTCGGTGAAAATACCTTCATGATGTAAAGTCACAAATTCAAATGAACAATAAACAAACTGTCCACAAATGCTTGATCCACTGCATTTCCTGTTTTTGTCTCTCTGTTTTACAAGTACAAATGTTTACTTTCTCTACTGTTCTTGTTAAAAAACAATACCAGGTTGAAAATATAGTGTCTATAGCAGACTTGCATATTCTTATCCATTCATTAGTCTCCAGTAGGTGAGACCAGTGTAAGGGCCTGCTCACTGGTCTCCTCAAACCAGCTGTAAAACACTGCAGCTCGAGTTCTGAGCAGAACCAGGAAGTATAATCACATCAGTCCAGTTCTCAGGTCTCTACACTGGCCTCCTGTAGATCAGAGAATAGACTCCGAGACATGTTAGTGCTTTATGAGCCAACTCGGACTCTGAGGAGCACAGGGACTGGCCTTCTGCAGGTCACCAGAGTCAGGACTAAACATGGAGAGGAAGCATTTCAGGTTTATGCAGCAAAAATCTTGAAAAGTCTTCCTGAAAATGTGAGAAAGGCTTTTTTTCTGACAATGTTCAAATCAAGGTGAAAAACAGTTCTGTTTCGCTGTGCAAAGAACCGGGATTTTACCTTCACTCTTTTTAATGTACTGCGATTATATATATTTTGAATGCCTTGTATTGCTTTTATCTTATTTTGTCAAGCACTTTGAGTTGCCTTGTGTATTAACTGTGCCATACAAATAAACTTGCCTTGCCTTGATGTGGACAGCGCCGTCAAATTTGAGACCCCTCTATGAGACTATGTGAGACTATGTGAGACTATGTGAGACTATGTGAGACTGACAGACGGTTGGTGCAGCATCTCCTGTGATGTGGTCTCTGTATCAAACTGTTGTGGTGAAAAGGGAGCAGCATCTGCAGTCAAAGCTCTGTTCCTCCTACAAGATGAGGATACCAGCATTACACATGACGTTCCCCTGCAGAATGGCTGGGCACTCCCTCAGAGAGAGGTGGAGGTGCTCAGAGTATAGCCTCTGCTCCTTGACATGGTGAGGAGCCAGCAGTAGCAAAAGGCTCCTATGGGTTGAATTCAACTCTCGTGAATTGGAACAGGGGCTCTGCTGTCCGTCCCAAACATGAGTCAGGGCTTAATATGTGGAGTATTTGTTTCAGATTGGAGCTGCTTATAGGCCTAGATTGTAGATACAGTACATTCATATTGTAGGTCTATATTTGTAGTCCAGACACATCACACTGGCACTGACACACACTCATTTATACCCCTACATCTGCCAAGATTGCACTCCAAGTTAGAAAATAATGCTTTATTGCCTACATCTCCTTTTCCATGAGTAGACTGTGTGTCTCCGGTGCCCGGGGGACTGTGGTAAATCCGCCTTAGCCCGGCCCTCAACCTCACTGCACACACTGCTCTGTAATGAGCTCTAATTAGAGGCCTGCTCTTCACGCTACAAAGCCTACAGGACGTTACCATGACGCTGCTAATGAAAAGCTACAGATAACAACAATCTTCTACTTTTATTTGATCCAGACAAAGGTGTAGCCTAGTCCTGACCAAGCCGAGCATCAACACCAGTGGTGTCCTACGGCAATCACTGCTCCTGACTCAAGCCTTAGTGGCATCAGGATGGGTCAAATGCAGAGGAGGAATAAAGTGCACCTTTACATGCCGCCTGTAGGCTAAACATGGATGAATTGTTTAACATGCTGGGTTTAAAGATGCTGTTGTGGCTGTTCCATCAGGAGTGAGCTGACATGAGGATAGACACAAGAACATTATTGAGTTAACGAGAGAAGACAGAGTGGGAGTGAGGGATCTGTGAGTGAGTGAAGGTCCTCCTTCTCTACCTCCTCCAGTATTTAGCTGCTCGGTCTAGTTTATTATAATAGTCCCAAGGGCGGCTTTAGACAGTCGTGTTGATGTGTAAAGGCTCACCCTGTGTGAATAAATGACTGTGGTGACACACAGGTAACGTGATGTGTCGGGCCCACAGGCCTACAATATTATTGTATCTACAATCTTGGCCTTTATAACTTTGATCTTGAATTATTTAATATCAATATATTATGACAAACATTATCATGTATCACAAACAGCTTGTGTAATTCCCCACATTACGGGGCAGAAAATTACCTTTTTGGCAAATTGTGAAGCTGTGAAAATGCATTTTTTAATTAAATTGATATATTTCATGACATAAAATTGTAATACTGGGAATAATTACATATTGTTGTGTTGTTTATAGATGATTTTGCTAAAACAAAACACGAACAATACTTATTTATTAATTTGTGCAGTATATGACCATTCATGGACTGTAGCAACAAAAAAGGTTGGTGTCTAAATCAGTGCTACATGAGGCCGCTGTGGTCACACTGAACACGGCAGCACGGGGCGGTCAGGGTGACAAAACTCTCAAACTGAGAGAGGTTTTTAAAGTATATCACAATGATGGTTTCACTTAATAATATACATTAATCTAAGGAAAAGCAATTCCATAATTTATAATTCAAGAATATTTGAGCACAAAAGATCTGATGAACAAACAATGCCATAGAGAGGTCAAAGTCCTGTGATCCCAAACACAAGCTCTGCTCTGAGGCAGTGGGAGGACCGCACAGGGGCCGCCCTCTGACCACATGAAGGCGCTGTAGAGTCAGTGGTTTCTATAATGTCCCACTTCATCTAAACTTCCACCTGGAATGAATGAATTGATTGTATGAATCAAACTGAAAGACTTTAAGAATGTGAATTTATTCACATTCTTAAACACGTGAAGCAAAAATATGTTCAATTCAGATCTCGAAGGGCGACACAGATTTGTTGATTTGCCGACACTAGATTAGAAAATAAAAAATTAACAACTTCCCAAGACCTCATCTCAAGATCATGTCAAAGAGCCCAAAAAAATAGGATTATACCTTACAGACATTTTTTAAGGGAGATATCAAATATGACATACCACAGTGTCCAGGAAAGTGATGGCTCAGTGTCTTGTCCGTATGGACCCTGTGTGGTCCTGTGTGGTCCTGTGTGGTCCTGTGTGGTCCTGTGTGGTCCTGTGTAGTCCTGTTTGTCCCCTCTGTCCCGTGTGCGTCTCTGTGTGGGACGGTGTAGGCCTGTATGGCACTATGTGGGTCCACACAGGCTGCAGAGATTGATGGCTCCTCCTCTTCCCCGATCCCCCTCCCAGCGACCAACCTCAAACCCCACTCACTCCCCACCCCCTGCACAATCTGTGTTTTTAACCACGCTACAAAGTTGTGCCTCATCAACAACAGACCAGGAGCTGTTTTTAGCTCTATCCACTTTCACATCAGGAACTTCTGCAAACACATTCCCCCTTCTATCTACATTCTCTGTTTTTGAACTCCAAACCTCAGTCCATATTGCAACTATCTAGCAGTTTGTGAAGATGAAATGTAAGATGTTTTGAACAGAACAGGAAGTGAAACATGGATTTTTTGCTATGTCCCACGGGATACGTCATCTCCAGCGTGGGCCGCTGTTTGTCTCTAATCTACAGGTGCAAACAAGAGGATTCTCGGAATAAAACCTCGTTATTTCAAAGAATACTTCCTGTGGGCTCATGGAGACAATATTTTCTGGACCTCCAACATGCACAGTGTGAAGCGGATCAGATCCTCCTATTCGAGCCCATGGTGCTTGACCAGAAAAAAGTATATTGGGGTCTTGACAGATTGGTGTAGTGTCTGCGTGTCCTGTGATGTCACTGTCGGACTGTTCTGATGAAGAGTCTAAGTTCCCACCTCCACCTGTCACCCTCCACTCACCTAGAGTGTCTGATGTCTGCTGTCGTTGTGTCCTTGGGCAAGACACTTAACCTCTGGGAACACCAGCCACAGTGGGGCGGCTGCGGCTGTAAAGTGCCAAACTGCTGTTGTGTCCTTAGGCAAGACACTTCACCCCCGTTGCTTAGAATGAGTCTGGTGTGTGTGTGAATTATGAAGCGTCTTTGAGTGTCCAAAAAAGCGCTATATAAAACCGATGCATTATTATTATTATTTATTATTATTAGAGAGGGAAAGGCACTTTTTTCTGATTGGGCTGTTTGCACGGGTCAGCTACATCAGGAGTCCCATGACCCATCTTCATTTTGGCTCATTAAGACTCTTCAACCTTACGGCAACCCTAACTACTGAGGTCCATCAGCGGCTTTGGGGATTGCCACCATGACCACAGCTACAGGCTGCTCCATCGGTGATAGGGCTGGAGAACATGGTCAACTCAGATTCAATGCACCCCTCCTCCCCTGGGACATGGAAGAAGTTCTTCTTATTTGGGACCAGGGGGAAGCTCGTACAAAAGTATGAGTTGAAAATCCGTTGTACGATCTCCTGATGTTACAGCTTTCTCCCCCACCTGCATAATCCACTTACAACAAGGTGGTGATCAGTTGACCTCCGGCCTCGGGTGTCCTGAGCCATGTGGTCTAGTAGTGACAAGAATTCCAATTACTGAAGCTGAGGTTCAGATCAGGGTGTTCTTGGAGTCCCACTCACAGTTACGATATTGTTCATGTTTTGTGCAATAAAAACATTTACAAAGGAAAAAGCCACATATATAAAAAGTGTTTATAATTACATACTCTTTTTCTCTTTCGTGGGAAGAGCATTCCCACAAAAACAAGTGTGTATAAATTTATCAAAGAACAAGCCCACTCATTTTTGTTCAAATATAAACATTGAAAGTCAAAGTAAAAGCACAAAATGGACAGTGCGCAGCTTCAAAGTCTAGTGTAGCCCAAGTTCTGGGTCTGAGACAGACACCGAGTCACATGACCCTCCTGTTCTGGGTCACTTTGAGTTACCATGGAAACATCTGAGCAGTTTCTGAACCAAAGTAACCTTTCCAAACTCACGCACAGAAACACAAAACACACTGAGCATGTGCAGACACACGGCTCACACATGTAAACTCTAGAACAGCACAAACAGTACAAAAAAAAAACTGTTTTTAATGGATAGAGGGCATACGTTAAATTTAGTTTTTCTTTTTCTTTTTCCATTTGTCTGCTATTTTAATTTGCCAGTCAATCTGGCCAATATGAATCAAGCAGACCCAGCCCAAACGCCAGCAATACAATCAGCAGTCTCACATATGATCCATGATTGGTCAATGTTACGACCCAAAGGATAAAACATATTTGGGACACAGAGACAGGTTGAGAGTTCAAGATTTTTTGTGTGTTTGTTTTAGTCTAAAGGTCTTGGTAAATTAACTCTTGATTTTTATACTAGATAAATACAAAAAAACCCAACCCCGTGTCCAGGACACAAAACCCCAAAGTAAAAGTTAGTATTAGCGCCACCAGCTGGATCGAGCGTTGTACTACAGCACAGTTGCTCTGGCACGTTTGCAAAAACTCGTTCTTGTGACCGCGGGGTGTTTTCACACCCATGTGGCGACAATCCGGGCCACTCGGCCCAGTTCGTTTGTAAAAACCTATGTGACCGTGCCCTTAGCATCAGTTTCCCCTGTGCCCTCCTCCCAAATTTGTGCACCATGCTGTATTTTCTCTGTCGGCCGGGTCCATTTACCTGCCAGTCGACACTCGTTAAGTCGAGGGTCAAATACTATTTAGCTGCCTTCCGTCCTGAGATTCCTCAATGTGTGTCAGGAGGTTACAGGACGGACAGGAAGCAGCGAGTGCGTCTGGGGAAGAATGTCTCGGACTCTCGGATTATAAATACAGGAGCCCCACAGGGCTGTGTTCTTTCTCCCCTGCTCTTCTCCCTGTACACCAACCACTGCACCTCCAGCCACGACTCCGTGAAGCTGATCAAGTTCGCGGACGACACCACCCTCATTGGACTCATCTCCAACAACGATGAGTCCGCCTACAGGAGGGAGGTGGACCGGCTGGTGTCCTGGTGTCTCCTACAGGAGGGAGGTGGACCGGCTGGTGTCCTGGTGTCTCCTACAGGAGGGAGGTGGACCGGCTGGTGTCCTGGTGTCTCCTACAGGAGGGAGGTGGACCGGCTGGTGTCCTGGTGTCTCCTACAGGAGGGAGGTGGACCGGCTGGTGTCCTGGTGCAGTGGTAACAACCTGGAGCTGAACGCCCAGAAGACAGTGGAGATGATTGTGGACTTTTTTTTTTCTGCAATGCTTTTATTTTTCAAAAATCTAACAATGTTAAAAAGTATTGTGCTAATCTTCACCATACACTAAATTGAATTCAAACCAAGGAACAGGTGAATGCACTTCCAGAGAACAGTGCTAAATCTGCGACCCCAAAACAAGAAGTATTTAACTTCCAACCCACAACAAATGAATGAAGTAGTATAAGTTTGGGTTTATCACTATCACAGGAACGTCTTTTTGTTTCCTAATGTACATAATAATAATTATAATTTTATCATTATTCAAGGCTTAGAAAACAATCGTGTACTTACAGTGCCTTGCGAAAGTATTCGGCCCCCTTGAACCTTTCAACATTTCGCCACATTTCAGGCTTCAAACATAAAGATATAAAAAAAAATTTTTTTTTAAAGAATCAACAACAAGTGGGACACAATCGTGAAGTGGAACGAAATTTATTGGATAATTTAAACTTTTTTAACAAATAAAAAACTGAGGGAGGAAAAAAAGTGGGGCGTGCAATATTATTCGGCCCCTTGCGCTAATACTTTGTAGCGCCACCTTTTGCTGCAATTACAGCTGCAAGTCGCTTGGGGTATGTCTCTATCAGTTTTGCACATCGAGAGACTGGAATTCTTGCCCATTCTTCCTTGCAAAACAGCTGGAGCTCAGTGAGGTTGGATGGAGAGCGTTTGTGAACAGCAGTCTTCAGCTCTTTCCACAGATTCTCGATTGGATTCAGGTCTGGACTTTGACTTGGCCATTCTAACACCTGGATACGTCTATTTGTGAACCATTCCATTGTAGATTTGGCTTTATGTTTTGGATCATTGTCCTGTTGGAAGATAAATCTCCGTCCCAGTCTCAGGTCTTTTGCAGACTCCAACAGGTTTTCTTCCAGAATGGTATCTCTGATCAGTCTTCTCCTTGTTTGAGATGAAAGTTTGGAGGGACGGCCGGGTCTTGGTAGATTTGCAGTGGTCTGATACTCCTTCCATTTCAATATAATTGCTTGCACAGTGCTCCTTGAGATGTTTAAAGCTTGGGAAATCTTTTTGTATCCAAATCCGGCTTTAAACTTCTCCACAACAGTATCTCGGACCTGCCTGGTGTGTTCCTTTGTCTTCATGGTTCTCTCTGCGCTTTAAACAGAACCCTGAGACTATCAAAGAGCAGGTGCATTTATACGGAGACTTGATTACACACAGGTGCATTCTATTTATCATCATCAGTCATTTAGGACAACATTGGATCATTCAAAGATCCTCACTGAACTTCTGGACTGAGTTTGCTGCACTGAAAGTAAAGGGGCCAAATAATATTGCACGCCCCACTTTTCAGTTTTTCATTTGTTAAAAAAAATTATCCAATACATTTCGTTCCACTTCACGATTGTGTCCCACTTGCTGTTGATTCATGATTCATTTTTATCTTTGAAGCCTGAAATGTGGCGAAATGTTGAAAGGTTCAAGGGGGCCGAATACTTTCGCAAGGCACTGTATTTGATACTCTGGTCTGAAGTACCACTCCCGGACCGGTAGGTGGCGGCCATGGCTCATTTCAGAGACTCACATGTAAACAAGCCGAGAGAGAGTACCGCTTCCGGCATCACCACACGTGTGCAGAGGTGGAGTGGACCGGCGGTGCTGAGTGAGACCAGTGTGTTGTGGTTCTGTTTCTGCGGGAACAGTCTGGTCCCATCTCTCTTCTCTCTTCTCTCTTCCTCACGTCCTCTCTCTGCCTTTGAAGATGCTGGCGGAGCTGGGCCTGATCGGAACCTTGCAGGACGATGAGCTGAGCCCGCAGGAGCCCGAGTCTGAGTCCGGTGGTGAGGTGGGTCCAGTGTAGTTTTTACAAAGCAACCCATTCTTATTTTCACTGGTGACGGAACTAGCAAATAATTATTGTTGGTAAAATGTGATGTCACTTCTAGGTTGGGGTTAGGACGGCCATTGTATGTGTGTAAATGTGTGTAAATGTATGTAAATCTGTATGTAAATATATGTGTGTATGTACATGTGTGTGTGTATGTAAATGTATGTAAATGTGTGTGTGTGTATGTAAATGTATGTAAATGTGTATGTAAATATATGTCTGTATGTAAATGTGTGTATGTAAATGAATGTGTGTATGTAAATGTTTCCTGAGAAGTTTTTGGCTGAACTGTTGAATGCAGAAAAGAAACGAAAGGCCCCTAAGTAATGAAGCTGTTCTAGAAATATTAAAAGCCACATTTGTTCCATCATTAGTGTTTACACGGCTACAGAGAAAAAGTATTGTTACTCTGGCATCATTACATTTTGTTCCAATTATACCAAAATATACCTATTTTGTACTTTTCTATAACTTTTATCATTACAGGTTCACTGGTTTTGCCTTCACTCTGTTGCTATAATCTCTGCCTCAGTCCAATGATAATGAAGATTTATCATATTAGTCCACAGAGTCAGAATAGCTGCATTTCTTTTGGGCAGAATCAGTCAGAAATCAGGTTCCTCCACAGGTGTTGATGTTTTCTGCATGTGTGGTTGTGTTTCTGATGGCGGCTGCTGATGCTTTGAGGCCCCACAGTGGGAGGCCCCACAGTGGGAGGCCCCACAGTGGGAGGCTCCCTGTAGTGTGTGTTCCAGCTGTATGACATTACAAAACTGTGCTGTCTTCAGGATGAGCCCATCGTGCTCAACAGGAAGAAGAAACAGGGCAAACGGCGCCATGGGGCCAAGGACTTCAACGCAGACTTTGAGTTTGGAGAGAAGGATGTGGGCCAAACGGAGCAACCCTGGCTGTCCCAGGACGTCTTGAACCAGATGAAGCCCAGGGTGAGAGAGACTGGTTGAGGATAACACAGTAGCTTGTTACTACAAACTTCTGGGGTGACCTTTTCAGTCAGATTTCTGTGGCCACTCATTTGTTACATTAGAAATCATGTTTGAATGACCCATTATTCTGATCAGGACAAGTGTCATGTTCACACAGAGAGCTCATTAGTGTTGGTCTTTATTAGAGCTGTTCGACATGTCCAGAGCGACTCTGAGGATAATGGGGATGCTAACAAAAAGAAGACCTTTGCTAACATGTTCCCTGTAGTGCTTTTCCGTCTATTCATTTAAATGATACATTATAATTGAATGGATGAATTATATATAATATATCATATATTTAAGTGAGTTTTATAATGGGACAGTTTGTATTAAAGAACAGCTACTGTTGTGAAGTCATCGGAAAGCTAGTTTTCATTATTAGTCCTATGTTTTGTGGTTTAAAAAACTGTCAACCTGTATGCAGATTTTTGTTTTTTGTTACTGTAGCTCAGCCTGAGTTTGTATGGTTGTCTCCTTTATGCTGATGTTTGCTGCTTGTGTTGCAGAGAACTGCCACAAGCTTGGACCAGAAGATTGAGCAGGTCCGCAAGAAGAGGAAGGCTCAGGTAAGTTTGGTCCCTCTGTGTCACACCTTATTGACTTGACATATAGTCAAATTATAATCTCTTCATTTCCTTAAATTGGGGTTTGGAGGTCATTACGTTAGAGCTTTCATCCAATTGTATGTGTCCACCTCAAATCTGCCTTCATGGCCTCGTTTATCTCACAGTGAAGGGATATGAACCTTTGGGGTTAACTAAATAATCTGTTTGTGTTCTTTTTGGGGTTTATATTATTAAAGATGCTATACCCGATTAAAAAACATTGAGTTAATTAAAATGCCTATTACTACATACGAGTTGTATTATAATCCGTAATGTAAAACTTGAGCTCATTGATTCAGCTGTGGATGAACTCAGGCGTAAAAAGTGCTGAGTAGAGACTTTAGCGTGACGCCCGCTCTCCTCCAATCACAGAACAGGCTGCGTCCTCTAGCCTCTACAGCGCTGCTAAACACAGTAGCATGTTAGCATAAGTGGCTATAACTCCTCTGGCTGTAACTGCAGACACAGCAAAACAGCCCAAACCACACAACAGTGAGGAAGAGAAGAGGAACTAAAGCCACAACATGATCAAAGAAGAAACCAAGCCCTGAACAGAGCTAGCTTACATCGTATCCTCTGGAGAGACTGGTCTGAGGGAGAGACCTGCGGAACCTCAGTCCGAGCGCAGATAGTCCGAGCGCAGATGGACTATCTACGCTCGGACTATCTGACGTGAAACTAGCGGTAATCTTTCAGTTATATAATTTGTTAGCAGTGCGTTGCTTTTGTACCATTTCATCAGTGATTGTTGTACAGTTTACAAGAAATTGTGCTAATATTTGCACATAGATCAAAAATAAAACCAGATGGCTCTGTGGGATGAGGGGAAATGAGAAGCCTGTGAGCGAGTTGGGGGCGGTGCTAAACATTCAAACCTTTCTGAAACGGGTAAAGCTCCTTTTTAAGAAAAAGAAACCATACAGATAAAATCATAGATCAGATTTTACTGCTCCAACATAAACAGACCAATCAGAAGACCCAACAGCTTCATCTGACTGCATGCTAGCTATAGCAAGAGGCATGTCTGACTACTGGCAACTCTGACAAATTTACTTTTAAATCTTTGTGTTTGGAGTACCTCCTGTGGACTCACCACCTGCAGAGGGTCAGTGAGGGGCTGGTGCTATGAGACTTGGGTGGCATCTCTGACTGTCACCCCCTGACCCAGAAATGGATTAAAGGGTAGAAAATGGATGGATGGATGTTTGGAGTACATGGGTTGCTGACATTACTGTTATTTTATTGTCATATTCCTATTTTTTATGAGTCTGTTGTGCTTTAGGAGAAGGGCTCCACAGACGAGGCCCTGGAGCTGAAACCGGACCTAGCGGAACCAGCAGGGAGCCTGCAATCGGACCATTCAGATGAGGAGTCTGACGAGTCTGAGGCAGAGTTCAGTTCTGGAGACGAGAAGATTCTCACCAAATCCGGTCTGAACCATTCTATTGCCATTACTGTGTTTAGGGTTAGTGTGGGCGATATGACAAACAAATAAAACAATATAGATTGCGATATGAATAGCAGTGGGACAAATCTTCAAGACTGCTTTAAAACATTATTAAAATATAAGAAAAATAACTATGTAATAAATCTATATCACTCTCAAAGTAGAATAGGAAAGAAGCGCAAGCTAGTTTAGCTTCACCGAGGCTGTGGCCTTTCATACAGCGGTGATCGTGGAACGACACTGATGCATCGGCTAAACATCGGTATCGGCCGATTTTAATCTTTTTAACCACCATCGGCAAATACAAAAGGCATTCGCCAATGGTAGGCGCGTGCGAAAAGATACCGGTAGAAAAAGATCAGCGTTATGTAGTTTGCGATACGTGTTCCAGTGAAATGTGTGATTGCGGGACACTTGCTGTTTGCTGTAGGCACTCGAACAGGTTTCCACATCCTCTGTTGCTGCAACAACAACTTATTTTTGTATTTCCCTAAATCACAACAGCATCATCTCAGAGACTTAACAAAACCATTGAAATCACCAACACAGATCAGAGAATAAACCGTTAAAACACAGAATATACACATATGAGTTGGTCCATAGGAGAGACCAATGTCCATGAATGTTGATAAATGTCATACATGTTGTAGAATGTTAGTGTCCTGGATCATCACAGTCCTTCTAGTCGGACACTAACTGCCCAACAGACTCCTGCATCGGCAAGGAACAACTCATAAGAAAACCCAGTGGGAAAAAAAAGTGAGAAACCTCGGGGAGCTACAGAACGAGGACCAAGGCCACGCAGCGGCCGCAGAGCGTGGACAGGTCCAGGACTGAAGCACTCCCAGGCGGGTCGGGCAGGACAGTCCGCAGGTGCAGCGTTCTGATCCTGGAGCAACTGCGGCCACTATGAAAAAAGCTCAGCGAACGCCGTAACGTGGCCATGATCTGAGCATAGACTTGTGGACGGGCTTCAAGACACTGCCTCAGGATCAGTCCATGTGTCTCCCCCGTGTCTCCTGCCCAAGGGCAACTAGACTCGCTAAATTAAAGCTGTGGTACCTTTTTGTTTACATTTTTCTTAGCATTAAGAATGCGTGTTGGTTTTACGCTAAAGTAAAATGTTGTGAACAAATCAAACTGCACAAACCACAGCAGGCGTACATACTTAAGAAAGTCATTATTTGACTTTTTGGGCTAAGAGTGGATTTTTTTAGTGCCACTTTATTTCCAAACTCTAGTAAACTCATTGAATTGAGAAATACTTGTTATTCTCACATTATTTTGGAAGTTGCCATATTTGTATTATTCTATTGAAGGTTTATAATGAGGGGGTGGTTCTAAAGTCAGCCATAGGTTTTACAGGTATGTCTTTCCAGGCGTTTAGTCCAATAACATTCGATAACACAACGAATCTCATTGGACATTTGAGAAGCAAGCATGAAGTGGTGTACAGCGATTGAAGCTTAAAGCCTAGCGTACATGGGACTGGCAACTGATTATATCCGTGGCATATGAGTTGCTGCCCCGCACACATCGACAATCTGACGAAAACGGGCAACTCCTGTATCAGACCAGTCTCGGGAATAACAGCGCGTACATCGACAGCAACTGGCCTCAACTACAGTGTGTTTTCTGACATAAACTGTTGCGGGCTCGCAATACACGCAACACACACACGTTGTCGGAGCGGCGCATGGAGCGCGCACATCGGGTCATATCTCCGAAACTGAGGACAACTAGTTGCCGAAAAGTAGAACACGGGCAACTGACTGAAACTGGAGACCGACTGATCATCTCCAGTTGTAAGAGCGCGCACATCGACCGATTTCGGCAACTGATCATCTCCACCATCTCCTCTCAGTTGCCAAAAGCCGCCTTGCAACTAGTTGTCCCCAGTTTCTGTCGATGTGCGCTAGGCTTAAGAAAAACGGAAAACTGAAGCTGCCACAAAATATGTATGGCAAAGAAAAAACATTGGTCAAGTTGTTATATTAAATATCGGTATCAAAATTGACCCAAAATTTCACAATCTGTGCATCCCTAGTAATAATGTCAAGTTATGATGCTGACGAGTTAAAGCTAGCAGCTTTTTGTGTAAAGTTCTTCAACACGAGTGCAGTGCCTCGACAATCTGTCTCAAGATTGTCCAGAGACGATGCTGCGATGTATTATTGTATATTATCAACAGGTACTTCTGTTTTGGCAATCATGCTAGCAGCACTTGTTTACAGTCACAGTATAATGTTTACCCAGGGTGAAGGCATATGTCCACAAGCTGTGAATTGAAAAAGTTCCACACATTCTTCCTGACACCTCACATGATGAAAATGCTGGTTCATGCAGGCCCAGACCCCTCTTTAGTCTCAGTATACAAGCAGGATCAGACCCCTCTTTGTATGACCACCTTTGACCATATTGTATGTCATGTTTGTGTAGACACCCTGAAAGACAAGGAGCGCAAAGGCAAAAGGAGGCGGCTCCAGGAACAGGTGAGTCTCAGCTGCCCAATGGTCCAATTGTGCGTTTAACTCGGCAGAAGCTCTAAAATCTAAATATCCTGACTCTACTTTACAGGCAATTGTAAGTATTGTTATGTTGAAACCTCTATAGTTGTGATGGGCATATGAAGCCTCATAAATCACTGAGGCTTTGGTTTCAAATGGGTCAAAGCCTCTGAGCTGGCTTGGACTAGTTTGTAACACTGACATCTAGTGGACAAATGTAACTAGAAACTTGCAATGGCTGAAGCCATTGCGATTGACTGCGGAACAGATCTAATGTGGAAATCTGCTAAAAAAAATCCTTGAAATCCTTTAAAAGGCCTTGAAACTGTTAAAATACTTGATAGATATTTGAAACTCCTGAAGTCCTTGAAATTGTTGAAACCTTTAAACTCCTGAAATCCTTGAAACTGTTGAAACATTGAAACTCCTGAAATCCTTGAAACTTTTTTTAAACCTGGAAACTGTTGAAAGTGTGGAAACTCCTGAAATCCTTGAACCTCCTGATATCCTTGAAACTGGTTAAATTCTTAAACAGTTGAAATCCTTGAAACTACTGAATGTATTGAAAGTGTCCTTGAAACTGAAAAATCCCCTCACCGCTGAAACAATTTGGTTCCTGTAACTAAGGAAACCTGGTCTGTGGTCATTATCTGGTGGTGGTCTGAGTCTTCGTTTGGGTCTTGGTCTGAATCAGAATCAGAATCAGAATCAGAATCATTTTTATTGCCACGTGAGTAACAAAGTTATCACTTGGAAATTGTTTTGGCAGAGAGCGTGCCACTTCGCCATTTGCGGCGCTGTGTGCAGCAAGAAACAGCAGAGAGCAATAACATACAGTTCACAGACAATTGGATAGACACATTGTGCTTTTTATAAACCACGGATTTTTTTCTCGGGAAGAGCACCTCTTCGGCCGGCCCAATGTAGCTGTCAGAGGGGGGCGGGATCAGGGAGGGGGTGAGTAGGAAAACAATAAGGAATGGAGGGGAGGGAGGGAGCAAGATGGATAGGTAGAGGGAGGCGGGGGTGGGGGATCCTTGCTGAAGACTGAAATAGTGTGAGTTGTTGTAGATTGTGGGACCTTGTTTATGGCCTTGGCTGAGGAATGTGAGATAAGAGTGGAGAGAAGCCACAGGAGGAGAAAAACACATCGCCTGCAATGTCGCAGTCAAAAGCAGGAGAGACCTATTGTCTGCTGGGATGCTCAAGTGGAGTGCAGGTCTCACCCCTCCTAACTCATTAGCATGTCACTGACCTATTGTCTGCTGGGATGCTCAAGTGGAGTGCAGGTCTCACCCCTCCTAACTCATTAGCATGTCACTGACCTTGTCCCAAGGTTAGGGCGTTGTTTTTAGGATGTCGTCATAGATGCGAGGCAAAACAAATCTTAACCCTCCTCCTCTGTTAAGAGAAGGTTTTTGTTTCCTCACAAAAATGGCTTCTTTCACCCCTCTCTCAAACCAATTCTTCTCCCGAGCCAGAATTTTAACCTCTGTGTCATCCACCGTGTGGTTGGAGGCCTTGAGGTGGAGATGAACAGCCGACTGTGGCCCACTAGAGTTTTCTCTACGATGTTGGTAAAGTTTGTTTGGTTTCTCCAATATAGTGGTCAGTGCACTCCTCTTCACTACATTTAATTGAATACACCACATTGCTCTGTTTGTGTCTGGGTGTTTTGTCTTTGGGATGCACTAATTTCTGTCTTAACGTGTTGAAAGGTTTGAAATACAAAGGGATTTTGTGTTGCCTAAAGATTCTTTGTAGTTTCTCTGAAACTCCCGCCACATACGGTAAGGACACCCCTCTCCTCCTACTTTCTTCTGTCTGTTGGACTGTGTCTCTGGCCTTTCTCGTCCTTTGGGCTTTAGTAAAAGACCACTTGGGGTAGCCACATCTGGAAAGTGCTCTCTGAACATGTTTGGTTTCTCTGTTCTTTCCCTCCGAGCTAGTGGGGACCTGGTGGGCTCGGTGTTGAAGCGTTCTAATGACCCCACTATATTACACGCTGCTCTAGTGAACAACAAGCTCGGCGACCACCACTTTGTGATACGCATAATTAATGAGGCGGACGTGACGTCAATTGCAAACAATCAATACACATCACTTGTGATTATCCGCCCGCTACTTATCAGTCCGATGCCGATAGGTTAGAAAAGGATGAACATTGGCCAATATTTATACCAATATATTGTACAGCAACCCTGCTATTCAGTATTCATAAGTATGTTTCGTTTTGACTGACATGACATAAGCAAATGATGTTATAAAACAGCAGATAATTGTATGAAAGTAACTGATATGTCCAAAGGCGTTTGTAATTTGTTCAAAGGAATGAGTAACGATGATGTGCACATATGACTCAATGTTGTGGAGGTTGAACTAATAGTGAGAACTTTCATTCTGATCTGAGAAAAGCACCAAAGCGACTGAAAAAAACTGTAATGCTAACACTATGGGTGACATAGCAAAAGGAAAGGAGTCGAGGAGAGGATCTGGTGTTTGGGACGGCACTAGATCATAAACGGAATCGGGACGAAACCGGAAGTAACAATCCCACTTTCGAATTAGTTTTAGACTAATAAGTCCTTAATTGGTCACTGGTTAAGTTTTAGGTGTCTGAATAAGATGGTTACGGTCAGGGTTAAGGGTGGGTTGGGGTTATTTTATGGGAATGGCTGGTTAAGTTTAGGCATGAATAGGTAGTTTGTTATATTTACTTCCGCTTCCGTATATGATCTAGTGCTGACCCTGGTGTTTGGGACGCGGCCAAAGCATTGCTCGCTCTGAAGGGAGTGTGAGAGGGGGAGGAAACAAGCCAAGGGGAGGAGCTGGAGTTTGAGATGCGACCAAATACCGTCTCTCTCAGTTTGGAGTGTGAGGAAAGGAGTCGAGGAGTTGGTATTTGGAACGCGACCAAAGACCGTCTCTTTCAGCTTGGAGCGTGAGGAAAGGAGTCGAGGAGCTGGTATTTGGAACGCAACCAAGACATTGCTCGCTCTGAAGGGAGTGTGAGAAGGGGAGGAAACAAGCCAAGGGGAGGAGCTGGAGTTTGGGACGCGACCAAAGACCGTCTCTTTCAGCTTGGAGTGTAAGGAAAGGAGTCGAGGAGCTGGTATTTGGAACGCGACCAAAGACCGTCTCTTTCAGCTTGGAGCGTGAGGAAAGGAGTCGAGGAGCTGGTATTTGGAACGCAACCAAAACATTGCTCGCTCTGAAGGGAGTGTGAGAAGGGGAGGAAACAAGCCAAGGGGAGGAGCTGGAGTTTGGGACGCGACCAAAGACCGTCTCTTTCAGCTTGGAGTGTAAGGAAAGGAGTCGAGGAGCTGGTATTTGGAACGCGACCAAAGACCGTCTCTTTCAGCTTGGAGCGTGAGGAAAGGAGTCGAGGAGCTGGTATTTGGAACGCAACCAAAACATTGCTCGCTCTGAAGGGAGTGTGAGAAGGGGAGGAAACAAGCCAAGGGGAGGAGCTGGAGTTTGGGACGCGACCAAAGACCGTCTCTTTCAGCCTGGAGTGTAAGGAAAGGAGTCGAGGAGCTGGTATTTGGGACGCGGCCACAGCCTGTCTCCGGTCAGCTGATCAGAGCGGAAGCACAGAGGTGTCATGGCGGATCCATCTGCAGACTGTAGTGTCAGCTGCTGAGTGCCCGCTCTGTTGACACCTTTCCCCGTCGGTATATCTCGTCCTCTCCGGTGTCGCGAACTGCTCGGCCATGGCGCAGTGTGTGCAGTCGGTTCCGGAGCTGGTCCAGGACTCGTTCACGCCCATGGTGGCTGTGTTGTGCAGCGAGGAGGCGGACAGACTGAGCCGTAAGAACAGGCTGAGCTTCTCCGAGCTGCTGCGGCCCTTCTGCAGGCTCACCTCGGAAGGTATGAGTGCGGAAGGCCCGGGGTCATGGCTCCATCAGTGCCGCATATGCACATGGATGTTGTTGTGTTATCTGCACAGGAGTTTCATCAACCAAGTTACCAGTTATGGGGAGTTACTTTGAATAATAAGCCTTCAGTTACACATTAATGACTTTACTACCACTTGGGATTACTTAACACATGGAATAAATGAATCAATATGTGCTTTTATGCTCTGTATATTTAAAGTCACCATCCACCTCCAGTGTTTTTGGTGTTAAGCCAAGGAAAATACATTAATATTAGTGATTCTCCATTGGAACGAGAAGAGGGGATTTTATACTTTATTTTAGTGTGTGTATGAAATGTATTTGTTTGGTAGACAAAAATAATTCAGAAAAAAGCCACATTGCATTCTTATTATCTGGTCATTCCACATCATATGGACCAGGGCCTTCTGCTCCACCATCTCTCATTTGGATGTAATTTGGTGCAGTGATAGAGCCTTGCATTTTAATGTTTTTTACTACATTTCAATCCTTTACCCCAGTTCTGTCCCAAAATATTAGTTGTAACAGGTTCTAGATGCAGACGTTTTTGCTATAATCTCTAATAATTATTTCCTCTACAGAGGTATTGTTCTGTTAAAAACATGTATCTATGTACCTTAACAGTGACAATACAGGTGTGAAGGAATTGCCTGAATGTCTCTGACTCTGCTGAATAACATTTTCCAAATATTTCAAACATTGAGGAAAAATCATATGAACGTCAATCATGCCCTGGGCTACTTTTATGGTTGATACAGCTTGTCTGGGTGGTCTTCGGTACTACCAAAACAAAGAAAGACACGTACCTTGTGGGAAAAGTCACAGGAACACCACATTTTGGTATATTACTATCTCATCCCATCTCAATGATATATCACTTCTGCAATTTTTGGAAAATGTAAGTGCAAAAATATATATATAAGTTGATTTTAGTGTTTATGTTAGTGTTATTAATTGTTTTATTGTGTAATTAGGCAGGGTGTTTATTAAAAGAATGTTGAATATCCTTTGTTTCCTTTGTCATAGCTATAAAATGGGTCCAACTCAATCTCAGCTTTGATTTATTATTGAGACGGCTGAATTTTGTTGGTCCTCTGACTTTTCCCACATGGAGATTTCTATACCCGAATATGTGTCTAAATTTAAAATGGCCCATTTCAGGAGTCAACATACTGAGTCACAATCAGTATCAATCATTAAAATTAGTCCAAGGCATCTACAAATATGTATTTTTATAGACCAAAATAGGATTTTACACTGTTAATGTTTGTTGATATTTTCTATTGAGCAGAGTCACGTTTACTCACATTTGTATTGTCCTTTATAAGGTATAAGATAAGATACGATAGGAGATAGAATAAATAAAAATAGATAGAAATACAGCACAATACCTCTACATATCAATACATATATAGTAAAGAACCATTAAAGGCTTGCCTCTATCACTGTACCTAATCTAATCCAAATCAGAGATGGTTGAGCTGGAAACTTTTTAGAAATTGGTCGATTTGATTTGAACAAATTCATTTTTCAAAGTAATCTTATAACATGTCAACAACCTGTGTCTCTAAAGTCAATATCATTATCAATTTTACTGAATGATTTGTATTGTCTTGTCGCAAAAAACTATATCTACTAGTAAACAAAAAGTATTTATATATTGCATGCTTGACCTCCCTCCTCATTATTATGCAATAGTTTAACGGGGCTTGTTTATCCCCCCCCCCCCACCTCACCCCCGGCCTGGTGCGGGCACAGGTCACATCCGGGACCCGAACAACGCACTGCTGCAGGTGAAGGGGCTGCGCATCAGTGTGAACAGCCTGACCCCCAGCCTCCAAAGCCCCAGCCCGGCCCTGACCGAAGCCCAGAGGAACACCCTCCACCACATCGTCCTGTCCTCACAGCCACAGGAGGGCGCTCTCAGCTCTGTCAGCGCCGGCGACTACCAGCTTAGCTTCACCGGTATCTCAACATGTTTACATGGATTTATTCTTTTAATCTATTTTGTTTAAATTTGTTAACATACTTTTGGTGGAAGATTGGAGATTAGACTATTTTCTTAGCATTGATCATACACTGGGAAGAGAATATGGACCACGCTACACAACCGGACTCCTATGGAACTTTTCCCACAAACCACGATTGTCTCAGTACACACACACACACACACCACTCCTGTCTCAGTACACACACACACACAAACCACGATTGTCTCAGTATACACACAGTATACACACACACGCTCACACCACTCCTGTCTCAGTATACACACACACGCTCACACCACTCCTGTCTCAGTATACACACACACGCTCACACCACTCCTGTCTCAGTCAAGCCCCGGCGATCCAAGATGGCGCCCTATTCAAATGAATGGTTGTGCTCAGTGGCGCTTTGTGACGGCATGGGGGCTGAAAGATTAGCGGAAGTCGCCTGGAACTCTCAAAGATCTATGGGAAACTCTCAAAGATCTATGAGAAACTCTCAAAGATCTATGGGAAACTCTCAAAGATCTATGGGAAACTCTCAAAGATCTATGGGAAACTCTCAAAGATCTATGGGAAACTCTCAAAGATCTATGGGAAACTCTCAAAGATCTATGGGAAACTCTCAAAGATCTATGGGAAACTCTCAAAGATCTATGGGAAACTCTCAAAGATCTATGGGAAACTCGCAAAGATCTATGGGAAACTCGCAAAGATCTATGGGAAACTCTCAAAGATCTATGAGAAACTCTCAAAGGTCTATGAGAAACTCTCAAAGATCTATGGGAAACTCTCAAAGATCTATGGGAAACTCTCAAAGATCTATGGGAAACTCTCAAAGATCTATGGGAAACTCTCAAAGATCTATGGGAAACTCTCAAAGATCTATGGGAAACTCTCAAAGATCTATGGGAAACTCTCAAAGATCTATGGGAAACTCTCAAAGGTCTATGGGAAACTCGCCTGTATTTGGGCATCGTCTGGTCCTCCCGGTTCTGCGCAGTGGATGATCTCCCATAATGCTTTGCACAAACTCGCGTGTGTGGGTCTCACACCGGGTCTCACGCACGTGCACAGAGGGTCTCACGCACGTGCACAGAGGGTCTCACGCACGTGCACAGAGGGTCTCACGCACGTGCACAGAGGGGCTCGGCTCTGACCAATCAGAGCAGTTCATCAGAGCGGGAGTTAGAGCGAGAGCCAGACGAGCAGAGTTTGTGGCACTAAAGTGTGGATTTAAAGAAAACCGAAGGATTTAAGAAGAAAAAAAGTTCAGGATGACAAGGGACACTAACATCCACACAAAATCCTATCTTTATGAAAGCTGTAGGTTCTTTATCAGGTTCTCTGTCAGGTTCTCTGTCAGCTGAGGTTGAGCTGTTTTAATATGCATTGAGTTCTATGGGGAAAATGTCTGGGTAGCCCACGTGAATTTAGTCTGGTTTAGTCTGCAGTACTGCGAGAATCCCCTGAGCACATGAGTTATTCAGCTACAAGCTGTAATACCCTATCCAGTTATTATAATAGATCCATGGTCTCAGTACACACACACGCTCACACCACTCTTGTCTCAGTACACACACACGCTCACACCACTCTTGTCTCAGTACACACACACGCTCACACCACTCTTGTCTCAGTACACACACACGCTCACACCACTCAGGCCTATATCTGACCATTTACAGCATACTTTGTGACACTTTTCTTTATGTCAGAAGTACCTGATTTTGGCTGGTACTAAAAACGTGTGATGAGGGAACAATGTTAAGTTAAAGCTCAATAATTAAAATGTATACTTTGTCCAAAATACTGTGTTTAGGTATATTTTTTAAATCTCTCTCTCTGTGTGTGTGTCTGTGTGTCTGTGTGTGTGTTTGTGTGTGTCTGTGTGTGTGTTTGTGTGTGTGTGTCTGTGTGTCTGTGTGTGTGTTTGTGTGTGTCTGTGTGTGTGTTTGTGTGTGTGTGTGTGTGTGTCTGTGTGTGTGTCTGTGTAGCCACCACTCCCTGGTTTGAGGTCTACAGAGAGGCCTTCCTCCAGACCATGCCCTCCTCAGAGCATGAGTTCCTGAACCACTACCTGGCCTGTATCCTTCTCTGGTTCACCTGCTGTCTTTGACTCTTTAAAGAAGACCTATCCTGCTTCTCTGCAGTGACACCAGTGACACCAGTCTTCTCTAGAGCAGAGTTTGCATGTTCCGATCTTTGATGGGGAAAAAATGTCATTTTTACATTTTTTTTGCTATTTGCACTTGCAGCCTCTAGAATTGCAATTTTTATTTGATTGCAATACACATACAAAAATACAAGATACTTTAAATTGTTTCATAAAGAAGACATTACTTTATTCTAATAGAATTTGACTCAAGTGAAGGTTTGCTTTGGTATTTTCTTGGGAGTACTTTATCTTTGCTTGTTCCAATGTCTATTTGCAAATCTGCTCGTGACGACACAATCATATCCACAACATTTAAGCATTTTGTCTCTAAAATCAGGTTGTACTATAGTTTAAACTTGTATGCTCATGTATAGTTCTTTTTCAAATGGAACACTTACCGTTTGATGAACGCTTTTAAAACATACATCACAAATCACACAAAAAGTTAGTTTGTAAAAATCACAATTATAAACTATTCTAAAATGGTGCTGCCCTAGAATTTACGCGTTGAGTGGATGGAGTGATTAAAAACTTAAAGTCTGATGGCTTTAATTGGAGGCGAGAAGACACAAGAGCATGGATCAAAGCTCAAATTTTGTCGTCAGACGGTTCCCAACTAAAAAGGTTGGGAACCGCTGCTCTAATACATTAATTGCAAAACTAATAACAACCTTGTGGCAGTTACAGTAGCTCTATCGCACATGCCTGAAGAAGAGGTTGAGCCCCTCCCTGTTTTCTGTCCTTGACTTGAGGCCAGGCCTGCTGGTGGTGTCCTCTTCTGAGACTGTTCCGTTCGAACAGTTCCTGAAGCTGTCCCAGGAGCAGCACCGCGTCCAGCACAGCGGGGAGTACAGCGCCCCCAAGTGGTTCATCCCCAACACACTCAAGTACTACGTCCTGCTGCACGACGTGAGCCAGGGAGACGACCACAGGTACATCATTCTGAACCTCGCCCTTAAGAACACTGCACCATGATGTAGCCTCTTTTCAGCTTAAATTGGCCCTTTCTACATGATCTTAAGAATAGATTTAATGATATCACCATAATCATTAGCAATATTGTATGAATCATTTTCAACTACATGGTATTTTCAACATTCATAGTGTTGAGAATTATTGGTGAATTCTGCTGCTGTGTCCTTGGGCTAGATATTTCTTGATGGCTGTATTTTGGCACACCACGAGCAGGTGGTTTGTGTTGCTGCTACATGAAGACTTGTGTTTGGGTTCACAGAGCAGAGACTGTGTATGAGGACATGAAGCAGAAATATGGGACTCAAGGCTGCTATCTCCTCAAGATCAACTCACGCACCGAGGGCCCCTCAGAGGAGGAGCAGATCCCTGACCCCTGGAGCCAGTACCTGAATAAGAGCTACCTGCACTCTCAGGTGAGAAGCGACACTCGGTACCTGCTCACTATACAGCTGGACTCTAACTCTGTGTGTGCGTGTGCGTGTGCACGTGTCTGCGCAGGAAGGGGACCCTACCTCAGCTAGTGAGTCAGCAGAGGCCCCAGAGCAAGCAGACGCAGGTGACCAAACACACACACTTCTTATCATCACCAAACTGCAATGTTGGTCATGTTAGTTACCAATTATCCATCCATCCATCCATTTTCTACCCCTTAATCCATTTCTGGGTCGGGGGGGTGGCCAGAGATGTACACATAGCACCAGCCCCTCACTGATCCTTCTGTAGGTGGTGAGTCCACAGGACCCTTGGTTTTTCAGCGGGGGCTTCAGGCAAAGTGGGGTTAAGTGTCTTGCCCAAGGACACAACGACAGCAGTCATCAGTGGGAGTTGGTGGATAAGGTTTCATGGTGGGCTTGAACTCACGACCTTCAGCTACCTATTAATTCTCCCCAAAAGTAATGTTAGTAATGTCACTACCAAAACAAAGTAAACAAAAAAATCCATGGACTCAAAAATGAGCAGTAAGCACGAAGCACATTTTATGTGAATCACCAACGGAAGCACTCAAATCCAGTGATTTCAGATGACTGCAAGAGAAACAAAGACATTATGGTAATCAGATCGATTTCCACAAGGAGGTGATTGAACTCAGAAAGCCTAAGGGAGCCTTCCCCCTGCTCCAAAAGAACCACAAAAACATTTTAACTCTACAAAATGTACTTTTTTTAATCAAGGACCTGAGCCCCCCCTTGTCCTTGTGTGTATGTGCTGTTTCTTTTTGGCTTGTGTCTGTGTTTTGTGGAACTATGTTTAGCGTAATTTGAATGTATTTTTTTTAAAATATCTTTTTGATTTGAGCCACAACTAATTTATTATATTAATTCATTCATTTGTTGTAGGAGAAACATGTGAGAGCCAGAGCCAAAAGCAAAGCCTGGACACAGGGACTCTCCCAGCCCTGAGTGCTTGTGACAGTAGCAGGAAGACATTAGACATCACCAGTGGGGCCCCTGGGGGCCACGGCTCCTGCCTCACTCTTAATGACCATGAGTGCATCAGACAGTTCATCCAGGAGTTCACCTTCAGAGGTCTGCTGCCTCACATCGAGAAGAACATCCGGCAGCTCAACGACCAGGTACGACCACCACAGCCTTCAGGATAGTGCGCTCCAGAGTCATCAAAACCAACACAATAAACTTAACCCTTTAAGCGCCAGAGGTTTTTTCTAAAACGCTCAATTTTGACTTCTTATCAACTTAAAAGTGATAAGAGATAAAGGCTTTCTGTAAAATAGAAAAATATTAAGGATGGCCCAAAGTTTATGTAGGGAATAAATGCACCCATCTAATTTGCATATTATGACGTCATACGGCTTTAGAAATTGTGGATTTTATAATTTTCAGAAAAAATTTTTGTTTTTCTACCTGACCGACATATATTGCTCACTAGGACATGAACACGCACATAACTCGCACTGTAACATTGTAAATGTTCAGGTAAATGGTAAAAAATACAAATCATGACTTGGCTTCTTGTGTAAAGTTCTTCCATGAGAATGCAGCTCTGCAGCGTCTGTGTCCAGAGACTTTATATAACAGCAGTGTGTGTTCACGGAGGTGCGCCATACGTTTTATTATTCAACAGTACTTTCCCATCGGCGAACACGTTAGCAACACTTGTTTACAGTCACGGGAGAATGAGAGCACTGTGTCCCCCATTGTCAGTCCTGGTTTAGTCCTGGTTTAGTCCTGGTTTAGTCCTGGTTTAGTCCTGGTTTAGTCCTGGTTTAGCTCCTGTTTTGGCTGTTTACGAGTATCTTCAGTCTTCTCGCTCTGAGCACTAGTGTCCCCTTGACCACTTTGCAGCTCTCTGATTGGTTGCCGCAACCATAGACTGTAAAGTCAAGGAGGACGAGGGCGGGGCTAACTCGCTCACTGTCTTTATTTTGTTTCATGAACTGCACGCCTTCCCTTTGCTCTGCCAATCAGCGTGATGAAGCTTCATAGTAGAAAATATACCTTTTATCTAAGACTGTGCTCCAGGCCTTATTCAATCACATTTTATTTGTACAGCCTTAAATCACAGTCAGCAGTTGTCTACAAAGCTGTAAAGTGCAACAACAGATAGTGTAAACGAAAAAAAAAAAAAAATCTATCTCCCCCTTGTGTAAAAAATACATGAAATAGTCTGTTGGCTAGAATTTATCTAAACATTGTGTGGTCTAAATTCATCAAGGATTTTGAACGGTAAAGAGCATCTTTCTGTCTTTTTCTCTGTCCGTCAATTATGGCGCCGCGATATTGGAAACTACAGCGATATTCGATATGAGTGTTTAGTATTGCGATAATATTATTGCGATATTTTTTTCTTTCAACTAAAATTGATATCTGCATTGAAAGGTAAGAGACAAATAACAAAAACATTGACATTCAAATGCATATATTTATATACTTTTAGTTTGTTTGAATGTTGACGTGTCTGTTTTGTTGTCTTTAATAAAGGGGAAAAAATGCACACACCTATATCGCGATATCGATATTTTTTCGATATATCGTGTAGCCCTACTGTCAATGTTAAAATGTCACTCGTGCCCATTCTCCTGTAAACGGGGCAGAATGAGGTTGGGGTTTGGAGATTAACTGTCAAATAAACTGGAATGTATTATGTTTATGTAGATTGATGGGCAAAAAGTATTTTTACGATTGTATAAGTTGTCCCACACAAAAAAAGAGAGGGATCCTTAATTTTCATCACTTCAGACAGAATGGGAAAACAATCCAGCAGATCACAAGCTTTTTAAGGATGCAGGGATAAGTATTTAACAGTGATAAAATGGGATTGTTGGTCATGATTGTGTACATGGCTGGTGTGTCCACAGCTGGTGTCCAGGAAAGGCCTGAGTCGCTCCCTCTTCACAGCAACTAAAAAATGGTTTGGTGGTGGCAAGGCGCCTGAGAAGAGTGTGGCTGAGCCTAAGAGCACCTGTGGCCTTCTGTAAGTGCTCCTCTACACTTGGCTCATTCACATGACGTTCAACAGCGAGAATACGGCCGAGGTCATGCTTACTAATGTTAATGGAACACATCTTTTCTACAGATATTCATAGTATGTTCTTTCCCCTGAATAAAAAGTGTTTTTTTCCTGGTGAAGATACCCTCCAGAGGCCCCTGAGCTGCAGATCCGTAAGATGGCTGACCTTTGCTTCCTAGTGCAGCATTACGAGCTAGCCTACAACTGCTATCACACAGCCAAGAAGGACTTCCTTTCGGACCAGGCCATGCTGTACGCCGCTGGGGCGCTGGTGAGGCCTACACACACAAACAATCTCACTGCTGTATCTGTGACTGGATTAGGAGACACGGAGCCAGTAGCCCAAATGGTGCTGAAACATCAACCGATGCAGGTTTTCATGTATGCTAGAGTTTTGTAAATTAACGTGTGTTCCAGACAATTATTGCTTGTTTGAGACATATGTGAGTATTGCCACTATTTTCCCACATGTTGATTTTAGATGAGTAATTGAGTAGTAGTAACACTGGAATAATGTTGAGGTGTTTGCTATTCCTTTCTCTTTAAGGTCCATATTTCGTACATGTGTGATGATAATTTGTGTGACACACTATACAACACTCAAAACTTGGAAATTAAAACTCAGTACCTCACATGACTTTTTCAGTGAGGTACTGAGAGATTTTATACTTGCTTCTTGTTAATTCTAAAGTTTAGATCAGCTCAAATAATCCACTCAATCCAAGTCAAATAATGACTCACAGGGCTCTTTCTTAAAAATAAAAAATAATAATCTAAACAATGTTCTGTTTGATTTGTTCACAACATTTTACTTTGGGGCACAACCAACATCATTATGCATTATTCATGCAAGGAAAAATGTAGGTACCACAGCTTTAATTTAGAGACACGGGGAGGACATGGACACTCCCTTAAGGCTCCGTGGTCCAGCTCTGTTTCTTGCTGTAACGCAATATGTATTTATTTTTTTGCGTTACGCAAAGACATACACTTGCAACAAGCAGAGAATGGTCCGCGCTGGGTACGTTATGACCACGTTTGGCTACGTGCTCTGGTGTGGAAAGGCGTTTGTGCCAAGTCATTTCAGACTTGAGAATATACAATGATAACCCTCACATAGGGCCCTATAGAGGCCCTCCCGAGTGTGCGTCCTCCCGAGTGTGCGTCCTTCCCGACTGTGCGTCCTCCCGAGTGTGCGTCCTCCCGAGTGTGCGTCCTCCCCGAGTGTGCGTCCTCCCGAGTGTGCGTCCTCCCCGACTGTGCGTCCTCCTGAGTGTGCGTCCTCCCCGAGTGTGCGTCCTCCCCGAGTGTGCGTCCTCCCCGAGTGTGCGTCCTCCCCGAGTGTGCGTCCTCCCGAGTGTGCGTCCTCCCCGAGTGTGCGTCCTCCCCGAGTGTGCGTCCTCCCGAGTGTGCGTCCTCCCCGAGTGTGCGTCCTCCCCGAGTGTGCGTCCTCCCCGAGTGTGCGTCCTCCCCGAGTGTGCGTCCTCCCCGAGTGTGCGTCCTCCCGAGTGTGCGTCCTCCCCGAGTGTGCGTCCTCCCCGAGTGTGCGTCCTCCCCGAGTGTGCGTCCTCCCGAGTGTGCGTCCTCCCCGAGTGTGCGTCCTCCCCGAGTGTGCGCCCTCCCGAGTGTGCGTCCTCCCCGAGTGTGCGTCCTCCCCGAGTGTGCGTCCTCCCCGAGTGTGCGTCCTCCCCGAGTGTGCGTCCTCCCCGAGTGTGCGTCCTCCCCGAGTGTGCGTCCTCCCCGAGTGTGCGTCCTCCCCGAGTGTGCGTCCTCCCCGAGTGTGCGTCCTCCCGAGTGTGCGTCCTCCCCGAGTGTGCGTCCTCCCCGAGTGTGCGTCCTCCCCGAGTGTGCGTCCTCCCGAGTGTGCGTCCTCCCGAGTGTGCGTCCTCCCCGAGTGTGCGTCCTCCCCGAGTGTGCGTCCTCCCCGAGTGTGCGTCCTCCCCGAGTGTGCGTCCTCCCCGAGTGTGCGTCCTCAGGGTCCTCCCGAGTGTGCGTCCTCCCCGAGTGTGCGTCCTCCCCGAGTGTGCGTCCTCCCCGAGTGTGCGTCCTCCCCGAGTGTGCGTCCTCCCCGAGTGTGCGTCCTCCCCGAGGTGCGTCCTCCCCGAGTGCGTCCTCCCCGAGTGTGCGTCCTCCCCGAGTGTGCGTCGTGTCCGAGTGTGCGTCGTGTCCGAGTGTGCGTCGTGTCCGTCCTTCTCGAGTGTGCGTCCTTCTCGAGTGTGCGTCCCTCTCGAGTGTGCGTCCCTCTCGAGTGTGCGTCCCTCTCGAGTGTGCGTCCCTCCCGAGTGTGCGTCCCTCCCCGAGTGTGCGTCCCTCCCCGAGCGTGCGTCCCCCCGAGCGTGTGTCGTGTCCGTCCTTCCCGAGTGTGCGTCCTCCCCGAGTGTGCGTCCTCCCCGAGTGTGCGTCCTCCCCGAGTGTGCGTCCTCCCCGAGTGTGCGTCCTCCCGAGTGTGCGTCCTCCCCGAGTGTGCGTCCTCCCCGAGTGTGCGTCCTCCCCGAGTGTGCGTCCTCCCCGAGTGTGCGTCCTCCCCGAGTGTGCGTCCTCCCCGAGTGTGCGTCCTCCCCGAGTGTGCGTCCTCCCGAGTGTGCGTCCTCCCGAGTGTGCGTCCTCCCCGAGTGTGCGTCTCCCCGAGTGTGCGTCCGAGTGTGCGTCCTCCCCGAGTGTGCGTCCTCCCCGAGTGTGCGTCCTCCCCGAGTGTGCGTCCTCCCCGAGTGTGCGTCCTCCCCGAGTGTGCGTCCTCCCCGAGTGTGCGTCCTCCCCGAGTGTGCGTCCTCCCGTGTGCCCTCCCCGAGTGTGCGTCGTGTCCGTCCTTCCCGAGTGTGCGTCGTCCGTCCTTCCGAGTGTGCGTCCTTCTCGAGTGTGCGTCCCTTCTCGAGTGTGCGTCCCTCTCGAGTGTGCGTCCCTCCCGAGTGTGCGTCCCTCCCCGAGCGTGCGTCCCCCCGAGCGTGTGTCGTGTCCGTCCTTCCCGAGTGTGCGTCCTTCCCGAGTGTGCGTCCTCCCCGAGTGTGCGTCCTCCCCGAGTGTGCGTCCTCCCCGAGTGTGCGTCCTCCCCGAGTGTGCGTCTCCTCCCCGAGTGTGCGTCCTCCCCGAGTGTGCGTCCTCCCCGAGTGTGCGTCCTCCCCGAGTGTGCGTCCTCCCCGAGTGTGCGTCCTCCCCGAGTGTGCGTCCTCCCCGAGTGTGCGTCCTCCCCGAGTGTGCGTCCTCCCCGAGTGTGCGTCCTCCCCGGTGTGCGTCCTCCCCGGGTGTGCGTCCTCCCCGGGTGTGCGTCCTCCCCGGGTGTGCGTCCTCCCGTGTGCGTCCTCCCCGAGTGTGCGTCCTCCCCGAGTGTGCGTCCTCCCCGAGTGTGCGTCCTCCCCGAGTGTGCGTCCTCCCCGAGTGTGCGTCCTCCCCGAGTGTGCGTCCTCCCCGAGTGTGCGTCCTCCCCGAGTGTGCGTCCTCCCCGAGTGTGCGTCCTCCCCGAGTGTGCGTCCTCCCCGAGTGTGCGTCCTCCCCGAGTGTGCGTCCTCCCCGAGTGTGCGTCCTTCCCGAGTGTGCGTCCTCCCCGAGTGTGCGTCCTTCCCGAGTGTGCGTCCTTCTCGAGCGTGCGTCCCTCCCGAGCGTGCGTCCCTCCCGAGTGTGCGTCCTCCCCGAGCGTGCGTCCCCCCGAGCGTGTGTCGTGTCCGTCCTTCCCGAGTGTGCGTCCTTCTCGAGTGTGCGTCCCTCCCGAGTGTGCGTCCCTCCCGAGTGTGCGTCCCTCCCGAGTGTGCGTCCTTCTCGAGTGTGCGTCCCTCCCGAGTGTGCGTCCCTCCCGAGTGTGCGTCCTTCTCGAGTGTGCGTCCCTCCCGAGTGTGCGTCCCTCCCGAGTGTGCGTCCTCTGATGGTGCATCCTCTGTCCTCAGGAGATGGCTGCGGTCTCTGCGTTCCTCCAGCCTGGTGCTCCCAGACCCTACCCTGCTCACTACATGGACACTGCCATCCAGACGTACAAAGACACATGCAGGTTTGTGTTAAGGTCACTGGGCTTTGCTCGCATTGACCTGTAGGATGTGGAAACTGAGAGGGGCGACTTGTTGTCTGTGCTCAAAAGGGCCATAACATGCCATATGGACTTATCTCAGCGTTTGCTAATGTACTTTCCCTTGACATTTGCACACTCTCAGGAAGCGATTAATGTATGTTTGAGTCAATTATTATCTCTGACGCCTGAGATTCTATTTTTCCCCCTGGCACCTCTTACACATCCACTTTTATACCCACTCTTTTCTTAATTTGTGGTACGCAGAGGATTCAAAAGCATTACACAGACATAGCTGATCTTTAATGTGAACAGACTAAAGCATGATTGAGCTTTAGCCATTATTTATTGGGAAGGTACATCTGGAGTTGACACATCACTGTTTTTAAAACCTGTTCTTCAATTTGTCACTGGGGGCTATTTGTGTGTGTGCAGGAACATGGTGCTGGCCGAGCGCTGTACTCTGCTCAGTGTGGAGATCCTAAAGAGCCAGGGCAAGTACGCAGAGGCGGCCACACTGCTCATTAAGATGACCAGTGAGGTGAGGAGCAGGCCTGTTTGACCTACTTTACAGACAGAGAAAGGCTGAGACCAATGATGATGAAATGTTAAGAGAAATAGACAAAAGGTGGCTCCCAATAAAATAAAAAGATCTCTGGAGGCGCTTGTCAGGTCATTGTATAGAAAGTGTCCTGGACAGATTCAGGACAGTTCTGCTACTTTGACGCCTAAAGGGTTTAAGGCTCTTTTTGTTTTGCGTGTTTACCTCATGGACTTGTTTTAGCTCTTTCTATGTTAATATGTGATATCAGGGGCGACAGTAGCTCAGTTGGTAGAGCATTGGCCTTAAGGCCAGAAGGATGTGGGTTCAATTCCCACCTCTGCACCTTCTCCACCGACTCCCACTGATGACTGCTGTCGTTGTGTCCTTGGGCAAGACACTTAACCCCACTTTGCCCAAAGCCCCCACTGAAAGATCAAGGCTATGCTCACAGTCAGAGAGCAGCCGTCCTCCTGTGGACTCACCACCTGCAGAGGGTCAGTGAGGGGCTGGTGCTATGAGACTTGGGTGGCATCTCTGACTGCCACCCCCCTGACCCAGAAATGGTTTAAAGAGTAGAAAATGGATGGATGGATGTAATATGTGGGCACATGTCCCTACACCTGTTTGTGCTTTATGAATATAAGTATTGCCTCCAATTTTCTCAAGTCAAATTAATATAACTGCATGCCTTCAATTAGATTGTGCCATGTTAAACTATTTATTATAAAAGCAGAATGTAATTTATTTTGATTGACCGATATATCAAGCTGATATTTTGAGTCAGCACGACAATGACCGGGCAACCGGGGCCCCAACCTAGAGCCAGGCCTGGAGTTGGGGCCCACGGGGCCCGGCCGGGCTCAGACTGAAAGGGACGACGTGGGCAGGCCCTCATAAGTTTAAGTTTATTAATTTATTTCAACAGGGACAATGTGCAAATACATTAATTAAAGATGCTTTGCACCAGATTTAGCTTGAGCTAGTTTCCATCTGTAGTCCCTGAGCAGGTGAGTCACAACATGTACAATATAAAATATATTTAACCACTCAAATACAAATATTCATTCATACATTCACCCGTTACATCCATCAGTCCACATAAATTCATGCTAAAATTACTACATAAAACATCACTAACGGTCATATTTACATTTACAATTATCAGTGCTGACATGACTGGTTCACCAACAGCACTTTTTTTGTATTACGAGAGAAATCTTTCAGGTCTAAGGAAAGTTTCAGACTCTGGGAGTTTGTTCCATTCTTTGATGCCTTTGAATGAGAAGGATGTCTGCGCAAAGGCTGAGCTACGTTTAGGCAGTCTACAGTCATTACGACTTGTAGACCTAGAGCTCCTAGTCATCTGCTCAGAACAGAGCTGGACAAATGTTTTCAGCGGTGGAGGTGCAGTATTATTCAAAATTTTAAAAACTAATCGTACATTTGCGTACACAATTAAATTATCAAAGTTAAACATGCTGTATTTTCTAAGGATCAGACAGTGATGGTATCTCAATGGCTTTTTGTCTAGCACTTTAATAGCTTGATTATATAGAGATTTTAGAGGTTTTATTGTTGTGTCACTCGTCTGTGACCAACAAGAAATACAGTAATTAATATGTGGAATTATGTGTAATATAATTAATTAATATATAATGTGGTGGGTCCACATGTAATGTGAGGGATCCGTGGTGGTTCGGTGTAAAGAGGACTGGGCAGCAGTCGAAGGCGGAGACCTCGACGACCCAGTCTGCACACACAACATCTGGCTCTCACTGGGGGGGAAGGAGTCCGGGCTCATGGGGGAGGTTGAGAGATACCGACTAGAAATAGTCGGCCTCACCTCCACACATAGCTCGGGCTCTGGAACCCAACTCCTTGAGAGGGGATGGACACTTCATTTCTCTGGCGTTTCTCACGGGGAGAGGCCATCTCAGCGCCACGTGTTGAGTTCTCCACGGTGAATGAGAGGGTCGCGTCCCTCCGCCTCCGGGTGGGGGACAAGTCTCTCACTGTTGTTACGTGCAGAGTACCCGGCCTTCTTGGAGTCCTTGGGAGGTGTACTGGACAGTGCACCACCCCTCTCCAATGCCAGTGACACCAATGCCAGTGAGAGGGGTGAAGGGGAAGAACGGCCCTGATCTGAACCCGAGCGGTGTTCAGTTGTTGGACTTCTGTGCTAGTCACAGTTTGTCCATCACCAACACCATGTTCCAGCACAAGGGTGTCCACCAGTGCACGTGGCACCAGGACCTGAGGCCGGAGTTCGATGATCGACTTTGTCGTCTTGTGATCTGACCTTCGACCACGTGTCTCGGACACTCGGGTAAAGAGAGGGGCGGAGCTGTCAACCGATCACCACTTGGTCATGAGTTGGATCCGCTGGCAGGGGAAGAAGCCGGTCAGACCTGGCAGACCCAAGCGTGTAGTGAGGGTTTGCTGGGACTGTCTTGCTGAGCCCCCTGTCAGACGGACTTTCAACTCACACCTCCGGGAGAGCTTCTCCCAGGTCCCGGCAGAGGAGGGGGACATTGAGTCTGAGTGGATCACGTTCTCTTCCTCTATCGCCGATGCAGCAGCTGGTAGCTGTGGTCGCAGGGTCTCTGGTTCTGGTCCCGGCGGCAACCCCCGAACCCTGTGGTGGACACCGGCAGTAAGGGATGCCGTCAGGCTAAAGGAGGAGTCCTATCGAGCCATGATGGTTCGGGGGACTCCTGAGGCAGCTGTCCAGTACCGGCAGGCCAAGCGTGCCGCGGCCCGGGCTGTTGCAGAGGCAAAAATCCGGGACTGGGAGGAGTTCGGAGAGTCCATGGAGCATGACTATCGGTCGGCCTCGAAGAGATTCTGGCAAACTGTCCGGCGCCTCAGGAGGGGGAAGCAGTTCTTTGCCAACACCGTGTACGGGGCGGGTGATAAACTCTGCATATATTGGTGTTCTCTTATGATTCCAAAATGAGTCAATCAATGTATAAGTGCTAGCGCATTAGCCCCTACCTCCTAAATCTGCCTTCAAAACCCATAAAGTCAATCCTGAGTAAATTCCCACTTGTACAACTCGGTGTTGACACGTTTTAGTCATGTCTTACTTGTTTCTTCATAGATTTTCACTTTCTAATACACAAGAATAAACGTATGAACATTGATTGTTTTGCCTGGGTCTGGTGCTGGTGCCGGGTGTCTGACCGCTGGCTCTTGATGTTTCAGGACTCAGATCTGCGCAGTGCTTTGCTGCTGGAGCAGGCGGCACACTGCTTTGTCAACATGCGGACCCCCATGGTGCGAAAGTTTGCCTTCCACATGATCCTGGCCGGGCACCGCTTCAGTAAGGCTGGGCAGGTAAGATGGGAGAACGTGCCTTATCACATAACTTACTCAGATGAGTACCAGGAGATGGTTTATACTTGCTTCTTTTTAATGATAAAGTTTAGATCAGGGGTGCTCACACTTTTTCAGCATGCGAGCTACTTATAAAAGGATCAAGTCAAAATGATCTACCTACTACAAAAATGCAAATCATATATTTCAAAAAATATTCTTTATACCTACAATGTATGTTTATGTACATGCAAAACCGCATGAGCCAATATAGCACAACACAACACAATTACCTATGTACATTTTTTGTCATTACCCGAGTTTACTCTTATGACTTGCACTGAATTGAATCGGCCAGGGATGCATAGTCCGGAAAATTGGTGGTAACTCGCTGACAAGTTTGTCGTGGTTTAGCTTTCCTGCACTGAGCGCGGTTGTTTGCGCATGTGCAGTCACCTAAGTGTCAGTAAAACATTACTGAGTAAAACACAGATGTCATTTGACTGTGGTGCCATGTCCATGTGCCATGTCTGTTTTTTAAAAATCCAAATATTTCCCCTCTTCCGTTTATAAAATAATTTGCATCCACACATCTGCGTTATCAATCACATTCGTAACATTCCAAACATGTGCGTCTCTTACGTCCTGTCCTGCGTTGGGGAAAAACACAGAAGTGGGCGGAGTTCTGATGCAGACGCCGGTAACGGCACTTTTACAGTCATAGAAGACACTCAGAGTAAAGACGTATGTTTACAAGCACTGACCCCGTCCTCAGCCCTGGTTTAGTCCTGGTTTAGTCCTGGTTTAGTCCTGGTTTGGTTGTTTTCGAGCGTGAGTCCCCGCGATCACTTTGCTGCTCTCTGATGTGGAGGGTGTTCGCTGCTGCGAGCATCTCACAGCGAACAGTTTTTAAGGTAGTATGATCCATGCTTCAGTGATCAGAGGAATTTAGGGGGGTACTGTGGCGTGCGAGAACGCAAAACTCTGGTTATCTCTGTCTACACACAAATGCATTAACGGAGTTTTCAAAAATCTCCACTTTGCCCGGAGTTTTTTGTATATATTCGTTTAGAATGTGTAATTTTTTATTTATTTAATGCGATCTACCAATACTACCTTTGCGATCGACTGGTAGATCGCAATCGACGTATTGAGCACCCCTGGTTTAGATCAACTCAGATAATCCACTCAATCCAAGTCAAATAATGACTCACGGGGCTCTTTCTTAAAAATACAAAAAAAACAAAAAAAAAATCAAGGCAAGGCAAGTTTATTTATATAGCACAATTCATACTCAAGGCAACTCAAAGTGCTGAACAAAATAAGAAAGCATTAAAATCATAAATAATCACAGTACATTAAAAAGAAAGATAAAAATATAAAATCCCTCAGTTGTAGCACAGCTAAACAGAACTGTCTTTAACCTGGTTTTAAACATTGTCAGAGAGGAGGCCTGTCTCACATCTTCAGGAAGACTGTTCCAGATTTTAGCAGCATGAATCTGAAAAGCAGCCTCCCCATGTTTAGTCCTGACTCTGGGCACTAACAGGAGTCCAGTCCCTGTGCTCCTCAGAGTCCCAGCAGGAGTCCAGTCCCTGTGCTCCTCAGAGTCCCAGCAGGAGTCCAGTCCCTGTGCTCCTCAGAGTCCGGGCTGGTTCATATGGGACTAACATGTCACTAATATATTTTGGTGCGAGGCCATGGAGAGACTTGTAACAAGCAGAGCTGTTTTAAAGTCTATTCTCTGAGCCACAGGAAGCCAGTGCAGAGACCTGAGGACTGGACTAATGTGGTCGTACTTCCTGGTTCTAGTCAGGACTCGAGCTGCTGCATTTTGAATGTACTGCAGCTGTTTTACAGCCTGTTTGGACAGACCTGTGAGCAGGCCATTGCAGTAGTCTAACCTACTGGAGACAAATGCATGGATAAGAATCTCCAGGTCTGCTTTAGACACTATGTTTTTGATCCTGGCAATGTTTTTTAGATGGTAAAAAGCTGCTGATGTTACTGATTTGATGTGGCTATTAAAATTTAAGTCTGAGTCCAGTATTACCCCTAGATTTCTGACCTTGTTTGAAGGTTTTAGGGAGAGAGACTGTAGATCACAGATGACGCTCTCTCTTTGTTTCTGGACCAAAGACAATCATTTCAGTTTTGTCTGCGTTTAGCTGAAGGAAGTTGTTTTGCATCCACTCACTGATCTGTTGGATACAGTGAAGGAGTGAGTCCACTGGTCCATGTTCTCCTGCAGTCAGTGAGACATAGATCTGAGTGTCGTCTGCATAGTTATGATAGGAAACTTTGTTTCTGCGTATTAACTGACCTAACGGCAGCATGTAGAGATTGAACAGAAGAGGTCCCAGAATCGACCCCTGTGGTACTCCACAGGTCAGGGCCATATGATCTGAGACACAGTTTCCAATCTCCACAAAGTACTTCCTGTCCTCAAGGTAAGACCTAAACCAACTTAGGGCGGTGCCAGCGACGCCAACCCAGTCCTCTAGTCTCTGTAAGAGGATCTCATGGTCGACGGTGTCAAAGGCAGCACTTAGATCTAACAAGATTAAGATTGAGACTTTGCCTGCGTCAGTGTTCAGCCGGATATCGTTTGTAACCTTAACGAGAGCAGTCTCAGTGCTGTGGTGGGGTCTAAAGCCAGACTGAAACATATCAAATGAGTTGTTGATTATAAGAAATCTAGTAAGCTGTAGGTAGACGACTTTCTCAAGGACTTTCCCCATAAATGGCAGATTTGAGATGGGACGATAGTTGTTCAGTACCGTAGCATCCAGGCTGCTCTTTTTTAGCAGGGGCCTGATGACTGCAGTTTTCAGGGCCTTTGGGAATATTCCAGAGTGAAGGGACATGTTTACTATCTGTGTGAGTGAAGGTAACAGACTGCTCAGAACAGACTTTAGAAATGAGTGATTGTATGCATTTCTGATGTTGGTCGCGCATGCGTACCTGCGTACACCCTGCTTATTACATGCATACAGACAAATATATTACCTGCATGTGAAAGCCAGAAGCTAAGCAGCTTAATACTGTGATGGGTCTCTGGGAACACTAGGTGCAGTTTTAAAGTGCCAATCTGTCGTTGTGTCCTTAAGCAAGAGTCTGGCGGGTGTGTGAATGGTTAGTGGTGGTCGGAGGGACCAATGACACATACTAGTGCCCCAGAGCACGGGGTGGTGCGTACTAGGGTTGGGCTTGGGATCGGGGTACTATTTATGTACCACGTTGACTGTGGTTCCAACCGCGCCGAGCGATACCATAACGTGACGTCAGCCCTACACTGATTGGTCAGCGAGTGTCGTCACTGGAACGTCTGACCCAATGGTAAAAACAACTCGACCCCACCATCTTTAAAACCGGCTGCTCTGCTTCAATACGTCCTCCCATGGATCTATTATAATCTCCTCACTCCAGAGAAATGGAATAGCACAGAAAGCCCCAAAAGTCAGCGTCCTGGTCGGTCGACGAGGTCCACACGTTACTCTCTTTAGGCGAAGAAACAATTCAAAGGCAGCTCGAACGCACAACACGGAACGAGAAGGGTTTCACGGAGATTGTCCAGTTCTTGCTCTAATCCTGGAAATAACTGATTAGCTACGTATCTCGCTGGCCCAAAGCTCTCATTGAAATGTATTTACTCGTGTAAAAGTTTGATTTAATTTGACTAGCCAGCGCCACTGGGGGAGCCGAGGCAGTGGAGGCAGCAGACCGGCACAGAATGGGGCCTGTTTCATTTCAAACTCCATTAAGGCCCTGTTTATACTGAGACGCTGCGCAGACGTTTCCAGGCTATTAACAGAAACGACCAGGCTCCTAATGCAAATTTCTCAGCGTTCACATGAGGTTGAAAAACGATGTAGTTCTAGCGCCCGGCCAGTAGTGGGCAGAGAAACTTTACAACACTCACACGACCCCCCAGCCCCGTGCCCAGCCCCCCTCTCGGCAGTTTACTCACTTCCTGTGCCAGACACTCAGAAAGTACCAACATCATTCTGCATTTTAACAGCAGCTGTGAAAATGGAAACTGAACCTAGAGCTTCGCGTGGTCTCGTTTGGACGAACGAAGGAGTAGAATTATCCTCTGTCCCACGCTGGAAGCCCACGAAGCTAGTTAGTGCGCGCGGCGCCATTTTTGTTGATGTTTGTTCTCCGCTACTGCGCATGTCCAAATGTACGTGAGGGAGCAGCAGGAGGTGGGGGTCAGAGCAGCAGGAGGTGGGGGTCAGAGCAGCAGGAGGTGGGGGTCAGAGCAGAGGGGGATTTCACACCTTTTCCCTCTCGCGGGTGTGAAAGAGCCCCCGCTGTGCAGCGTTTCTGAGCTGTCCCACTCTGCAGGCTGGATCTGAACACTTACGTTTTCACCTGGAACACAGTCTTCGTGTGAACGCTTGGTAGAAACCGACATCCAACTATACCGTTTTACTGCCACATTGTCTCCGTGTAAACTCAACCTAAGTTAGCGAAGGAATCACGCGCAAAATGTAGTTTTTAACTCCAGCCTGAGGAGGGAGTTTGCAGTCTTCTCCCAAACCAAGTGTGCGCAGCCACTGGCGCCTAATTCTACAGAACTGTGGCACCCCACTACACAATACTAACAAATGTCCTAAGCTAAATTCATCTAACTAATCTAACAATAAAAACAACTAATGACTAAAACTACAACATCCAACAACAACGCTATCAACACTACACAATTATCTATAATACAAACTGCTATGCTAATAAAAATCTACCTAAATGCTATAACTAATCGCAAAAAAAGGATTTGAGGGTGAGTTGTCCTTTAACATTCTGCTCATCTGGACCTGGTCTCAAACGTACTTTGTAGATTGTTGGTTTTGCACTTTAGTTTTGTTTTTGATAAATCTGTAATCGTATCAAGACTTTGTTTCATTTATTTGTCTGAACACGTGCAGAAAAGGGGTTCAAAAGTTACGATTTACTACCACATACTTTTACTTCTATTTACATTATATACATTAATGTAAATATAATGTAAATATAATGTATATATATAGTCAAAGTATTTACAAGTGAATAAGCACAAGTCCAAGTGAAAGAGTTATTGATTTTGAAGTCTTTATATTATAAGTCGAGTCTAAAGTAAACAAATTCATGACTGGAGTCCACACTTCTGCCCCATACCATCCATAACAACTCTGTACATGTGTGTGTTTCCAGAGGAGGCACGCCCTGCGCTGTTACTGCCACGCCATGCAGGTGTACCAGGGTCGTGGCTGGTCTCTGGCCGAGGACCACATCAACTTCACCATTGGACGGCAGTCGTTCACACTGCAGCAGGCGGACCGAGCAGTGGAGGCCTTCCGAGTGATTCTGGAGAAGGAGAGCCAACAGACTGCCTCCCAGCAGGGAGCCTTTCTCCGGGAGTACCTTTACGTCTTCAAGGTGTGTGAGGGAGGGCTCAAAGGACCATGGACCAATACTACTGAGAACACTTTTGTCTCAGTATACTGTGTGTGTGTGTTCAGCAGAGTGAGATGGGGGGGACGGAGACCCTCTCAGACCTGCCTCTGCCCTGCATCCAAAGTTCTGCCACCCGGGTGTACTTTGGCCCTGAGCGTCGCCCTGCAGAAGGTAAGGTCCTCACATTTTCAGATATCACCTGCATACATTGTGTCATATAAGGAATATTCCATGCAAAGAAAACACATATCCATGGCAACAAGCACTCGAATAGTTGCATAAGTCTTGTGCAACAAAGGGTTTTATAACATGCTTTATTAGCATATATTTTTACCGAAAAGGTTTTTTAAATGGTTTTTGATTAATGTAACGTCTGCCTCCAGCTCTTGTTCTGAAGGTGTCATGTCTGTGCAGGTGAGAAGCAGGCAGCTACACACGTGTCTCTGGATCAGGAGTATGACAAGGACAATGCCACCATGTGGTGTCAGCTGGAACTGCAGCTGGTGTCTGCTGCCAACCGTGGGCCGGCTCCTGCTGCCTTTCAACCCACTCAGTACTGTCTACACAGCCAGACAGACAACCTGCGGCACCCCCTGGCTGTGCTGCAAGGTCAGTATGCATGCACACGCACGCACGCACACGCACACACACGCACACTCACACGCACGCACACTCACTGGGAGGGATGGACTGAGCTCCTGTTGGCTCATGTGTTTTCAAGCAGTTTTGCGCCTTAATCTTGTTAAAATATTATTTGACTGCTCTTTCAACACACTAGCACTTTCTTCACTAAAGGCAGCACTAAAGGCACCACAATGTTCAAAATGACATGCTTGCAATAACACACCGGGCCGATGGCAGTGGACCCCGAATAAGAATTATTCAACGCTAATGTACGTATCTTCTTACCTCTCGAAAACAAAAGTTGGCTCTTGGCCCAAAGCTCCGTTCCACATGTGTGTCAATGCTGAGGGGGGTGTATTTCTTTTGGTCCAGTCTAGTTTAGCCGCTGTGAAATGTTGAAGTTGCTTGTTAAATGAATGGGGCTAGTGCCGGCTGACGCATGCGCAGATGCGTTTTTTCCAAGCCCCGGCGATCCAAGATGGCGCCCTATTCAAATGAATGGTTGTGCTCAGTGGCGCTTTGTGACGGCATGGGGGCTGAAAGATTAGCGGAAGTCGCCTGAAACTCGCAAAGATCTATGGGAAACTCTCAAAGATCTATGGGAAACTCTCAAAGATCTATGGGAAACTCTCAAAGATCTATGGGAAACTCTCAAAGATCTATGGGAAACTCTCAAAGGTCTATGGGAAACTCTCAAAGGTCTATGGGAAACTCGCAAAGATCTATGGGAAACTCTCAAAGATCTATGGGAAACTCTCAAAGATCTATGGGAAACTCTCAAAGATCTATGGGAAACTCTCAAAGATCTATGAGAAACTCTCAAAGATCTATGGGAAACTCTCAAAGATCTATGGAAACTCTCAAAGATCTATGGGAAACTCTCAAAGATCTCTGGGAAACTCTCAAAGATCTCTGGGAAACTCTCAAAGATCTTTGGGAAACTCGCCTGTATTTGGGCATCGTCTGGTCCTCCCGGTTCTGCGCAGTGGATGATCTCCCATAATGCTTTGCACAAACACGCGTGTGTGGGTCTCACACCGGGTCTCACGCACGTGCCAAGAGGGGCTCGGCTCTGACCAATCAGAGCAGTTCATCAGAGCGGGAGTTAGAGCGAGAGCCAGACGAGCAGAGTTTGTGGCACTAAAGTGTGGATTTAAAGAAAACCGAAGGATTTAAGAATAAAAAAAGTTCAGGACGACAAGGGACACTAAAATCCACACAAAATCCTATCTTTATTAAAGCTGTAGGTTCTCTGTCAGGTTCTCTGTCAGCTGAGGTTGAGCTGTTTTAATATGCATTGAATTCTATGGGGAAAATTTCTGGGTAGCCCACGTGAATTTAGTCTGGTTTAGTCTGCAGTACCGCGAGAATCCCCCGAGCACATGGGTTCTTCAGCTCCAAGCTGTAATACCCTATCCAGTTATTATAATAGATCCATGGTTTTTTCACATTTTCCAGCCCTTGCGGCCATTTTGAAGCTGCCCATAGACGGTGAAAGTGGTGGCACATTAGTTTGAACGGTAGAGATAGGTGTGACTACGTTCGTTAATATTTACAGTCTCTTGTCAAGATATGACCAATATTCAGGTTAGTCACACTCTGTCAGTCTGAGACAGACACCGAAAGACATGCAACACACGCATAGTCTCTGATGTACTATTCATTTGCAGAACCCATGATTGTGGAGGTAGTCCTGAAGAACCCCCTGAAAGTGGCACTGTCTCTGTCGGAGCTCACACTGCTCTGGAGGTTCACAGATGCAGACTCCACAGAGATCTCCAATGAGGATGCTCCTGCAGCTCTGGTAAGACCATCAGGGCCAATGCACTTGTACACCGATTTAGACACACTGGGCCAAATTTGTGAAGGTCTCATGAGTGTGCTATGCGTACAGGGAAAGTGAAGCAGATCTGAGTCTAAAGCCTGGTTCACACGGCAGGATATTTAGGCCGATTTAGACCCGATTTACCCCTTACGACAATCTTAAACGCTCCGATTTCCGTAACAAAATCTTACAGATTATCCTGCCGTGTGTGGTGTGTTAAGACTGCACTCGTCGCTCGGAAGGACATCGGGACTGCTCCCGATCTCAAATCGGGGATATCCAACATGTTGGATTGTTTTGGCCCAATTTCTTGTCGTGTGTGGTGTCCTCCGAGGACAAGCGAGCGCGTTGCCATGACTACGGCGTGTAGCCAATAAGAAGACGAGGTGACAAGCCGGTGAGGAAACACCGGAAAAAAACCAAAACACAGCAGCATGGCTTTGACCATTGCCTTTTCTTTGGATTACGTCTCTTCTCTGTTAACAACAAACTGCACACTATCGCCACTGCATCCTCTTCGTCCGCCATGACTGTTTACTCTGAAGTCACGCTTGATCTCGAGAGATTTTGTGAGATCTCCGTCTGACCTGGGAATGCTCGGGGGGGGGGGGGTGTCGGTTCGTGTGTGATGTTTGTGGCTTGCGTGATCTTGCCGTGTGGCTACGCACCACACACTGCACGACCAAAGTGGTTAGACGCAGGATTTTTAATCTCCCCGTGTGGGGTCTAACACGGAGAAAAATCGGCCGACAATTTTAAAATCGTCTCGTGTGAACCAGGCTTAAGGGCTTGTCCGTGGAAAAGTTGAAATGCAAAAATGTTTTATCAATCCAGTGTATCATCCATTTTACCATCTAAAAAACATTGCCAGGATCAAAAACATAGTGTCTAAAGCAGACTTGGAGATTCTTATCCATGCATTTGTCTCCAGTAGGTTAGACTACTGCAATGGCCTGCTCACAGGTCTGTCCAAACAGGCTGTAAAACAGCTGCAGTACATTCAAAATGCAGCAGCTCCAGTCCTGACTAGAACCAGGAAGTACGACCACATTAGTCCTGACTAGAACCAGGAAGTACGACCACATTAGTCCTGACTAGAACCAGGAAGTACGACCACATTAGTCCAGTCCTCAGGTCTCTGCACTGGCTTCCTGTGGCTCAGAGAATAGACTTTAAAACAGCTCTGCTTGTTACAAGTCTCTCCATGGCCTCGCACCAAAATATATTAGTGACATGTTAGTCCCATATGAACCAGCCCGGACTCTGAGGAGCACAGGGACTGGACTCCTGCTGGGACTCTGAGGAGCACAGGGACTGGACTCCTGCTGGGACTCTGAGGAGCACAGGGACTGGACTCCTGCTGGGACTCTGAGGAGCACAGGGACTGGACTCCTGCTGGGACTCTGAGGAGCACAGGGACTGGCCTCCTGCTGGGACTCTGAGGAGCACAGGGACTGGCCTCCTGCTGGGACTCTGAGGAGCACAGGGACTGGACTCCTGCTGGGACTCTGAGGAGCACAGGGACTGGACTCCTGCTGGGACTCTGAGGAGCACAGGGACTGGACTCCTGCTGGGACTCTGAGGAGCACAGGGACTGGCCTCCTGCTGGGACTCTGAGGAGCACAGGGACTGGCCTCCTGCTGGGACTCTGAGGAGCACAGGGACTGGCCTCCTGCTGGGACTCTGAGGAGCACAGGGACTGGCCTCCTGCTGGGACTCTGAGGAGCACAGGGACTGGACTCCTGCTGGGACTCTGAGGAGCACAGGGACTGGACTCCTGCTGGGACTCTGAGGAGCACAGGGACTGGACTCCTGTTGGGACTCTGAGGAGCACAGGGACTGGACTCCTGTTGGGACTCTGAGGAGCACAGGGACTGGACTCCTGTTAGTGCCCAGAGTCAGAACTAAACATGGGGAGGCTGCTTTTCAGATTCATGCTGCTAAAATCTGGAACAATCTTCCTGAAGATGTGAGACAGGCCTGTGAGAAAGACAGTTCTGTTTAGCTGTGCTACAACTGAGGGATTTTATATTTTTATCTTTCTTTTTAATGTTCTGTGATTATTTATGAATTGTGCTATACAAATAAACTTGCCTTGCCTTGCCTAAGAAGCCACTGTTTTGGGAGTCTGAAAACACACATTTCTTAAACCAGTGGAGTTGAAAGATCTCAAAACTCTGTGTACGCCAGTGATTCCCAAACTTTTTTTACGTTTTAAAGTTTGTTTTGAAAAAAAAACAAATTCTGCATTCTGTGTTTTTCAAATCCAAGTGCAGGCACGACAAGAACATCACCAAGAAGTTATCTTTTGTACTGACCACAACAATATTCCAAACACTGAGTATTTCTGATCTAAGTGTGTGCGCTCTGACCCACAGGCGAAGGAGGTGATTACAAATGAGGTGATCGCAGACTTCCCTTTGGGCCCGGAGGAGACCAAAGTGGTGAGTAACGGGCCAGAGGGAACCAGAGGCCATACAGGGGTCTCCAAATCTGATGAACCAATACAAACCAGTAGCTTTTAGTTTTAAAAATCTTTTTCATCTTTCATAAAGCTGTGTTCCCACCAGACCAAGCGGTATGGCAGGTTTACATGAAAGGTCGATACATCAGAGCTAATATTTGCATAGGTTGCTGAACGCACATTTCTTCAGTGCAGCAGGTTGCGATTTTTGTGGCGTGGCAGGTGCCTTGAAGTACGGGAGCTCATCACACCGGCGAAATGCAGGAGATTAACATTGCTTAACTGTTTGGCTGGACGGACATGCGGCAACCAATCAGAGCAGCACAGTGATGCTGTGGACACAAGCCGTTTCAGGGCAGAAGGAGGAAGACACTTGAAAACAGCTGAACCAGGATTATACCAGGACTGACGATGGGAAACGTAGTGCTTGTGGACTGTGATTAAATACAAGTGCCGCTGACACAATCACGGATGTCTCTGGAGGATCTTGGAACCCCGTGATTGGATAGGAGCTTCTACTCGAGTAGAAGAACTTTATGTAAGTACACCAAAAGCTGCTAGCTCAAACTGGTCTGCTACAGTATCAAAGCCCACTCGCCACTTCCACTGTGCGTTTTCCAAGACGCATGCAGCATCGCAGGTCAGTGCGGTGTGTTGGTTTTACTAAAGTAGATTTTTTTATTAATAGGCGTCTAAAACACGTGCGTCAATGTGCCGGCGGTGGGAACAGAGCTCAAGATGTTTTTTGTCAGAGATGAGTAGAGTTCTCCAAGTCACTACCGATAAATGCATGACTGGGGGGTACAGCATCTGCAGCCTTAGACCCTAGGTTAGGTTAGTTAGGTTATTAAGGTTTGTTCAACTTTGATCATCAATATTCTAACATACATACTAAAATCTATGCACACCTTTATGAAGCAGTACAGTATGAGTGTGTTTGTGGCAGGCTCGACTGAAGCTGGTTCCACACAGGACGGGGCAGCTCAGTGTGACCGGGCTGGCATACAGTCTGTCTGCAGCTGGGGACTCTGCTGAAGGTACACACCTGTCCTCGTCTCGTATATGAGTGTGTCATTAGACTATAGGCACAACCAGCCGCAGTGTCCCAGCTGGTTTCTCTGTGAATATGGGTTTTCTGTAGTTTGTGTTTGGCCATGCTTCACTGGTGTGATTCTGATCCTGCGTGTGCAGGGGACATGCTACTGGTGCGTGGGAAGCAGGAGCTGAAGATCCAGGGCCCACGTCTGAACCAGAGCAAAGAGGACAAGATGTCAGTGCACCATGGGCGAGATGAGCGCCTTCACCCAATCATCACAGCACCCATGCCTTTGCTAGAGGTGAAGTCCTAGGCTCCTGTAGCTAGTAACAATGTCATTGTGTTCCCGGACAAGAGAATGGGGTCTTTTGCTCTGTAGAAAATAATCTTTGTTTGAAGCAGAATTTCTATCAAGCAAACACTGCCTTTTGGAAGTAAAAAATCCTCAAAATGTTGCTTATAACAGGACGCTGGATTCTGCATATACGTGTGTGGAGAAAAGACTATGCTGTGGAGCCATGCTCACCGCTTTGCCCTCTTCCACAGGTGTTTTTCCTACAGTTCCCTTCCGCTCTGCTCTGTGGAGAGATTCGGAAGGCCTACATAGAGTTCTGTAACATGAGCTCTGTGGGGCTGTGTGGGCTCAGAGTGGTGTCAACTCACCCCAACTTCTTCACCTTCGGCTCTGCCAGCACCAGCAGTGAGCCGTTGACCCCGCTGACCCCTGGCTCGGCCTATAAGACTGTGAGCGGGCAGGCCCAACAGCCACATGTCCTGGTGGCTCCTCAGGACTTCCTGCAGCCCTCTGCAGTCATCACTATCCCCATAGAGGGAGGCATGCTCAGACCAGGACAGTCCATGCAGCTGCCTCTGTGGCTTCGGGGCCCAGATAAAGAAGGAGTGCATGAAATCAACTTCCTGTTCTACTACGAGAGCACAGAGAAGGGCGGCAAAGTGAGGTGAGACCCATTTCTGACACTTATATACATTTAATTCTGTAATATTATTCAACTTGTGAAACTAATATGATATGGACTCATGCCAAAGTGAGATATATTGAAGTTGGATGTTCTCGAAGTGTTGTATCAAAGCAAATTCTTAAACATTTCAGAAGAAGGAAAAAGTGTAGAAGAAAAAGGAGCGCAGTCTGCAGAGAATTATCAGGAAAAGATCATTCACAGTTTGGATCTTCACAAGAAATGGTCAAAAGCACCACTCACAGATTATCATGGGCTACAAATGTCCTATTCCTCCTGATATTCTAACCAACGTCAGAAACGTTAAAAGAATGAAAGGAGGTTGTTTTATTTAGGGTTTTTTCGAGCTGTAAACCATAATAATCAAACTTCATGCATCATGAGTCCATAGCATACATTTTAAGTTGTATTCCAGAATAAGTTTGTGTAAGCCCTCAGTCGTACAGGGATTAGTCAAAGCAAAGGAAGGTTTCTCACCCATCATCTGTACTTCTTAGCAAGTTTTCCCGAGGTTTTGTCCTCAATCCAAAGGACTTCTTCAGGGAATGAATGATGGATTGCAATCCCAGCAGACAATAGGTCTGTGACATGCTAATGAGTTAGGGTCGTTAGCCTCAGCAGGGTCGTTAGACCTGCTCCCTTCTACATCAGACCTTAGATTGTTTATGAGTTAGTATCAGGATTAGGATGCAGGTTATAAATCTCCAACGCGCGGTCTGAGAATTCATTCCCTGAAGAAGTCCTTTGGATTGAGGATGAAACGTCGGGAAAACCTGCTAAGAAGTACAGATGATGGGTGAGAAACCTTCCTTTGCTTTGTATTCCAGAATGACATTAATTCTCAGTTTCACCTGCACTTGTAAAGCTGCACTTGTAAAGCTGCACTTGTAAAGCTGCACTTGTAAAGCTGCACTTGTAAAGCTGCACTTGTAAAGCTGTATTATTATAGCGGTGTTTTCACCACAGCACTTTCTGTGCCACAGCCACAGGGTGCTGCGTCACACAGTCTTCATCTGCTCCAGCCGCTCCCTCAGTGTCAGTGCCTCAGCCTGCCACAGCCTGGGCCCCGCCCACATTTCTACCCACTCTGACCAGTCTGACCCCCACCAGCCTGAGCTCAGTGGAGCCAGTGGGACACTGGTGTTTGTGGATGTGGAAAACATCAACCAGGTGAGTGCACGCTTGGGTGTGTGTGTGTGTGTGTGTGTGTGTTGTGTTCTGTCCTCTGGGATAACTACTGTTGTGATTTAGGGCCAGTGTTGGGAGTAATGTATTAAAAAAGTAATGTAATTACTGTAATGTATTATCTTTTGCTGTAACGCAGTAATATAAGGCATTACAAATCAAAAACTGGGTAATATTTAACATAATAATTGAACTTGAAAATCTTAAATCCTAATCTGATGTATGTATGTATATCTATGCACGCACATATATTTAGATAAATGTGTGTATAAATATATATATTTATACACACACACAATAATAGTATTATTGAAGGAACTTGCCCAACACTCTTTAGGGCTATAGAGGTTAAATTGAATTGAATGCAGTTGTGTGTGTTTGTTCCAGAGTGAGGCTGGGGTCCGGGAGTTCCACATCGTCCAGGTGTCGAGCTGTGGTCAGCGCTGGTGCTTACAGTCCTGCATCAACCCCTCCCAACACAAAGGTCTGCGTCTGTTATTCCTGAAAACAGTTCTTGTGTTTTATGGCTGTTATTATCACCTAAATAAGTTATGTTTGCTCAATGTCACATTTAGATTTATGAAATGTTTTTGTATTACTCTTTCTACAAAGATTACTGTCTTTTAACAACTTGGGAAAGCCCAAATAATGATATTATGGCATTGAAAGCTTCTGATAGGTTACCTTATGAAACATACAGCTGTATTTTATGGCTGCTTCTCAAACCGGCTGCTTTCTAGTTTGATGTGACTCATTTAAGCCTGAAATGAGAAATTGACCAGTGGCCACTGGTAACTTTCTCACGGCCGTAAAGATGGCGCCGTGGCAAGAGCTCTGGTGTGTGTCGTCTGGTGCACACCGGGGTAGTCTTACAGTTTTTCCTATGTGGTTTTACTGCAAATGGCAAATAAATGAATCTGAATCTAAAAAGCAAACACACGCAAAAGTTCAAGCTGTATTCTGAATACAACTTGAACTTGTGTGAAGAAAGATATTGTGCCTTACAAAAATATGAATTCATATTTTTGTAAGGCACTATATCTTTCTCCACACAGTCCCAGACGTATCTGAGAGATCATTCCTTACTCTCGGAGGATCCTTGCCACAGATGGACCACCTGAGTCCGCCTGAGAAAAGGGATTTCTAAAGCGTGTCTGAGGGTTTGGGGATGGAGGGTGTGACCTTCTGATGTTGACTTCTTGTCCTCCTGCAGAGTGCTGTCTCAGCAGCAGGGAGAGGGCAAAGCTGTGCTTCAGGGCAAAGCAGTGCAGACCTCCTCCTGGTATGGCTCTCACATATGCACAAAGATACATTAACAGATATTTACAGAAAAACATTCAATGTACAGGATTTGATGAGGGATTGGGAAAAGTTAAATGCTTATTGATGCTATAGCCAAATCCAAGACAATCAAAACAAAAACCCTTGACCCTTGAACACACCAACCCTAATGTGATGGGATGCACACATACAGTACACACACACACACACTTACACAAACACACACAAACACACATAAACACACATGCATACACACGTTAGGAACATGAGGAAGGCAGCTGACCGTATCCTCCGTCTCTAACCACACTCTGTCTCCTAGATGCAGCAGAGAAATACACATTTGCGGATGTGAACCTGTCCAGTCAGAGGGTACTGTCACTTTGCTTTTATTTGTGTCAGACTAGTGTGTCCTTTCTCTGTCCTCTGCTCCCATTTTTTATTTTGTGTAAAATTAATTGGTTTAATTAGAGCTTTTATATGTTTATGTAACATGACTCCAAAAACTTTTCTGGGGTAGGAAATTACCCAAAATATCTACAACTTTTTTCTCATATAAACCACAAACCCAGGCAGACCTGCTAAGTGCAGGAGGCGCTGACTTGAGAGAAAAACAACACTTGCAACCTTTTGAGGCAAAGACTATAGTTTCCATATACAATTATGATATGCCAAAAAAAAAGGTCAGTTAATTCAAAGTATGAAAGTGTCCTACCACAATTACGCTGATGACACTCAGATCTATGTCTCACTGACTGCAGGAGAGCCTGGACCGGTGGACTCACTCCTTCGCTGTATCCAGCGGATCAGTGAGTGGATGCAATGCAATTTTCTCCAGCTAAATGCGGACAAAACCGAAATGATTGTCTTTGGTCCCGAGAAACAAAGAGAGACCGTCATTTGTCACCTTCAGTCTCTCTCCCTAAGGCCTTTAAATAAGGTCAGAAATCTGGGAGTAATAATGGACTCTGACTTAAACTTCAATAGCCACATTGGATCGGTAACATCAGCAGCTTTTTATCATCTGAAAAATATTGCCAAAATTAAAAATATTGTGTCCAGGGCAGACTTGGAGATTCTTATCCATTCTTTTGTTTCCAGTAGGCTGGATTACTGCAATGGCCTGCTCACAGGTATCTCCAAACATGCAGTAAGACAGCTGCAGTATATTCAAAATGCTGCAGCCCGAGTCCTGACTAGAACCAGGAAGTACGACCACATTAGTCCGGTCCTCAGGTCTCTGCACTGGCTTCCCGTGGCCCAGAGGATAGACTTTAAAGCAGCTCTCCTGGTGTACAAGTCTCTCCATGGCCTTGCACCAAAGTACATCCATGATATGCTAGTCCCATATGAACCAGCCCGGACTCTGAGGAGCGCAGGGACGGGACTCCTGTTAGTGCCCAGAGTCAGGACTAGACAGGGGGAGGCTGCTTTTCAGATTTATGCAGCTAAAGTCTGGAACAGTCTTCCTGAGGATGTGAGACTGGCTGCCTCTCTGTCAATGTTCAAATCCATGTTAAAGACTTTTCTTTTTTCCTGTGCATACAACTAGAGAATTTTATCTTTTTAACACACCTTGTTATTTATTGTTGTAACTTTTTGTGTTTTTAACTATTTTATTGTTTTTAATTACTTGTGTGATTCTTATGTTTTTAAATTACTTATGTGATTTTAATGCTTTTTAATTACATATGTGTTTTTAATTGTATTTTAATGGTGATGATTTGTGCATTGTGTGGTGTGGACTGTGAGGCGCTTTGTGTTGCCCTGTGCAGGAAAAGCGCCCTATAAATAAAGATTGATTGATTGATTGATATATATATATTAGTGCTGTCCAACGAGTAAAATATTTAATCGCGATTAATCGCATGAATTTCATAGTTAACTCGCGATTAATCGCAAATTAGTCACACATTTGTATCTATTCTTTATGTCCCTTGAATTATCATTTTAATACTACTAAAAAGTGAATACAGTAGCTCAGTTGGTAGAGCATTGACCTTAAGGCCTGAAGGTTGTGGGTTCAATTCCCACTCTACACCTTCTCCACCGACTCCCACTGATGACTGCTGTCGTTGTGTCCTTGGGCAAGACACTTAACCCCACTTTGCCCAAAGCCCCCACTGAAAGATCAAGGCTATGCTCACAGTCAGAGAGCAGCCGTCCTCCTGTGGACTCACCACCTGCAGAGGGTCAGTGAGGGGCTGGTGCTATGAGACTTGGGTGGCATCTCTGACTGCCACCCCCCTGACCCAGAAATGGATTAAAGGGAAGAGGATGGATGGATGGATGGATAAAAAGTGAATAGGCGTGCTGTGTGCAATTGCTTTTTTAAATATTTTGTAAATTTGTTCATGTAAATACTCTATGCTGTTTCTCTGTTTACTTTCGGTATATCTATGACTGTATACTGTTTGCCTTTTTTATTAACCCCCCCCCCCCCCTCCTATGTGCCCTTCTGGGTTTCTTCTTTGGCCCCCTGTATCTCCAACTACATATTGTTTGTAATCTCTGTCTACAATGTATCTGAACTAGTCCTTTTCTTTGTTTCTATTTTTTTTTTCTGTATATGTGTTTGTCTTTTTCTTTTTTTTTTAATCGCGCGATAAAAAAAATGACGCCGTTAATATTGATTTGCGTTAATAACGCAATATTTTGGACAGCACTAATATATATATTATATATATATATATATATATATATATATATATATATATATATATATATATATATATATATATATATATATATATATATATATATATATATTTTATATATTATTGCCCAGCTACTCATAGCTTGTTAAAAACTACATACATCTCTTATTCTTGCCTTTCTCCAATAAATGTATCTCAATTTTTTGGCCACATCTTCCTTTTGTTGGTCTATTCTTTTAATAAAACCAATGAGCGTTATTAAACAATTACATTTCTGATTTAAAACACTTCTGTATTGAGTATAGATCTAGAAGACTTGGATGTGTGTATGAACAGACGTGTGGTGTGTGCAGGTGGTCAGCTCGGCCACACCCTGTGGAGACTTCTTCTTCCGCTGCTGCGATACTCAGATGCAGAACCCCAGAGAACATTCTCCCTCGGAGCTGGATTTCCACATAATTGTCTTCTGGAAGGTATGACCACAAACACATCTTTAGCCACTTTCCAAATGTGAGGAGTGACTCCGTGTGCTTGCCCCCAGGCCTCTGTGGTGGAGGACAACAAGCAGCTGATCCTGGAGGGACAGCTTCACGTTGCCTTGCACGATGTGGGCCACAAGTCCCCGGAGCCACACAATGTAAGCTGCACACAGCATGTCATCGGAGCCTAAGGGCATTAGCAGCTCAAAGGAGAAGTTGGATGTCCCAGGATTGTTGGCTCAGATGTTGACTGTGTTTCAGCTGGACACTGCGGATATGATACTGCTTAAGTTTCGCTCAGAGCCGGTCCCTCCTCCTGTGGCCCCTAAACTGGACTTCAGTGAGCTCGTTCGAACCAACCTAAGCTATCCCCAGAGCCACAGCCATGCCTTCAGCAGCAGCAGGTCAGTCATTGGGGCGAACACAGGTCATCTCACTCCACAGACTCTAACTCCCCTGTGTCCACAGCCTTTGCACCGTGTGCGTGTGTCTGACCCTCACCAATGTGTCTGTGGACCCCGCCCAGGTCAGCGTGGAGCTGCAGCACACCACTGCTGGGTGAGAATAGTCTGAGACCATGTCTGCTCAGGGCCTTATTATTATGATCTGTAGATGATTAAGAAACTTTTGTTTTATGTAATTTGAAAAAATAAAACTATATACGTACATTTATTAATATATAAACTGTTCTTTACTTTTTTAGGGCCAGAATTGACAAACTGCTTATAAAATGGCTTATAATAAGTACTGTATCAGAATGTATTTTTTAGGGCTGTCAAACGATTAATTTTTTTAATCGAGTTAATTACAGCTTAAAAATGTATTAATCGTAATTAATCGCATTACAAACTATTGGCAAAATTATGGCATATTTTTCTGTAAATGGTTGTTTGAATGGAAAGATAAATGACAGCTTAGTGAACAACTATTTGTTTGTTATAACAATAAATCCATATAAAATGGCATTAACATTATTAACATTCTGTCTTCCTGTTTAGACTCAGACCAAAACCATTGTTTGTTACAGATGAGGGACATTTCAAAATAGTCTGAAGCAGAATGTCATTAAATCTGTTTGATTTGCTCACACAACTAACATGAACTGGTAGTTGAAAGGAAAATTAGGTACCTCAGCTTTAATTTAGCGAGTGCGCCTCGGGAGAAGACACGAAGGAGACTGAGGCTCCTCAGTCCAGCTTCAGCGCTGTACATATGGGCGGCACGGTGGCTGAGTGGATAGCACTCTCGCCTCTCAGCAAGAAGGTCCTGGGTTCGAAATCCGGTTGGACCAGGGCCTTTCTGAGTGGAGTTTGCATGTTCTCCCCGTGTCTGCGTAGGTTTCCTCCGGGTGCTCCGGTTTCCCCTACCACTAAAAATATGTACAATAGGTCTGGCATGTGCCTCCTGTACTGGCCCCACTCCCAAAAAAAAAATAACAATTGTAAACCGCTTTGAGACTCCGATGTGCAGTGAAAAGGCGGTATATAAATAAAGATTACTACTACAGCCGCTGGAGGTGGGACCTGTCCAGAGCGCTGTGGCGCCCACAGCTCATCATGCAGAGTTCATACAGGAAACAAGTGCCACGTGTGTATTCTTTCAAAACTTGAATTCCCAGAGACCTGCTCTGTCCCCATCTTACACATGCATGTGTCCGCAGCATTCTGAGTGTTATTATGGGACGCATGGGCATGCGTCAAATGCGTTAATTTTTTAAACATGATTAATGAAAACAATGAATTAACGTGCGTTAGCGCGATAATTTTGACAGCCCTAGTATTTTTATAGTCCATTGTAAGTAACAGTAAGTCACAAACTAGCAATTTTCTCATGGTACAAACAACTTATGGAAGTAAAAACTAGATTTAAAAAAATCATAAAGGAGCCTGGTAAATGTGCGTGTAACCCCGGTGCTGTGTTTCTCAGAGAGTCTCTGGAGCCTTGCAGCCTGTTCTCGTGGGTGGGGAAGAGCGTTTACCGTGCCGTGCTGAGCCCAGAGCAGGAGCTGCGGCTGCCCCTACGCGCCTGCTTCTACAGCGCTGGTGTGTACGACCTGAGCCGCTGCAGGGTCCTGGTCCGGCCCACCCTGTCAGACGCCCCCCCAGAGAGCGTACGCGGCTATGGCCCTGCGCTCATCGTGATCAACAACGCTTGACCCCAGTGTGCACGCCTTGGACTGCTTGTGATCAGCGACGTCTGACCTACTTCAAGGATACTGATGTGCGGAAAAAGGTTTCCTCCGTTGAAACTTGTTAAATGTAGACGCTGCAGCTGAAAACAAATGGTTTGCACGCTCCTGCTGTGCAGAGGTGGCAAAAGTCCAAGTACTTAAGTAAAAGTAAAGATGTTTGTATAAAGGACATTTTAAGCATTGCTTCTGAAAAGTGAAAGACTTCCCACCTGTGCTGCAGTGGGACTGACACAAACTTCTTGGAACTCTTGCTCATCTGGAACAGTTAATTATTTTTAAAAGAGGGTTGTGGACAAAAGTGTGAAATAGAATTGTTTTGGCACCTAATAATTTTAGAAACTCTACTTAACCTTAAAGATATTTCTGGTTATTCAGGATTTGTACATTACCTAATGTCCGTATACTACCAACAAAAGTTCAATGATTGTCCATCATTAAGTGGAGCCGTCAGACTCTTGGACACATCCCACACTTCTACTAATCCTAAGCCATCAGGCGGCAGAGGTTTTCAAAGACTTTATGTACAGACAAACAGTGGAGTCCTGAAACTTGATAAGAGATGAAGAAATAATAACATCAAAAGGAGGCGCTTGTGGAATCCAGGTTGCTGTAAAGAAAGCTGTAGTCTTCAAATCACACAATGCTTCATGAAGTGACTTTGACTCACTTCCAGTCGATAGAATACACACTAACACAGTCTACATCAACCTTGGACACGATCATGAACTTTATCTCTTTCTCGTGCTTTTTGCATTGATTTTTTTCTAATTTATATAAGTTTTGAAAATTAATTATTCTTGTTTCCTGTTCATATTAAATGGATTGTTAAGTATTTGTCTTCTTTGAATCAAGGATGAAGGGAACTCTGCTGCTGCTCTGGTGTAACTCATTTTCAACACACAAAATTAAACTATATACAGTTCATCCAACAAAATTAAACTGATCTATTCATAACATTTTACTCTTTCATTTTTGTTAATGATTGCATTACTTCTGAAATAAATACACAATGGAACCCAAGCTTTAAACATCAGTGACCTCATTCTATGATGCAACTACTGGGCCTTTTCTGTGACTAATGCATTCTTTGGCAGGAGATTGTTTGAAACGGTTGAAAAATTGCAGATCAATACCTCCTAGTGGTTGACCTGAGGTGGGAGGAGATGGGAACGAAGAGCACTTTTCCACTCCGTGCAAATGTTTGGTCAATCCTTACGTCTCATACAAGGACCATTTCAAAACATTGTAAACACCAGGATCAGAGTGTGTCAAACGATTACCGAGATGGTTTACGGTTCAATAGTTGGAGCAAAACTTCGTCCATGCACTTCTATTGGGCCACATTGAGCTTGAGAATTGGATGAATGAATGAGAAAATTATCTTTACAAAACCAACCTATAATGTGAAGAGTCCGGGCAAGCCATGTGTGAAATGTCCTGATAACACATGCTTAGTTTGGGTCATGTTGCTGCATATTATGGACGCTCTTAGCCTGGGAAGACCATGATGCTTCAATAGCAGCCTTCTGTTGTAAAAGCATGAACTACTTTAAATCTCCAGGTTGACTTGTGATGACTGGACTAAGTGGACCAGCCAACTCCAGCAGAAGTCAAAACTCCCCATATCACGGACTGGAAACGTCACACTGGACCTAAAGCCTAGCGTACATCGACAGAGAAACTGGGGACAACTAGTTGCAAGGCGGCTTTTGGCAACTGAGAGGAGATGATGGAGATGGTCGATGTGCGCGCTCTTACAACTGGAGATGATCAGTCGGTCTCCAGTTCCAGTCAGTTGCCCGTGTTCTACTTTTCGGCAACTAGTTGTCCTCAGTTGCCCCGATGTGCGCGCTCCATGCGCCGCTCCAACAACGTGTGTGTATTGCGTGTATTGCGAGCCCGCAACAGTTTGTTGTCAGAAAACAGACTGTAGTTGAGGCCAGTTGCTGTCGATGTACGCGCTGTTATTCAAGAGACTGGCCTGCGACTCAGAGTTGCCCGTTTTCGCCAGATTGTCGATGTGTGCGGGGCAGCAACTCAGAGGCGACGGATATAATCAGTTGCCAGTCCGATGTACGCTAGGCTTAAAGCAGCTTGGATTGTGTTCTACTCCCTTCTTCCTCCAGACTGTTTCCAAATGATTCAGCCAGGTTCTTTAGATGCTGGCATGGTTCAGGAGTGGTGGTCAATTTCCATTATCTGTGCCTAGCCTCAGTCCACTCCTTGTGAGGGTTCCCCACAATTATCTTTCCCAAAAAAATTGTGTAATGTGCTCAACCAGCAGGGATGACTTTTCCACATACACTAGTCCCTTTCCACATTTTAATTTGGGGCCTTCATGAGCTGTAATGTAAGCCATAACATTAAAACATACTTTACGTCCCCTGGTTTTCCAGTTCAAGTTGCAGCAAAGAAATAACTTGCAGCATTCTAATTTCTCCAGTTGTACCTGTACGTATAGTGACAAACACACTGAATATCTGCTGTACCAATTATCAATCTGCTAAAATTTAGAACTAAAAAAGGGGTATAGAAGCCTCAGGTTAATTAGAACTAAGCACTTTTAGGATTACTGCACGATAATGACCGGTGGTTCTCAACGACAAAGCCCATCAAACGAGTCTGGTGCTTCACCTCTTCAAAACTTCATTTGTATTTAGATACTGTATAATAACCAAAGATTAGAAGTGACTGCCTACTTTTTGGCTCAAAAGTAAAAAAAATAAAAAAAGTGGGAGAAACTCTTCACAAGTTAAAATATGAAATGCAAATGTGGAACAAATCGTTCCCCAAATGTGAACGTGTGAAAGTCAGCGACAGAACGTCATGGTTTTGGGAGCTTTATTGGTGAAGTTAATCCTTCTTGGCCGCAGCTTTCCTCATGGCGGCCAGGACGTTGGTCAGCTCCTCCCTCTTTCTCTTGGCGCGAATGTGAGTTCCAATCTGAAAGCACAGAACTTTTAGTGTCCGCTCAATAATAAATATATCAGATTCATCCCAGAGTGGGAACATGTGTGTCGCGGCACACAATAGATCATCATCTATGAACGCGTCGATGGATTTACGGGGAACGGAAGTATAAGACTGTTACACACTATGAGCCAATGTACAGAACAGACCAAAAGTTTGGACACACCTCACTCAAAGAATTTATCTTCATGATTATGAAAATTGTAGATTGACACGGAAGGCCTCAAACCTATGAATTAACTCATGTGGAATTATGTTCGAACTAAAAAAGTATAAAGTGAAAATATGTGTTATATTCTGGTTCTTCAAAGTAGCTCCTTTTGCTCTGAAACTGCTTCACTCTTGGCATTCTCTGGATGAGCTTCAACAGGACCTGAAATGGTCAGAGTTCCCATGATGCTTAGCACTTGTTGGCCCCTTCACTCTGTGGTCCAAGGGTTAGGGTTAAAACCATCTGGACTGGGTTTGGGTCTGGACTGTGGAGGTCATGTGGCCCAGCACCATCTCTCTCCTTATTGGTCAAACAGCCCTTACACAGCCTGGTGCGGGTCTACAGCAATAGTCATGAAAAGAAAGGACTCATTGAATGAGAAAGTGTGTCCAAACTTTTGGTCTGTCCTGTATTATTGAATGTAAATTTGCAGAATAGAAGTGACAGGTGTACTATATTACCCATAATTCCATTCATCCATAAATAGAAAAGGGGGTCACTTGTAAAGTCTGACAGCAGACTTTGTAAAACTAATTTTCACAGTCACAGCCTTAAGAGTCAAACTAAATTAAACCATTTAAATAGATTTGTTCCAGGCCTAACAGTTTAAATGTTCCAGAAGCATGTGCTCACCCTCTTCTTGATGAACTTGAGTGCCCTCTTGTCCTTGGACACCTTGAGCAGCTCCATGGCTCTCCTCTCGTAGGGGGCAAAGCCGCACACCTCGCGGATCATGTCCCGCACAAACTTGCTGTGTTTAGTCAGTCGCTGCAACAGACGAGTAGATTAGTAACTAATACTACTGCACATTTTACAACAGGGGAACCAATGGTGGGTCGGCTCCTACGGAAGTCTACTTTTGTGTTCTTGGGCAAGACACTTAGCCCCACTTTGCCTGAAGCCCCTGCTGAAAGATAAAGGCTATACCATCACTGACAGAGCAGCGGTCCTCCTGTGGACTCGCCACCTGCAGAGGATCAGGGAGGGGCCAGAAATTGACTAATTGGAAGAAAATTGATGGATGGGAAACAAAGGCCACTTCTAAACACAGACAAGATACAAACATAAGTAAATGAAAGATTGAATAGGTGGGTTCTGAGAAGACATGCGAGTTTAAGCAGCAGTGGACACAAAACTGGTTATTAAATTTAACCATGGTTAGGGCAGATGTAGCTTTGAGTTTATCTGAACATTTAAGATACCGGGTAATATTGTTACAAATACAAGACTGAGCCATTTATAATTCAACTTGTCATACGGGCTTCAACAGGCACATGATCCGCAATGAGATTAAGACCAGTTTTTTTAAACTTATTGATATCCAATACAGGATTGGGGCTACCGACCTCTGATAGTGTACCCACTACACTCCAGTGTTAAAACCAAGATAAACTAAGATACTAGTCAAGTAAAGGTGAAAGCACAGATTAAATCTAGCCCAAATCAGACTTCATTCCCAAACTAAGTAACAAGGTCACCACCCCTTGCTTTGGCATAAATAATGATACAGCATAGTTTAAAAGATTAAATCAATTTCTTAATTTGGAATAACTTCAGAGTTCAAACCATTCTCTCCACAGGTATGACCTGTAATAGCCTATTTTTATTCCATAAATATCAAGCAGAAAACGGCATGTTGCACCATAAACATGCCAAACGAGCCCAAACAATTACCAAGTACATTTACATCAGACCACATCAGCAAGGACCACAAGTCCTTTATGCACAATATAACTAAGCTTTGTTTACAAAAGTGTGCACACTGCTAATACTGCTACTGTCACGTGTGCAGCGACAGGAAACTTCTGATCTCCAATCCAGAGGTGCGTTACTTTGATTTTCTATATGCAGCCTGGACAAACTCCTTTGGACCCAGACACAGCTGTAGTGCGTTAGCCCCAGAGACTGTAGCCCCGTGGATGTGTCCAAAGCTCTGACTTACCCCACGTCGGCGGGCGTGCTTCGGAGCGCAGACGTTCTTGGTGACCGGGTGGCCCTTATTCAGGCCCACGGCCATGGGGTAGCGGATAGCCATGTCTGCAAGAGAGAAGCAGGGAGTGTGAGCGTAACACCGGGCTGAGAGCTCAGGCAGCACCGGGGGACAGGGGCGAGTAGAGACTACCCGGGGACAGGGACGAGTCAGTGTGTGTTGTGTGGTGCGTAGCCGGACTCCGGAGCGAGTCTGCCCGAGTGTGCGGTGAGTGCCTGAGTGACGGGGAGGCACGGGGACACCGGGCCGGGCAGAGTCGGTCTGAGCCGGTCTGAGCCGGTCTAATGTCCACAATACCGGTCAGACACGGTGATCAAAGGACACACGGGTTCACGTGTGTCGGTGCACACGGGTCGGGCTCAGGATGGCAGAGATAACCCGAGGATGGAGCGTGAGTCCCAGACTTACCTGTGTCTGTAATGGCGGTCAGACCGGAAAGACCGCGGAGAGGAAGGCGGAAGCGGAAGCAGAAGACGGATTTAAGACTGTGCCCAAAGACTGTATATATAAATATTATTGTGCCCCAGACTGAGACTGAAACAAACCTTTCGGGCAATTATAAATGTCTTTCGGGTTAATAATAGACTTGATAATATTTCATTAATTTTGAGGTCTTTACTGTAGCTACAGTAAAAGTGAATGTTACAGTAGTAGAGGTGAACAAGTGTGCAGTGAAAGTTGTTTCAAAACTCTTTTAGATTATTTATAATGAATTTCTACAAAATTCATTTTGGTTGCTTATCCCCGCAGTTATTACTTTTCTATGTTTACCGTAGGCAACAGCGCCGCTCCTTGGCGCGCGTCCCCCATGTTGTGTCAATGTAGACCCGCCGCTTTGGCCGCAGAAATCGCGTTTGGTCTGAACGCACCATAAAGGAGCCACCCGCTTTACCGCGGTAAACGACACAGTCTATGGGTAAACCAATGCATCCTGTGTTATTTATTTTCCTGTGTTTGAATTGTTCGATCTGTGATTGAAAAATTGACAACTTGACTGCTCTTGTGATTTAGTACTATACAAGAATAAACTGACCCGAGCCTTACCAGTTACTCACATTTGGGAGATGTGACCTGATCCATGAGTCACAAATGTCTTCTCAAACATGCCCTACAATATAAACTGTATAAACGTATATGTTTACTATTTACTGAGATTAAGCATGCAATATATTATAACTGTTAAAAAAATGTAATGTAAATGTTTAAAAGCAAAAGGTGTGTGTGTGATGCATAGAAATTGGCCCTTGACTGCCATGACCTAAGGTGATAACGTATCTGTCCAGGGACTACAGATGAAACTTAGACTTGTGGTGAAATACATTTAATAAATTTGAAAACCTGGCAAAGGCAGAGGTCAAACAATTCCTGCAAGTCTTCACAAGGTTTTGGCCCATTCCTTCATGCATATCTCGCGATGTTCTGGCGCTGTCACAGGGCAACAGACTTTCAACTCCCTCCAAAGATCTCCTATGTGGTTGAGATCTGAAGACTCAAAATTCAGCGTTGCAGTGGTCAGTGTGCGTGTGAGGACTGTGAAGGAATGTCTGAATAGGGGTTAGAAACTGCTCAGAAACTCAAAAGTCGATTTTTGCACAATGTGTGTTTTTTAATGTATAAAAATGACTAAGTAACACGGGGGAAAGGGGCGGGGAAAGGTGGTGGGTGAAACGGTCCTTTCACAGCTCATAATGTCCCTTTATCTGCAGCTTCACGTGTTCTTCCAGAAGCGTGTGTACTGGGGTGGGGGTCCGGTCACGTGTTCTTCCAGAAGCGTGTGTACTGGGGTGGGGGTCCGGTCACGTGTTCTTCCAGAAGCGTGTGTGTACAGGGGTGGGGGTCCGGTCACGTGTTCTTCCAGAAGCGTGTGTACAGGGGTGGGGGTCCGGTCACGTGTTCTTCCAGAAGCGTGTGTACAGGGGTGGGGGTCCGGTCACGTGTTCTTCCAGAAGCGTGTGTACTGGGGTGGGGGTCCGGTCACGTGTTCTTCCAGAAGCGTGTGTACTGGGGTGGGGGTCCGGTCACGTGTTCTTCCAGAAGCGTGTGTACTGGGGTGGGGGTCCGGTCACGTGTTCTTCCAGAAGCGTGTGTACAGGGGTGGGGGTCCGGTCACGTGTTCTTCCAGAAGCGTGTGTACTGGGGTGGGGGTCCGGTCACGTGTTCTTCCAGAAGCGTGTGTACTGGGGTGGGGGTCCGGTCACGTGTTCTTCCAGAAGCGTGTGTACTGGGGTGGGGGTCCGGTCACGTGTTCTTCCAGAAGCGTGTGTACTGGGGTGGGGGTCCGGTCACGTGTTCTTCCAGAAGCGTGTGTACTGGGGTGGGGGTCCGGTCACGTGTTCTTCCAGAAGCGTGTGTACTGGGTGGGGGTCCGGTCACGTGTTCTTCCAGAAGCGTGTGTACTGGGGTGGGGGTCCGGTCACGTGTTCTTCCAGAAGCGTGTGTACTGGGGTGGGGGTCCGGTCACGTGTTCTTCCAGAAGCGTGTGTACAGGGGTGGGGGTCCGGTCACGTGTTCTTCCAGAAGCGTGTGTACTGGGGTGGGGGTCCGGTCACGTGTTCTTCCAGAAGCGTGTGTACTGGGGTGGGGGTCCGGTCACGTGTTCTTCCAGAAGCGTGTGTACTGGGGTGGGGGTCCGGTCACGTGTTCTTCCAGAAGCGTGTGTACAGGGGTGGGGGTCCGGTCACGTGTTCTTCCAGAAGCGTGTGTACTGGGGTGGGGGTCCGGTCACGTGTTCTTCCAGAAGCGTGTGTACTGGGGTGGGGGTCCGGTCACGTGTTCTTCCAGAAGCGTGTGTACAGGGGTGGGGGTCCGGTCACGTGTTCTTCCAGAAGCGTGTGTACTGGGGTGGGGGTCCGGTCACGTGTTCTTCCAGAAGCGTGTGTACTGGGGTGGGGGTCCGGTCACGTGTTCTTCCAGAAGCGTGTGTACTGGGGTGGGGGTCCGGTCACGTGTTCTTCCAGAAGCGTGTGTACTGGGGTGGGGGTCCGGTCACGTGTTCTTCCAGAAGCGTGTGTACAGGGGTGGGGGTCCGGTCACGTGTTCTTCCAGAAGCGTGTGTACAGGGGTGGGGGTCCGGTCACGTGTTCTTCCAGAAGCGTGTGTACTGGGGTGGGGGTCCGGTCACGTGTTCTTCCAGAAGCGTGTGTACTGGGGTGGGGGTCCGGTCACGTGTTCTTCCAGAAGCGTGTGTACTGGGGTGGGGGTCCGGTCACGTGTTCTTCCAGAAGCGTGTGTACTGGGGTGGGGGTCCGGTCACGTGTTCTTCCAGAAGCGTGTGTACTGGGGTGGGGGTCCGGTCACGTGTTCTTCCAGAAGCGTGTGTACAGGGGTGGGGGTCCGGTCACGTGTTCTTCCAGAAGCGTGTGTACTGGGGTGGGGGTCCGGTCACGTGTTCTTCCAGAAGCGTGTGTACAGGGGTGGGGGTCCGGTCACGTGTTCTTCCAGAAGCGTGTGTACTGGGGTGGGGGTCCGGTCACGTGTTCTTCCAGAAGCGTGTGTACAGGGGTGGGGGTCCGGTCACGTGTTCTTCCAGAAGCGTGTGTACTGGGGTGGGGGTCCGGTCACGTGTTCTTCCAGAAGCGTGTGTACTGGGGTGGGGGTCCGGTCACGTGTTCTTCCAGAAGCGTGTGTACTGGGGTGGGGGTCCGGTCACGTGTTCTTCCAGAAGCGTGTGTACTGGGGTGGGGGTCCGGTCACGTGTTCTTCCAGAAGCGTGTGTACTGGGGTGGGGGTCCGGTCACGTGTTCTTCCAGAAGCGTGTGTACAGGGGTGGGGGTCCGGTCACGTGTTCTTCCAGAAGCGTGTGTACTGGGGTGGGGGTCCGGTCACGTGTTCTTCCAGAAGCGTGTGTACAGGGGTGGGGGTCCGGTCACGTGTTCTTCCAGAAGCGTGTGTACAGGGGTGGGGGTCCGGTCACGTGTTCTTCCAGAAGCGTGTGTACTGGGGTGGGGGTCCGGTCACGTGTTCTTCCAGAAGCGTGTGTACTGGGGTGGGGGTCCGGTCACGTGTTCTTCCAGAAGCGTGTGTACTGGGGTGGGGGTCCGGTCACGTGTTCTTCCAGAAGCGTGTGTACTGGGGTGGGGGTCCGGTCACGTGTTCTTCCAGAAGCGTGTGTACTGGGGTGGGGGTCCGGTCACGTGTTCTTCCAGAAGCGTGTGTACAGGGGTGGGGGTCCGGTCACGTGTTCTTCCAGAAGCGTGTGTACAGGGGTGGGGGTCCGGTCACGTGTTCTTCCAGAAGCGTGTGTACTGGGGTGGGGGTCCGGTCACGTGTTCTTCCAGAAGCGTGTGTACTGGGGTGGGGGTCCGGTCACGTGTTCTTCCAGAAGCGTGTGTACTGGGGTGGGGGTCCGGTCACGTGTTCTTCCAGAAGCGTGTGTACAGGGGTGGGGGTCCGGTCACGTGTTCTTCCAGAAGCGTGTGTACTGGGGTGGGGGTCCGGTCACGTGTTCTTCCAGAAGCGTGTGTACAGGGGTGGGGGTCCGGTCACGTGTTCTTCCAGAAGCGTGTGTACAGGGGTGGGGGTCCGGTCACGTGTTCTTCCAGAAGCGTGTGTACTGGGGTGGGGGTCCGGTCACGTGTTCTTCCAGAAGCGTGTGTACTGGGGTGGGGGTCCGGTCACGTGTTCTTCCAGAAGCGTGTGTACTGGGGTGGGGGTCCGGTCACGTGTTCTTCCAGAAGCGTGTGTACTGGGGTGGGGGTCCGGTCACGTGTTCTTCCAGAAGCGTGTGTACTGGGGTGGGGGTCCGGTCACGTGTTCTTCCAGAAGCGTGTGTACAGGGGTGGGGGTCCGGTCACGTGTTCTTCCAGAAGCGTGTGTACAGGGGTGGGGGTCCGGTCACGTGTTCTTCCAGAAGCGTGTGTACTGGGGTGGGGGTCCGGTCACGTGTTCTTCCAGAAGCGTGTGTACTGGGGTGGGGGTCCGGTCACGTGTTCTTCCAGAAGCGTGTGTACTGGGGTGGGGGTCCGGTCACGTGTTCTTCCAGAAGCGTGTGTACTGGGGTGGGGGTCCGGTCACGTGTTCTTCCAGAAGCGTGTGTACTGGGGTGGGGGTCCGGTCACGTGTTCTTCCAGAAGCGTGTGTACTGGGGTGGGGGTCCGGTCACGTGTTCTTCCAGAAGCGTGTGTACTGGGGTGGGGGTCCGGTCACGTGTTCTTCCAGAAGCGTGTGTACTGGGGTGGGGGTCCGGTCACGTGTTCTTCCAGAAGCGTGTGTTACAGGGGTGGGGGTCCGGTCACGTGTTCTTCCAGAAGCGTGTGTACTGGGGTGGGGGTCCGGTCACGTGTTCTTCCAGAAGCGTGTGTACAGGGGTGGGGGTCCGGTCACGTGTTCTTCCAGAAGCGTGTGTACTGGTGCGGGGTGAAGGCCTGCTGGTAGTCTTCTTCTGCAGGGGACCGGGTTGGGCTCTTCTTCACCTCCCTCCTCCTCTGCCTCGCTCGGCGCTCTTCCTCTGACAGTGTGGACACGTCGACAGGCATCTGAGGAGCACAGTGCATTATTGGACTTTCCATTTGCTATTGTTGGAGGAACTTCTTTATATCGTAAGAGTTTATTTAATGAAGCTGGGGTTCTTGACTTTCAAATCACAAAAAACATGACTATTTTTTTCACTAGTTTTCACATTAGGGGTGGGAACCTCAGGGAACCTCACGATACGATACGATGTGCGATACAAAGCTCACGATAACGATTATCTCACGATATGACGATGCAGCGATTATTGATATATTGGTAAAAAATATACCTACAATAATATTGTTCTTATATTTATGGCATAAATTAAGTGAAAAAAATACACTTTATTTGAAGATAAATGGATAAAGTGTCACGTGTAACATTAAAGTGACATTAATGAAGCAATAGGTCTATATCAGGGGTGTCCAAACATTTAGGTAAGAGGGCTACTTTAGTGCACCAGACTTGTTCAGGGGCTGACAACTTGGATTGAAAAACTATTTTTTACTGGATTCTGGTTGTTCTGGGCTGGTATAAAGATTCACACCACATCTATTGAGGCTGAGCTTCTTTGCTAAACAGGAGCAAAGAAGAGGTGTGAGCAACTAGTAATCAAGAGGCCACTGTTTCTGTGACGTGACATGACATGCAGCAGGAGCCCTTCATATGGGCCCCTAACCCTGACCCCCCACATAGGGCATGTCTGTGATTTTTGTGGGATTATATGTTGTGACCTAACAACATATAATAACATCTGGAAAACCTGGTCCAGATGACACTTTTGAATCTGGTTCTGTTATGAAGCACTGCTGACTGGCTCACTGTCCCAAACAGAGATCCTCACTGTGTAAGGTCTCGCCACAGAAGACTAAGGGACACAAAGTCTGGCCCCTCACCAGCAGCACACGGCGAGGCTCCTTGTAGCGCACATGCACCGTGGAGCCGTCCGGCCGCAGCAGCAGCACAGGGAAGCTCCTCTCGTACCGCTGCCTCCCACAGCGCACCACACTGCTGCGGTTGGAGTTCCATTGAGCCGTGTGGGTGTGGAGCGCCGCAGAGTGCCAGAGGGCCAGGCTCCTGAGCACAACCACACAAGTACAAACACTGGTTAGAGGACCCTCACATGTATAGACATTGTGTGTGTGTGTGTGTGGGCCCTGTGGAGGTGGCTCTACATCAATATGTTTCAGAATGACTTAAAGCTGGGATACTGAACTTTCAAATCATATTTCACTATATTAAAAAATCCATATCACTACTTCCTGGCAAAAAACCCACTTCAGCCAATCAGCTCTCAGTCTTAAGAGTGAAATAGCAACTCTCTTTCACAAGACCCAACCATAGACTGTATATATTACCCAAGCTACTTTCTATTAATAGCATTTCGTGGTCTAATTTGTATTCACAGCATTTTACTTTTATAAGATTCTTATTTATGAAAAGGGGGCACCCCAGCTTTGACTACTGCATACCTATGTTATAAATGAAATGATACACACGCAAATACACAAACTAACTTATAGCACCTCTGCACTGTCCTTGTCACTCACCGGGGCAGCAGGCTCCAGCGCCGGGCCATGCTTAGCCCACATACGGACATGCTGCGAACCAACACCACAAACTAATACGAGAGAACCAGAGAACCGTAGAACCTCCACGAAGAACGACCCGACAGGACAGCGACCTCAGGCTTCTCCTTGGATCTGAAATGGGGACAGAATAATGATGAGCGCCACCCACTGGTCAGGAGTGTGGGCCATGCATTCACGACAACACACTGAATGATAATAATAATAATAATAATACAAATAAAAATAATAAAAACACATACCTACTTAGTGATTTAATTATTGGTTGTGCTTTACAGGTTTTGTAGTGACTATTTGTCAAAAAATAGACTATCAAACAAAATGCCAAACTTAAGAACAAACTCAAATAATCACTAAAATGCACCATGGGTAAGTGGTTTACGCAGTACAAAAATAAACAAATGTCCATTCCAAAAATATAAAGTTAAAAAAGGGTTTATTCATCAAGTTGCAGGCAAACGACACAAAAAGGCTGCATCTCCCAGAACTGGTAAAAAACCATAGGCCCACCCAAGTGCATGAAGGCCCGCCCTTTACTGCCCCCTTATATCCCCTAGGTGCCACTAAACAAAAAACTAAACCAAACTGAAGTAAACCCAAAATAATCTACACAAATATCTAAATTACCAAAAAATACAAAAATACTAACCTCAGCAAAAAATAACTAAATATAGAAAAATATACAAAACTCCCAAATAAATTAAATTAATCTGGCCTACAAGCAAATAGCTCCTACAGGTTTATTTGAGATATGTAAGCAGAATGTTGGCGTATGTGTTGTCTCAAGTCTCCAGCAGAGGGCAGTGTTGAGCCACTACTGATGCTACTCACGCAGAGGAAGACTCCACTGCACTCATCCAAAATACCGTCTTCCTTCCTTTATCTTCTTTTTACTTATCTTTGTGGTGATACTATCTTTAATTCAGTGACATAAAACATCTTAAAAACATGTCAAATTTGACTGAACTAAAGCCGGAGCTACTTTTGACGTAAACATGTATAACATTTGTAGGACAAGGAGGCACAAAGAAGGATTTTTTCTTTAAATTGGATGCGGTATCCCACTTCCGTCAATAGCGCGTATTTTCCCCTGAGCTAGTTCTGCCAGGACTCTGAGAAACCTCCGATAAAGTCTTAACTCTTACTAAATCATCACTTTTTAACGCTGACCCTGATCGAAACAGTATACGTGACCTGATAGTGCAGTTACCATCGAGAATGAACAATGTCGTCAATGCAAAATAATATTGGATAAGTGTGTTCACCCATTTGACCAGTGTGGAACATAGATAGTAAATAACAGTGTGGACTCCAGTGCAAACTATACAGTCTATGGTGCAGACGCAGAAAACACATTTCTGGGACTTTTGGGACCGTGCACTCGTCCCTGAAGCCCCATATGCTCCGTGTTCCCCCGGGTGCTCTGGGCGGTCCCCTTGCGTCAGCAGTCCCGTGAGCAGCGCCTGATGAAGAGCTGACAGCAGAGCCTTCCTCCGGGACCACAGAGGTAGGACCAGGGTGGACCAGGGTAGGACAGTGCGGGGGGCCCGTGGGTGGGGAGGGGGAAAGCTGGTTATATCCATTCTTTATCACAGGCTTTGATGGAAGAAGTACTTAATATTCATACGAGCGACATTCATGTACACTTCTGACTTTTATAAAGTAATATAAAACATATGTTACTTCCAACAGTGTACTTACACTTTCAACTATGGGCTTAAACTGTTTCATATTCTTCCCGTCATGTACAGTGCCAGGTTATATCTGTCTGTCAAAAATATCACATAAGAACCTTGTTTTCAATGTTAATGTAGATATGAGTGAGCCATCAAGTGTGTCAAACCTCCTTCACTTTTCAACTTTTTTGCAATGCTACAGCCTTATTAAAAAAATATTATTTTTCCAGTCAATCTACTTGTAATATCATATAATGTAATGGCAATGAGGAAAAAGTGTGGAAGTGTTTTTGATTTGATTACAATAAAAGTACAGAAGTAATTACACCCTTAGCTAAAACACTCAGAGCTCAGATGTTACAACTTGGTGAATTCTACTGGTTTAACCTGATTTGGAAAGGGACAGTGGCTCAGTTGATAGAGCATTGAGCCTGAAGGTCATAGGTCTGAGCCCACCACGAGACCTTTTCCACCGACTCCCACTGATGACTGCTGTCATTGTGTTCTTGGGCAAGACACACCCACTTTGCCTGAAGCCCCCGCTGAAAGATCGAGGCTATGCTCACACTGACGGAGCTGTGGACTCACCACCTGCAGGATCAGTGAGGGGCTGGTGCTATGTGACTTGGGGGGAATCTCTGACCGCCACCCCCCCCGGCCCAGAAATGATTTAAGGGGTAGAAAATGGATGGATGGAAAGGGACACACACGTCTATTAGAGGTCCCCGTCAAACAGAGACCAAACCATGAGGTCCAAGGAACTGTGTGGACCAAATTAAAGTCTAAGGAACTTTTAGTAGAGTCTCCGACCAGGCCCTGAGAACTAAGGAACTGTCTGTGGACCTTCAGATTAGAAAAAAAATGGGATCAGAAAATTAAAAGCTCATTACTCCAGGGGACGGGGCCCACTTAATGTTTACTCTCCAGAAGGATAACCACTAGTGCCTGGTTTCCTACAAATGTGACGCTTGGCATTCAGGCCAAATACTTTTGTTACAGCTGACCAGAGACTCTTGTTTCAAGAACAAAGAGTCTGGTCAGGTGTAACAAAAGAACAACTATTTGTGAAAACCAATACTTTTTTTTTTTCCTATTTGTGTTTGTGTGTGTGTGTGTGTGTGTGTGTGTGTGTGTGTGTGTGTGTGTGTGTGTGTGTGTGTGTGTGTGTGTGTGTGTGTGTGTGTGTGTGTGTGTGTGTGTGTGTGTGTGTGTGTGTGTGTGTGTGTGTGTGTGTGTGTGTGTGTGTGTGTGTGTGTGTGTGTGTGTGTGTGTGTGTGTGTGTGTGTGTGTTTTTCTCTCAGATGAGTGTGGGCCAGAGCTGGCTCCGGTCCCCGTCTCTGGGGGCCCCTGTGTTCTGGACATTGTTGCAGCTGGTGATGGGTCTCACAGGTGAGTGCTGTGTCCTGGCCTGGGACATCTACATCTGTACTGCTCTAGTTTCTAAAGATTAGGTGCATTACTTTGATGCAGTTATACAGTTTTAATTTAGATACAGATGTGTTATATATATATATATATATATATATATACCAAACAAAGTAATTTTAACACCAAAATAAATTAGAATCCTAATTCAATCTGAAAGAGTTAGGGTCCAGTGCTGCGTCCATTTTAGCAAACTGAAAAAGGTTCCTCTGTGCTGTACAGATCCTCCTGTACCTCTTTGTTCTGTTTCGTCCTTCATTTGTTGCCCGTGTAAGTTATAATTTTGTATGGCTCAAAATAAAGTATCTAATCAGAGATCAGTCCATTGTCAACGTGACCTGAGAAAAAGTTCTGCCAACAGAAAAAAAAGTAGTTACATGTTTTACACTGTAGTCTTGACTTTATCTGTTTCTAGTGAGTATAACAATCCGCCCCACTGCTCAAAGACACGGTAAACAATGAACGAGTGGACTATATTAGTGATAATATCAGTGATAACTAATACTTTATAATTCACTAAAAGCGTTATTTTGCTGGACATGTGTTAGACTTGCCTGGCCTGCCAGACACTCCTCCTTTCTGTTCAAAAGAAGAACCGTCTGGACACCTCTTCCTAGCCTACCATTTCACGATTTTACCCACATCGGTCCAATCACGCACCGAGAGGCGGGACTTCCTTTCACCTTTGAGTTGCTAATAACTCCTCGTATCTTTAAGTTTTTGTTACAAAATCGACAGCAGTCGTTTACATTTGCACTAGCTGACATGCCGCCATCCCTTGTTTTGTGTTTACTGAAACGGCTTGGGTGCCGCTAGTTGCTGCGTCATATCCTGTGTGCATCTAATTGGTTGATGCAGTCTGTCAACCACGCCCACCGGGAATTCGCTGAGATCAAGCTCGTTCCCAGACTATATGTCTTTGAAAAAGCATATCGTTTGGCAGGCCAGGCAAGTGTTAGACATGCCTCAGACGTCGACCAAAGTCCGCGGTTCAAAGGTTCAACTACATATTGATATCGAAGTGGGGTCCTGGTTAGACGTCCAGAAAGTGAACCTGATCTCGTTATTTAATGTTCCAGATCTGGGGCTGTCTGTCTGCTGTGTAGTGATAACCTACAGTATTTTAATGCACCTGTGTTCGGGATATTCAGCTTTTGGGTGAAATGCTCGACAACGTTCATGTTCGAAGGAGAAATGATGTGTCCTTCTCACAGTGTATCAATGCAAACGTTCATGTTTCTTAACCTTCGAACAAGGAGGGGAATGACCAAATGATTCACAAATTCAGTTGGAATTGGTCTTTAAACATTCCTTCTGGTCATACTTTGGACATATCTAACATCATTAGATCAAAACAACACCTAACGAGTGACCAACAGCACCCCGTCAGAACAGGAGGGATAAAGAGAATCAATAATCCCGTCATTGCACCTCTGTGTGAGCCGCACTGGCCTCCGCTGCTCATGGAGGTCATCGTTACAGAACAGTGGGAAAGGAGCCTCTGCATTTGAAAAGGCTTATTCATTTTATTGTTCAAAAATGTTCTTCTTATTTTACAAATTGAGGCATTTCTTGTTCCTATTGAGCTGGCTTTCTCAATTACTGTAACATCTGGTGAACACATGTCCCAGCTATTTGTTGTAAATAATAAATATGTTATAGATAATAGTCACAAGCAGCCCTTGCCTTTGCCAAACCCTGTCATCCATAAGACAGAGAGTGTTGGTTTGAGGCACTAGCGTTTATGAAACCTAAATGATGACAAGTATGGCGTGGGTCACATTTATGTTTTTCATTGGGCGGCCCAAACGGGGTTTCATAAATATTTTTAGATTGTAGATCATGTTTTCTCCTTTTACGAGAGCTGGATGGATGCATGACGAGCACAAAGCGTGTGCACATTCGCTTTGGGGTTTGAGGGTAATGTTCAATTTTGGAACCTCAAATTACCATCGGCAGTTTTTTGCGCTCAGGCCTTAATTCTAATAAACCGGGAAAATCAAATTTAGGTGATGACTTCTAAATCAGTGTATCCCAAGCTTTTTGTAGCCGTGGCACACCTTTTTGGTTGAAAACACTCACATGGCACACCACCGGCTGAAACTGATACAAACATGAAACTTTGCAGCTTTTAGTATGAAAGCAAAGTCATTCTAATCAAGGTAGATATATATAGAAAATTAAATGAGCTCAAAAAGTCTTTCTAATCTTCTCTCATAATTTTCTTTTCACATTATTTTGACCAATTATGTGATATTGGAATATTTCCCAAGGCACACCAAACAACATCTCAAGGCACACTAATGTCCCACGGCACACTGGTTGAAAAACACTGTTCTAAATAATGCAAGTATTTAAACAATGTCTGGTTATGCATACTCAATGTTGACTATAATAATGAATACAGATGCGTACTTAAGACATAAGTTAAAAGTTAGTGTAGGTAAGTTGGTAGGTACTGTATGTGTGGCTGTAACTTTTACTCATACTATTGAGCCACGTTATGGGCTAAATTCTGCTTCCAGGGTTTTCCAAATGTCCATTCTCGATTGTGTAATGTAGTGACATGTTCGCTCTCTTTGAACCACAGGTGTGATGTCAGGCCTGTCCGCTCCAGAGGGGGGGTTGCAGTTGTCCGCTCCAGAGGGGGGGTTGGAGTTGTCCGCTCCAGAGTCCGTCATCCTGCAGCAGCAGCAGCAGGACACGGTCCAGATCAGCAGCAGGTAGGGCAGGACTGTTCCTGTTAAAGAGAAAGTTTGTTTTGAGGAACAGGAATTGCAGGGACAGGGACATGTCTCCAAATCTGTGTCTCATCTTGTTCTATGTCTTCAGTGCTCCTCTGAATGAGACCGTGCTCCTGCTGCTCAACGTGACGTCCAGCTCCCACAGAAACTGGTCGACTGTGCTGTCCTTGCCCCAAGAGGTAACATGCACTACTGTCCCTGTCTTCTGTTCTACTCCTGTCTCACACCTGTCCCCTGCCCTGCCCCTGCCCCTGCCCTGCCCCTGCCCCTACCCTGCCCCTGCCCCTGCCTGGCCTCTGCCCCTGCCCTGACCTGCGCCGCTCCTACCCTACCCCTGCCCTGCCCCTGCCCTTGCCCTGCCCTGCCCCTGCCCTGCCCCTGCCCTGCCCTGCCCCTGCCTGGCCTCTGCCCCTGCCCTGACCTGCGCCGCCCCTACCCTATCCTGCCCTGCCCCTGCCCTTGCCCTGCCTGCCCTGCCCCTGCCCTGCCCCTGCCCCTGCCTCTGCCCTTGCCCTGCCCCTGCCCCTGCCCCTGCCCTGCCCCTGCCCCTGTCCTACCCCTGCCCCTGCCCTGCCCTGTCCTACCCCTGCCCCTGCCCTCCTGTCCTGCCCCTGCCCTCCTGTCCTACCCCTGCCCCTGCCCTTCCCCTGCCCCTGCCCTCCTGTCCTACCCCTGCCCTGCCCCTGCCCCTGCCCTTGCCCTGCCCCTGCCCTGCCCTGCCCCTGCCCCTGCCCTCCTGTCCTACCCCTGCCCTGCCCCTGCCCTCCTGTCCTACCCCTGCCCTGCCCCTGCCCTCCTGTCCTACCCCTGCCCCTGCCCTGCCCTCCTGTCCTACCCCTGCCCCTGCCCACCTGTCCTACCCCTGCCCCTGCCCTACCCCTGCCCCTGCCCCTGCCCTCCTGTCCTACCCCTGCCCTGCCCTGCCCTCCTGCCCTACCCCTGCCCCTGCCCTACCCCTGCCCCTGCCCCTGCCCTCCTGTCCTACCCCTGCCCTGCCCCTGCCCTCCTGTCCTACCCCTGCCCTGCCCTGCCCTCCTGTCCTACCCCTGCCCCTGCCCTCCTGTCCTACCCCTGCCCTCCTGTCCTACCCCTGCCCTCCTGTCCTACCCCTGCCCTTCCCCTGCCCCTGCTGAAATGCAGGACTGAAAATAAAGTGTAATTTAATAAAATAAATCCAAGGTAATGTCAAAATACAACAATCCAGAACTGAAACAAGACGGGACAAACGTGGTGGAGACAATAAATACACACAGAGACAAAGGTGAAGCACATTAGGGCGGGGCAACAATCAGGACAAGTCCACACTGTGACATAAAGATGAATATATATATATATATACAATTAAAACATGTGACCTCTAGGGCTGAGAGATGAGCCGATTAATTGCGTATTTTCAGCAATGAACAAGTATTTTCATGAATCATTAACCGCTGTAGACTCCACCACTATTTTTTCTTCAGCTTTATTTTACTCAAATGTGCACAAAATGTCATCCCAGAATTCGAAATAACTAATCTGTGTGTCTGTCCGCCTGTGTGTGTGTGTGTGTGTGTCCGCCTGTGTGTGTGTGTGTGTGTGTCCGCCTGTGTGTGTGTATCCGCCTGTGCCGGTGTGTGTGTGTCCGCCTGTGTGTGTGTATCCGCCTGTGCCTGTGTGTGTGTGCGTGTCCGCCTGTGCCTGTGTGTGTGTGTCCGCCTGTGCCTGTGTGTGTGTCCGCCTGTGTGTGTGTATCCGCCTGTGCCTGTGTGTGTGTCCGCCTGTGTGTGTGTATCCGCCTGTGCCTGTGTGTGTGTCCGCCTGTGTGTGTGTATCCGCCTGTGCCGGTGTGTGTGTGTGTGTCCGGCTGTGTGTGTGTGTATCCGCCTGTGCCTGTGTGTGTGTGTGTGTCCGGCTGTGTGTGTGTGTATCCGCCTGTGCCTGTGTGTGTGTGTGTGTGTGTGTGTGTGTCCGCCTGTGCCTGTGTGTGTGTGTGTCCGCCTGTGCCTGTGCGCGTGTGTGTGTCCGCCTGTGTGTGTGTGTGTGTCCGCCTGTGTGTGTGTGTGTGTGTCCGCCTGTGTGTGTGTGTGTGTCCGCCTGTGCCTGTGTGTGTGTCCGCCTGTGTGTGTGTGTGTGTGTCCAGGTGTGGCTGACCGCTGGCAGCACAGGAGGCTCCTTTAACGTGACTGCACTGGCCGTGGGACAGATCACTGCTTTCTTCACCTCCAACCACTCAGACCTGAGGTGGGTGTGTCTCTCTGACCGCACACACTGGTCAGCCTCTCTCTGACCGCACACACTGGTCACTCTCTCTGACCGCACACACTGGTCAGCCTCTCTCTGACCGCACACACTGGTCACTCTCTCTGACCGCACACACTGGTCAGCCTCTCTCTGACCGCACACACTGGTCACTCTCTCTGACCGCACACACTGGTCAGCCTCTCTCTGACCGCACACACTGGTCACTCTCTCTGACCGCACACACTGGTCAGCCTCTCTCTGACCGCACACACTGGTCTGCCTCTCTCTGGCCGCACACACTGGTCACTCTCTCTGACCGCACACACTGGTCAGCCTCTCTCTGACCGCACACACTGGTCACTCTCTCTGACCGCACACACTGGTCAGCCTCTCTCTGACCGCACACACTGGTCACTCTCTCTGACCGCACACACTGGTCACTCTCTCTGACCGCACACACTGGTCAGCCTCTCTCTGACCGCACACACTGGTCTGCCTCTCTCTGACCGCACACACTGGTCACTCTCTCTCTGACCGCACACACTGGTCACTCTCTCTGACCGCACACACTGGTGAGCCTCTCTCTGACCGCACACACTGGTCACTCTCTCTGACCGCACACACTGGTCAGCCTCTCTCTGACCGCACACACTGGTCACTCTCTCTGACCGCACACACTGGTCACTCTCTCTGACCGCACACACTGGTCAGCCTCTCTCTGACCGCACACACTGGTCTGCCTCTCTCTGACCGCACACACTGGTCACTCTCTCTCTGACCGCACACACTGGTCACTCTCTCTGACCGCACACACTGGTCAGCCTCTCTCTGACCGCACACACTGGTCACTCTCTCTGACCGCACACACTGGTCAGCCTCTCTCTGACCGCACACACTGGTCTGCCTCTCTCTGACCGCACACACTGGTCAGCCTCTCTGACCGCACACACTGGTCTGCCTCTCTCTGACCGCAACACTGGTCACTCTCTCTGACCGCACACACTGGTCACTCTCTCTGACCGCACACACTGGTCACTCTCTCTGACCGCACACACTGGTCTGCCTCTCTGACCGCACACACTGGTCTGCCTCTCTCTGACCGCACACACTGGTCACTCTCTCTGACCGCACACACTGGTCACTCTCTCTGACCGCACACACTGGTCACTCTCTCTCTGACCGCACACACTGGTCTGCCTCTCTCTGACCGCACACACTGGTCACTCTCTCTGACCGCACACACTGGTCTGCCTCTCTCTGACCGCACACACTGGTCTGCCTCTCTCTGACCGCACACACTGGTCACTCTCTCTGACCGCACACACTGGTCTGCCTCTCTGACCGCACACACTGGTCAGCCTCTCTCTGACCGCACACACTGGTCAGCCTCTCTCTGACCGCACACACTGGTCACTCTCTCTGACCGCACACACTGGTCTGCCTCTCTCTGACCGCACACACTGGTCAGCCTCTCTGACCGCACACACTGGTCTGCCTCTCTCTGACCGCAACACTGGTCACTCTCTCTGACCGCACACACTGGTCACTCTCTCTGACCGCACACACTGGTCTGCCTCTCTCTGACCGCACACACTGGTCTGCCTCTCTCTGACCGCACACACTGGTCACTCTCTCTGACCGCACACACTGGTCACTCTCTCTGACCGCACACACTGGTCACTCTCTCTCTGACCGCACACACTGGTCTGCCTCTCTCTGACCGCACACACTGGTCACTCTCTCTGACCGCACACACTGGTCTGCCTCTCTCTGACCGCACACACTGGTCTGCCTCTCTCTGACCGCACACACTGGTCACTCTCTCTGACCGCACACACTGGTCTGCCTCTCTGACCGCACACACTGGTCAGCCTCTCTCTGACCGCACACACTGGTCAGCCTCTCTCTGACCGCACACACTGGTCAGCCTCTCTCTGACCGCACACACTGGTCTGCCTCTCTCTGACCGCACACACTGGTCACTCTCTCTCTGACCGCACACACTGGTCACTCTCTCTGACCGCACACACTGGTCTGCCTCTCTCTGACCGCACACACTGGTCACTCTCTCTGACCGCACACACTGGTCTGCCTCTCTCTGACCGCACACACTGGTCAGCCTCTCTCTGACCGCACACACTGGTCTGCCTCTCTCTGACCGCACACACTGGTCACTCTCTCTCTGACCGCACACACTGGTCACTCTCTCTGACCGCACACACTGGTCTGCCTCTCTCTGACCGCACACACTGGTCACTCTCTCTGACCGCACACACTGGTCACTCTCTCTCTGACCGCACACACTGGTCTGCCTCTCTCTGACCGCACACACTGGTCAGCCTCTCTCTGACCGCACACACTGGTCACTCTCTCTCTGACCGCACACACTGGTCAGCCTCTCTCTGACCGCACACACTGGTCTGCCTCTCTCTGACCGCACACACTGGTCTGCCTCTCTCTGACCGCACACACTGGTCACTCTCTCTGACCGCACACACTGGTCAGCCTCTCTCTGACCGCACACACTGGTCTGCCTCTCTGACCGCACACACTGGTCACTCTCTCTCTGACCGCACACACTGGTCAGCCTCTCTCTGACCGCACACACTGGTCTGCCTCTCTCTGACCGCACACACTGGTCTGCCTCTCTCTGACCGCACACACTGGTCTGCCTCTCTCTGACCGCACACACTGGTCACTCTCTCTCTGACCGCACACACTGGTCACTCTCTCTGACCGCACACACTGGTCTGCCTCTCTCTGACCGCACACACTGGTCACTCTCTCTGACCGCACACACTGGTCACTCTCTCTGACCGCACACACTGGTCACTCTCTCTCTGACCGCACACACTGGTCACTCTCTCTCTGACCGCACACACTGGTCTGCCTCTCTGACCGCACACACTGGTCTGCCTCTCTCTGACCGCACACACTGGTCACTCTCTCTGACCGCACACACTGGTCTGCCTCTCTCTGACCGCACACACTGGTCTGCCTCTCTGACCGCACACACTGGTCACTCTCTCTGACCGCACACACTGGTCTGCCTCTCTGACCGCACACACTGGTCAGCCTCTCTCTGACCGCACACACTGGTCAGCCTCTCTCTGACCGCACACACTGGTCAGCCTCTCTCTGACCGCACACACTGGTCTGCCTCTCTCTGACCGCACACACTGGTCACTCTCTCTCTGACCGCACACACTGGTCACTCTCTCTGACCGCACACACTGGTCTGCCTCTCTCTGACCGCACACACTGGTCACTCTCTCTGACCGCACACACTGGTCACTCTCTCTGACCGCACACACTGGTCTGCCTCTCTGACCGCACACACTGGTCAGCCTCTCTCTGACCGCACACACTGGTCAGCCTCTCTCTGACCGCACACACTGGTCACTCTCTCTGACCGCACACACTGGTCTGCCTCTCTCTGACCGCACACACTGGTCACTCTCTCTGACCGCACACACTGGTCTGCCTCTCTCTGACCGCACACACTGGTCACTCTCTCTGACCGCACACACTGGTCAGCCTCTCTCTGACCGCACACACTGGTCACTCTCTCTGACCGCACACACTGGTCTGCCTCTCTCTGACCGCACACACTGGTCACTCTCTCTCTGACCGCACACACTGGTCACTCTCTCTGACCGCACACACTGGTCTGCCTCTCTCTGACCGCACACACTGGTCACTCTCTCTGACCGCACACACTGGTCACTCTCTCTCTGACCGCACACACTGGTCTGCCTCTCTCTGACCGCACACACTGGTCAGCCTCTCTCTGACCGCACACACTGGTCAGCCTCTCTCTGACCGCACACACTGGTCTGCCTCTCTCTGACCGCACACACTGGTCACTCTCTCTCTGACCGCACACACTGGTCACTCTCTCTGACCGCACACACTGGTCTGCCTCTCTCTGACCGCACACACTGGTCACTCTCTCTGACCGCACACACTGGTCACTCTCTCTGACCGCACACACTGGTCTGCCTCTCTGACCGCACACACTGGTCAGCCTCTCTCTGACCGCACACACTGGTCAGCCTCTCTCTGACCGCACACACTGGTCACTCTCTCTGACCGCACACACTGGTCTGCCTTTCTCTGACCGCACACACTGGTCACTCTCTCTGACCGCACACACTGGTCTGCCTCTCTCTGACCGCACACACTGGTCACTCTCTCTGACCGCACACACTGGTCAGCCTCTCTCTGACCGCACACACTGGTCACTCTCTCTGACCGCACACACTGGTCAGCCTCTCTCTGACCGCACACACTGGACTGTGGGTAAAGGTCAAGTGTCAGGGTGGGAATTATTCAACTTTGACAAGGAAGGAAGTTCAAGAATGATAAAATAATAATATATTGCCCTGTTACAGTAAATATAACAAAGAAGGCTTTTTCTCCCTCAGTCCAGTTTTTATCACATTTCATTAGATGAACATACAGGAGACCGTTGTTACGGTTTGTCAAGACAAACATGTACTCCGAGCTCATTTTGGTTGAAATGTACATAGTTACCATAGTAACAAACAGTTATCTTTCTACAAGAACCTAAACAGTTAAACATCTACAACTCCAACTCTCGGGTTGGTCTTTCTCTGCCTTTACTCAAATAAACAAAGAAAAGATGAAATGTTTGTAACTGGTGTGTGTGTCTGTGTGTTGCAGCGTGTCTCTGCGGATCCGCTTCCAGGTGATCCACAGCAGAGTGTTGGATATTCTCAGCGAGGTGATTGGCTGGATCTACTTCCTGGTCTGGTCGGTGTCCTTCTACCCACAGGCCTGGGAGAACTGGAGGAGGAAGAGGTGAGAGACAGAGAGAGACACACACACACACACAGAACATTGGTGTTAAGTCTTGACACCTGTTCCTCACAAGAATCAAATCTGATGTGGTGTTCCCCAGGGTTCAACTTTAGGCTCAGTTCTTTTTAACTTGTACATGCTCCCTGTCCCCGGCAGTATCATCAGGAGACATGGATTAGATTCTACAGTTTTGCTGCTGATTCACATCTCACCAGGCGTCCAAACAAAACATATATTTATTTATTTTACTTTTAGATTGTGCTATAGTTCTGTGCTCTAAAGTTTGCAGCAAAGCTTTTACAATTGAAAAAAATTAGAAATAAATAAGGGTTGTACACAAATGTTGCTCCACTCGTCATGCCTCTTTATCCATCTGTTTCCTACTTAGAAATAAACTTTTGCAAGTGTGTTTTGATGAGGGAACATTTGACGCTGGTCCAAAGCTTTGTTGTCATGTTTCAGTGTGGTGGGGTTCAACTTGGACTTCTTGGCCTTGAACCTGACTGGTTTCATCGCCTACAGCGTCTTCAACATCTGCCTCTTCTGGGTGTCCGCTGTGAAGGTACTGAAGCCTGACCCAGATTAGATTCACTGATCAGAGCCAAGCAGCGAAACAGATGTTAACTACAGTAAGCTTCTAATCTAATGATCCTTATGCACCTTCTGTTTATGTAGATTTTTGTTATCTTTAGATCAAATCGAGAACAAATTCTGGTATAAAGTCAAAAACAAATGTACTTTAAGATGGAGTCTCAATGTTGAAGATCTGCGCACTGCCAAGCACAATGTCTCTGAAATTGGATTAGGCAAAAATAAGTTAAACTTCAGCCTAATCCCTTCGGTCAAGATTGCGTTTGTAAATCTATGTTAAAGCACGTACATTACTGACATAAGCTGCATTGTTTTTGTAACCTCGTCCTTTTTTATGTCAAAAAATAATGTGTATGATCGAATAAACAAACTACTTCCTACTACTACTAAATGAGGCTGGACAAAATGATAAATCACACCCCAGGTCTGTTTTTTGTTGATCCCCAACATTGGTTTGAGAGGAAAGAACGCATCCCATTTGTTTCTTTATCAGTCCACTACAACATATTTATGATTATCTGTTCATTTCCAAACACATGACCACTTGGGGTTTAGGGACGTTTCTCCACAGTATTTTAAAACTTGTGTCTGGAATCATTAATCATAAATCATTTGCTGCATCTTTAATGGTTGTAGATCAGCAGCCACAGCAAAGCAACGAGCAAAGCACAGATGAACACTGCTGTCTGCTACGGTGAAGTGAAACTATGTCAATAAACCAATGCTCAAAGTCAATAAGACACGTTTTATTTCTGGTGGGCAAAGTGTGTCCTGTAAAAGAGATGTTTTAAAACTACAAAGTTACATTTCCAAAAAAAAAGTGTGTTTCGCTCCATCCATGCAAATACGAAGAACTCCCTAGAACAACGGACGGGATCAACTATCCGTTCATTGAGCCGAATAACCTCGCACCACCACTTTTGACACAATTTACTGTATGTGTTATGAAAAGTACATCTCGAGTCTTAACCAACATACTCACCATCACAAAGCCTACAATTGTGGATAGTAGGATAAAAGTAGGCTTAATCCAGGACCAAGATATTTATATTTTTATATTTAGGAGAATAGCCTTTCACCAGTAACAGACATTCATTTTAAATCCAAGCAAGGCAAGTTTGTGTGCCACAATTTGTACACAAGGGAACTTTACAAAACACAGGGAGAACATGCAAATTCCACTCAGAAAGGCCCTGTTCCGTCCGGGATTCGACCCCTGGACCTTCTTCCTGAGAAGCAGCCTCTGTGCCGCTTCTCAAACCTCAAGGTGTTTTTGTAGTGCATTGTCTTACAGTGTGTTGACTGTT